CCCAACCCTCCCTCCCTTTATCCCCTCGAAGCCGCAACCCCTGCACACGGTGTAGACATCCATTCCCTCTCCGCCGCCGTCTCTCTCTCTCTCTCTCTCTCTCTTCTCTCGCTCACCGCCGAGGTTCCGTGTCCTCTCCGCTTTCCTTCTTCCAACCTTCCAACCCCCTCGACGACCGCCGTCACCCTTCCGCGGGAACGGAGGTGGGGTGGAGTGGGGTGGGTAGCAGATAGCGGGACGACGTAGCTCGCGCGGTAGTTATGAAAACATATGAAATATATTCAATCTGGGCCGACGCGATAACACCGTCGGCCGACCGCGGCGGCGGACAACCCTCCCCTCCCCCTCCCTTGCCAGCCGACTCTCGACTAGCTCCTGCATATACACGGACGAGGCAGGTATATATATATATACATATATGTGTGTGTGTGTGTGTGTGTGAATATCGTATATCACAATATTTTTTTATACATTGCTTTTTTCAATTTTATATTACCTTGTTTAAAATATTAATCTGCGTAACATATATTATGAAACAAATACTAAAAAACAATTTTAAATATAAAAATATGGTATTTTTAACGTAATTATAAAAGGTACATAACAAAAAATTTATTCATACGAGAAGCAAAATTACATAAAATATTATTATCGTAAAAGAATATAGCTGAAACGACGATGTGAAAATTAAAGTAACCTTAGCAAAAACTAATTACCGTCACCGAAATATAGTCTTAAAAAAGAACATAATACAAAAATTAAAATTAATTAACGAAGATACAAGGCGCGGTGACCGAGATACTTTGAGGTAAGAGGCACGTCTTGCGTAAGACGATTAATAATAAATCATTGACGTTATAACGCGAGAAAAAGTCGGACTGACCGAAAACACGAGCAAGCTCGATTAAGGTAATTAGTTTTTGCTCGAGATACGGAGCGATATATACGGTCTCGGTAGCCGAGAGAGACGGTCGGTCACGGAATGTCCAGTAAAATTTTACCGCAACCTAACCGTCACCATATCTCTCGCTACCTTTCGTTATTCTCTTTTCTCCCTCTCCCCTCCCACCCCTTCTCTCTCAAAATATAAGAACGTAATAAATAAAGTAAAAATATATTACCTCTGCGTGTGAGAGCCGGAGTGAACCACCGGTGAACCGACAGAGATGATAATAGTAGGCCACGGCGATGGACTCGCGTTATTACGATACAATTATGTGCTCGACAATATGTCTCGGCGATGCTTTTATTCCACGACAGATTATCCCGCTGATCACAGAAGACGAATTGGCACCGATTTAATTACACGCACCCGTGCAATGCGCAATTAAAGGCACGGAAAGCTCGAGTATATTTCCGCGCGCGTCTTACATGGCGCCAAGTTACGCGGGCGATTCGACTGCGCTAACTAGTGGCATCGATAAGTAACTATAATAGAGGGTGCACTCTACTTAACGTTACGAATCCTTCGAAGCGTTTGATTGACCAATCAGGAAAGAGAAACTCTTGCTCCTTCTATCCGTGTCAATTATATGCTTCGAAGCATTTGTAGCATCTCAAGTGAAATTTTATAGTTTTTTTTTCCTGTACAGTCACGACATCGTGAAATTATAGATCGTTCAATTTGCAGTAAATCTAGAAAAACGATTCTCGCAAGACACTGAAGGTGCCGAGTTGCCAACTTCCCTTCCGCATCGTCATGTCTCAAAGATATTACATGCATGTTATTCTTGAAGATTCGGCCGTTTCATCTCATGCGCGATATCATATGTGACATTTATAGTATTCGTGCTGTTTTTCAATTTTTGAAATTAAATCAATCAAATATTCTCTTAACGCTAAATTAATAACATATATGATAATAATGAGTTTTTTCCATGAGAATATAATTCAACTGTTGTAACATTTATTTATCTATTTGGTCTTTCGAATATCTGTGTCAATGGTATAATTTCACGGTTTCATCAAATAAAATAAATATGTACAACGCGCGATAATTACTAAAATCAAATACTACACGTCATATTTCTTTTTTTTTTTTAATTTCAGGCTTTAATCCACTTGCACGAGCACAATGTAATCCACAGGGACATCCGTGCCAGTAACATCATTCTAACGAAGGAAGGCGAAGTGAAATTGGTCGATTTTGGACTCTCCAGAATACTGAATAACGAACTCGAGAAACGGCACACTTGCATAGGCTCGCCGTCCTGGATGGCGCCGGAAGTCATCAAAGGAGCTGATAGCGGATACGATAACAAGGTCGACGTATGGGCGATCGGTATCACGGCGATAGAGCTCGCCGATGGCAAAGCACCCTTCGAGGACATGCATCCGACACGCGCTCTCTTCCAGATAGTCCGGAATCCACCGCCGACCGTCTACCGACCCGCCAACTGGTCGGAGAATCTCAACGACTTCATCTCGGAGTACGTGATCAGTCAGATATGAAAATCTCTTTATTACGAACGAACGTCGCGAATAAAACGACGCGAGGATCACATCTGATACATTTGTTTCAGATGCCTCGAAAAGAATCCCGAGAACAGACCATATATAGTGGAAATCATCGAACATCCCTTCTTGTCGGAGTTACCCGAGAACGATTACACGGTGATACAATATAATTTGATATCTCAGTGCGATATAGGCTACGAATTAGCGAAGATACATTACAACACGTGGATATGAATGGATATGAATGGATCGTAGTCTTTGAACATATAAAATCTCAAAAATGCGAACTTCCTTCTTTATTCCTTATAATCAATTAATCGCGTTAAAAATAGCACAAATTATAATAACCAACAACAAAAATTTTATTATTTATTAAGAATGATAAAACTTAATACATCTTTCGAAATGTTCTTGGTTTTACAATTTTAAACACTTTAGATAAATAGCCTCGATATAGCTTTTGTATGTGAACCTACAAATAGTTTAATTAATCGACATAATTTCTTGCAATGACCAAAAAAATCGAATACATGCAACATGGATTTTTAGTTGACGCAAGAAATAAAATCATTGATGATGGATGTCTCCAAGAAAGGCAAAGAACAAAGAAAAACGGAATCGATAGTTCGTAATGGTTTTCTGAAGGTAGCGACTTGCATAAATCACAAGACAAATAAATGGTCAACTTACAATGTATATTAAAGCTACAATTTTCTCGACAGTCTCGTAAGGATGAACCAGCGGAACAGATGCTCACGGAGGATTTGGCGGCGTTGGAGATCCTAACCGAAGACGTGATCCTGGATGAACTTCGCGAAAGACTAGAGCGGGGTGAATATCATACATTTGTCGGCGATGTTCTACTGATACTCAATCCGAACGAGAACCGCGATATTTACGGTGCTTACGTAAGTCTTATGCTGGATTATCGATTGCGCTCTTGGTAAAGAATTTTATTCTGAGTTTAACCATTTATAATAAAAATATCATTCCATATATATTTTTTTACTTTTTGCTTACCTCTAGATTTCATTTAAAATCTCACTTGCTAATCAAAGATCGCTATTAGATATAAAAAAAAACGTTTCGAAGCGCTATCCAGCGTGTTCAATAGCGAGACTGCAATAATCTTATATCGTAAATTGTACCATAAATCTGAATGTGCGTGATTTTATCTACAGCATCACATGAAATATCAATGCAAATCGCGATCGGATAACGCCCCTCATATCTATTCCGTGGCGGACAGCGCGTTTCAAGACGTTATGCATAACGAAGAACCGCAGCACATTTTGCTGGCTGGTGAGAGCAACTCTGGAAAAACGACAAACATGCTGCATTTAGTGAAACATCTTCTGTTCCTCGGAAAAGTGAGTTGAACGTGCATACATTCGGTATATAAATAGAATTACGAATAATGTGATCATGATTTTTTTAGGGTCTGCAAGACACTGGAATGAGAGTGCTGCGAGCTATAAAAATTATTCATGCTTTTACCAATGCGGCGACACCGCTTAATGCTAATTCCACTAGATGCATATTACAAATACAGACGACTTTCGGCTCAACGGGCAAAGCATCGGGTGCGATATTTTGGCTATATCAATTGGAAAAATGGCGTGTTTCCACTCGTGACAGGTAATTCTATTCTTCGATGAGATTTTTTTTATTATAACATAATAATCAAATTTTTAGTTTTTTAATCAAAAATCTCTGATTACTTCGGTCTTTAGTTTTATCGAAGCATGGAACAAAGAGTATGCCGTACTCTATATTCTTATGTATAACGGGTCACTGTTTCAGGCGCATCAGCTGACAAAGAGAGACAATTCTTTACATTTAAAATAGTATAATTGTTTTTAAAACGATAAAAATAAATTGCAATATAATGTAATTAATATTAAAAATCTGATAAAATAAAAAAATACTAAAAATTTTAAGTTTTTAAGATAATATCTCAAAAATATATCCAAATATATTATACCAAGAAAATATTTTTCCAGAAATCAATCAAACTTCCATGCCTTTTATTACTTGTACGACGGTCTCGATGCGTCGAGAAAATTAAAGAACTATTGCCTATCAAGTGGAAAAAGATTTCGATATCTTAGAATAACCGACAAGAATGACGAAAAGAAACGAGCGTTCAAAGTGAGAAACGATCCAGAGCACAACGCGGTCAAGTTTGAGGAACTTAAAGAAAATTTTAAGTTTCTGGAAATGGAAGAGCACTGCGAGACTATTTGGAAAATCCTCGCAGCTATTCTGATACTCGGGGAGATCCGATTCGTCGAAGGTAATAACGGAGAGGCTGAATTGGACAGCAACGAAGTCGCTAACAGAGGTAAAAAATGCACTTCGATATATTAAAAGATTACTTTGATATATTAAATCATATTAAAATACTTGTCCGCCAGATGCAAAACCTGATTAGCTGTTTCAAATTGCAGTAGCCGAACTCCTTGGCTTAGACCCGAGAAAATTTATTTGGGCTCTCATTAATTATTGCTTCATCGTGAAAGGATCAGCTGTGCGTAGAAAACACACTTGTGAAGAGGCAAAAGAAGCACGGGATGTCTTGGCAAATACTCTTTATCAGCGTTTAGTAGACTGGATAATCAATGTCATCAATTATAAGCTCTCAATGACTCGTAGCCTTTAGTAAGTTATGCGGAAATTTCATATAGAAGTGTGTAGTAGATGAAAATGATAAAACTATATTTTCTTTCAATTTTTTTCTCTGCCTGTTGATAGATATACAACATTACATCATTTATACTTTAATTTCCAGTGGCGACAAATATTCTATCAGCATCCTCGATCACTTCGGATTTGAATGTTTCTCAGTAAATCGATTGGAACAATTGCTAATAAATACAATGAACGAGCAAATGCAATATTATTATAATCAGAGGGTATTCACTTGGGAAATGGTAAATTTCCTCATAAATTAATAAATGGCTAATTTATTAAAACATATAAACCTATAACAAATTTATAAAATTTATAAAGCTAATTAATGAAGTTACGAGTCCTTTTACCTCTACGTATCAAATAACGAATATGCTAATGAAATCGATTACATGCTAAAGAAAAAAATAAAAACCTGTGTGTATTACATATTATTTTCCGCTATTTCAGCAAGAACAAGATGAAGAAGATATACCCACACGAAGATTACGCTTTTATGATAATAAAGAAGCAGTCGATCAGTTGATGAACAAGGAGAATGGTCTCCTGCGTATTATCGATGATGCTTCGCGACAAATGCAGGACGCTCAGTACATTTTCGAGAGGATCAAAAGGCATAAGCATGGCATTTATGTGAAACCAATGAGTTCGCACGAGTTCACGATTGCACACTATACCGGCAAATTGGTATACGACGCCAACGAAATCGCAGCGAAAAACCGAGATTTCGTGCCGCCGGAAATGATCGGCACGATGAGATATTCCTCGAATGATGAAGTTAAGCAAATGTTCACCAACAAACTGACCAAATCGGGCAATTTGACGATCGTCCATGAACCTTGTCTCGCGGCAAAGAAAACGTCGAAAAATAAATGGAGTGCTCTTATGCAGGAATCTTCCAATTTCCGCGTAAGTGAGATGATAAACAAATATTTAATATATCGCAATTTTTATTTTAATAACAGAATATTTTATCTATTTAAAATCAATATTTTCTATTTATATTTCAAAACATTTATATTTTAATTTAAACGCGTTAGAAACATTTGGAGATGAAGAACTTTTCGCAAAAATTAAGCTGCTCTAGTTCGCAGCATAAGAAAACCTTACTTATTATTTTAATTCAACAGAGATACAATACTGCGTCTAGAGGACAATATTCGCAGACTCGCAAAATGCGGACGTGTATGTTAACGTTCAGAGCAACAAGTCTCGAAATTCTGAAAAATCTTGCGATAGGAGCGGGAAGTGGCACGCATTTTGTTAGATGCATACGCTCCGACCTCGAAGATGCTCCTCAAGGTTTTTATCGGGAAGTTGTCAGACAGCAAATCAGAGCGTTAGCAGTACTTGACACAGCAAAAGCCAGACAACGCGGTTATCCATATAGAATACCTTTCCAAGAATTTCTTCGCAGGTAATTTAATTATCTTAAAAGTTACCGGAAAATATGTGCATATTTCTTTTAACATAAAGCTGAATGTAAAAAAAAAAACACTCATTTTGTTATGTATAAATGCAAAGACGACTATTTCTAATTACAGATATAAATTTCTGGCCTTCGATTTTAACGAAACAGTCGAGATGACGAAAGATAATTGCAGATTACTTCTGGTCAGATTAAAGATGGAAGGATGGATTATCGGCAAGACCAAGGTCTTCTTGAAATACTACAATGAAGAATATCTATCGTGCTTATACGAGACACAAGTAAAAAAGATCATAAAAGTACAGTGTATGATGCGTGCCTTTTTAGCGCGCAAGAACATCGTTTCAAAGATGAGCATCAAAAAGAAGATTGGTAAGTATGTGAATTCATCATTAAGGAAATCATAATAAATATAATTTGCCGATTATTTTGATGAATGTATATATTTAAATATTTCGATCAATGGTAACGTGTATTATTTTAGAAAAAAAAGCGTCACTCAAAAAGAATGACTCGCTTTCGGAAGATGAAGCGGCATTGATGATACAGAAAGGTAACTAAGAAAATAATATTAATTCTGGATCTCGGAAAATATAATATTTTTATATCATTTTATCTATTATTTAAATATGTCCGATAAATAAGTCCTGACATTCCAAGTTTATGTTTCAGTTGGATATTTATAAAATGTTTAAAAACTTGTCGAAAAATGTTTATATAAAACATTCCTTCTCTTTCTCTCCTCTCTCCTCTTCTCTTTCTTCTTATATATAACAAACTTTAACATTATATTCACTTCATTAGCATACAGAGGACATACAGTGAGAAAGGAAATGGGGCCCTTACTGAAGAGAGATATGAATCAAGAAACGAAGGATTTTATCAAATTCTATTGCAGCAGGTGGAGATCGAAGAGCATGTTCCAAGTCCTCCTACGGTACCGTGCAGCCCGTTATCAAGACCTCGTGCAGTTTTCGCAACAGGTATTATGACGAAAATGCATTATCAAGAAATTGAAACTTCAAACAATTTTTGCAGCGAAGAGCTCAAAAATAAACGCGTCTGATTGATAAGATTTAGCATTTTACGTTTCATTATACCCTAAATTTTCTATATATTTTTACATATAATATAATAAGAACTTTCGATAAAACCATGAATATATAAATAAATATCAAGTATAACATATATATATATATATATTGTTTCACATATCGACAGGTTCATCTGTACAATCAATCAATAGTGGCAACTTTGAACGACACAAATAGACCTGTATCTCTTGAAAAAATCGATCCAAACGCCAAAGTAGATGCCTACAGTGAAATGAAACCACCTCAAGTTTACAAATTACCTTTCAATATGCAACAAGAACTATCATACTTCGATACAAGCTATATGAACGATCCCTCGAACATAAAAATTAAACATGCAGGGTAAATCGCTCAAAATATCTTTCCAATTTTGACTTTTATCTATAGAAACAATCTAAATGCTGATTACAAGACACGCATAAAATTTATATTAACTGATCTTTCTGCAAACGTAATGTATATACATCGCGAATTAAAAAAGCCTTAAGTAAAATTAAAAACACGAAATTGCAAATGCAGATAATGCATTTAACATTTCAAAAACACTTTCACAGATCAATATCCACGATAAGCGACGACGAACACGAGTCTTGGGATGCACCATTACGTAGGCAAACCGTTCCTTGGGCCAACAATAACGTTAACGTTAGAGGTACGTCAATATTCAATAAAAAGAAAACTTTTAAGATTCTAAGAACTTAAAGCAAATCCAATATACATATGTATAAATTCGCGGGTTTTTTTTCTACGTTGACTCTTATCATATATATCATTTGTGAATTTTGATACAATTTTTAATTAATAAAAATGTTGTTATATAACATTTATATCATAGATATAATATGCGATTCACTAGAAAAATGATAAAAATAGCAGGCTTAGAATGAGTTTTAAGGTACAAAAGCAAAACAAATTTAAAAGCAACAGTAGACGCGAAAAGCGAAATTCTCTTTCAATATGATACATTTTTTAGATGTAGAGGTTCAAACGACAAACTCACCACATCGCGTTCTCCTTCATCGTTTGTCGATTGGAGGAGAACAAAGTTTGATCAACACTCCGTTCACCAGGGATCCTAATGTTCCGATTCAGTGTCCAGTAGAGGATCCAACTCGCCACAAGAGTCGAGCTCCCGGCTTTCAAATTGCAAATGAGCGTGGCACCATACAATCCTCCGAATCTCACATTCCTTACTCTGTAAATTTACAAATATAGCTGTTATATATATGCATAATATATATATATATATATATATATCTTGATTGACTTGTAATTGTTATACGTCTATTAAAAGAAAAACTTTTCTTTAAAAACATTGATTTCTTCTCAGTGAAATTTTTTTCATTATTTCATAAATCTTTATCTTTTAATCTTCACAACATTAAATAAATAAAATGTTTTTCTTAAAGCAAATTTATAAAACACATGATTGAATGATAAAGATTTATTTATATGCCAAATGCTTAATTTGATAAAATCTTTTAATACATGCAATTGTTTACAACTCAAAACTTTTAGTTCAAAATTTAATTTTTTTGATATAGTATAGAAGAAATATTGTATCCAGACAATATGCTTTACAAAATATTATGCATCAAAAATGTACATTGAAAGATATGATTACGATTAGTCTTCTTATAAGATATATACAAAGATTTACTTTTATAGAACAATATCGATAATGCTGGATCAGCACGCTGCAGACAAAAAGTACCACTATTCAATCAAGGGCAACCTTCAACAATGCGAAATTTTAACCATTATGAGTCAGATGTTCGAAACAGAAACAACATTGATGGAGATTCAAGCTGGAAGTTTGAGGATAAGCTTAATCGCAATATCAATAATAATATTCGGTATAATTATTGCTGAGATAAATGATATTTTTAATTAATAAATTCTCTTTGTAGCCTAATTTTTCTTTTTCATTACAGTGTAAATCCCATCAAGGAATTAGAAATAATTGGACAAGTTAGAAACAATAATGATGAAAACGATGACGCACCTCCGTTTAACTTTCAGGTAAAATGTATTGTTTTACTTATTCCATTCTTTTTATACAGTTATATACACACATATAAACATTTTTATAATATTTTTATTATTAGAAATGTGGAATAAAATTATTCGGATCTCTATTGAAAGTTCACAGAAACTATCAATTTAAACATATTTAATTCCATAAATCAATATTTATATTGTTTTACTTATAAATGTAAATGTTTCAGAATATATAAAATATTAATCAAAATCAATATTTTTTTCCTTTATTAAAAATTGAGCGGTCTAAATAAAATTATTGAGCTTATTTTTTTACCAATTTGAAGCTAATCTTATATATCGTAATATTGATTTCATTTATTATAAAATTTCTTTAATTCGTGATTTAAATTATTAAGATATTATATAACAAGATATTAAAAATGAAATAATTAATATATCACAAACTTCAAAAAAGATTAGCAAACTATCAATCTTTCCTAAAGATGTTGTTAATTTAGGCGATGCTGCGGAAAACTCCTCATCAGCGTGCTTCGATGAAACGCAATCCTGTATATGAGAGCATCACATCGCCGTCAATGCCAGAATTTTATCGTCGCGGTAACGAAAACTTATGCAACTCGAATGTCACCAACAAAAGTGGCGGTAGTCGAGATTCACCAGAGTGGAGTCCAAACGAGATGATTCTCATGTCAGAGAAATACGCGAAGCAGGACGCATGGAATGAGAAATGCGCCAACAACGGCGATAGTGTTACTACGGAGATTGCACCAGGCATTGTCATCAAAGGCCAAGTGGTTGAGCTATAAAGTATCGAAGAGAGGTCGGTTGCATGAATATTAGTTATATTGTATTTAATCAAACTATCTCTTTCTTTCTATACTTGTCATTGCTAGAGATATAATTTGAAAAGGAAAAACGATTGCTAAAGTTTAATGAAAACTCTGAAATACACTTGATTCCTTCAAAACTTTAGATTCTGTCTACCAATCAGATATTAAGATACATATATCTTGAATTCAGGCTTAAAGCTTGAAAATTGCCGATTACTGATGCAACATTGTAACAAAGCCCATAAACGATGGAGATTATAATCATCCATAGATATTTCTGCGAAATTATTGATTAAATATATCAACGATTGCTAGGTATGAATATATAATTAATATTCTGACGATGACTTATTTATAACAGAATGTTACTCCTCCATTGATATTCATTTTAATGTCATTATCAATAACTCAGAATCAATATTCAATCTCATTATGAAAAACTTAACATCAATGAAATTATACCTAGCACACTATAATAACATTGTGAATTTATAATAAACACGCATGATGTGGATGGAAAAATATAAAAATACTGATGTGAAATAATTCACATAAAGATAATAATTTGTCTATACATATATCACAGTAGTTTATATATATGAAAACGTATATTATTTTGCCATCTATCTTTATGCATTCATTCTTAATAAATAATATTTAAGATGCCGTTTTTGAGAGTTAGAGAGAACATCATATAAAAACAGCAATAAAAAAAATTATACAATGTACGTCTTTGTTCACATAATCATGAACAAAATATATTAAAATATCTTATATATAACATTTATATGTATGTATGTATTTCTAATATATATACATACATGTATATAATAAAAATACATTTTAATTTATAACCATTTACAATTTTTGGATATAAGAAGATAAATTTGCATTTGCTTGAACACACACAGTTTGATCTTTATATAGACTATATAGTATTCATTGCCATTATATTCGTTAATAATCTCATTGACAATGTCAAGAATTAGAACAAAATTAAAAGTCATAATAACAAGTCTTGGATACAAAAACTGTAAATACTGACTGATAACATTTACCTAATCTTTATCCGGTTGAGTGTGTGCGTTATCATGATTACAGTTTTGTTGGGAACTCTGCTTAATAATGTTAACCAATGTATCCAATCTAGTAGGATGCGCTATTTGGAGAACCATGTGTGCTTCTTCTAGGATTAAGAGACCGTTGTGTGCGTCACTGGCCGATAGATTATGCGCCGATATTACATGGCGTCTCCAAGCCGCATGTGTCGGAAGAATCTGACAATAATGGAAAGAAAATATCAAATAAATGCAAATATAATTAGATTCGCTTACTTCATATATCCTGCAACAAATTGGGAAGCTTTGGAAACTTACTTGTAAACACCACTTGCAATTAAGAGATGGAGAGATGGTGTGAACGGCTTTTATATGTCTTCTGCGGAAACCCCAACTCGTGTATGCTCTGTCGCAGAAGGGACAGGGAAACGGCGGATATGCCGGTCCATTTTTTATAGTTTCGTCCGATAAATCTGTACCGTAGGATTCGGTGAATGCGGAGAAATTCTCGGGCTGCGAAGCTCCAGGATTGCGTTTCATAAAGGAATTCGAGGATTTCGGTTGATCTAACGCATGTTCGATACGAAGACGATTCGATGAATCAGATGGCGAATCCTCTAATATTTTCGTGACATTCCACAGCGAACTCTGTTCAACTGCGAGCGGATCTTTGTTATGCATTTGCGGGTCTGGAGAAGTATTGCGAGCTTCGGCTATCACTGTCACAATCGGTTTCAACGATCCTGTAAAAAATTTCAATCTATCATTTGAATTCTCTTTATAAATGAAAATTGATAAAGATTGCGCGATTTTCAATTTTGGTTTAATTTAAAGTAATGTTCCTAATGTAAAATGTATGGAAAATATTTACGTTTTTTCTGTAGAAAAAAAATGTTGAGAAAAATTATCGCTCTTTTAAATATTATAAAGAGCAGCATTTATTTTGTTTTTGCATGGATACACAATAAAGAAGTATGATAGGTACATCGGAAATAAAGGGACAATTAAAAATGTAAAATAGGTTTATTTGCGACCAGTCGTTTGTTTTGTCTACAATAATATCGATTTAAATAATAGTCGGCTCGAAGCTGTCGAAATATATATTTCACTGATTAACGCCTATATCGCACGTGCAACCAATAAAAACGACTCGATTTTACAAGTAAACGGAGATCAAAGAACACTTTCGCGCGAATCTTAAGGAAAGAACGCACGCGATGAGAAATCGCACATTGATTCGCAACGTATATCCTAATAGTTCGTAACGCACATTCTGTATGTGTGTATGAGTGACCCTCTACTGCGATTTAAATACTCTATAAGCATGTCTTAAATCACTATTCCTGTCGTCAGAACTACGGTATCTCTTCCTTTAAGTGTACATAGAGCTGCCGCGGTCGTGCAGCGTTACGTTACGCACGCGCGTGACCAACATGACCGACACGATCATATATCTATATTATATATATATATATATACATATCTCATACATATACCTATAAGTCGTGTGCACATCCGTGTATATATATCGTATACATGGACGCGTAACGAATGCTTATATACACGCACATCCTGTCCGTGTATCGATAATGCGTATGAGCGAGTGCGTGATGTGTATGTGTATGTGTATATTGATGTGTATATGTGTGTTATATTCGAGTGCGAGAAAGAGAAAAAGGGAGACTCGCGTGTCTCTCTGAAACGCCAATTTTTTAATATCGTAATGTGTTACTGTCAAAGTAAATTCTCGCAATGAATATACCGCAAATAAATGAAGGAATGTAACGTTATTCAAGGTACTATAAAAAAAACACAGAGGTACACAGACAGCTGAATGATTGACTTCGCTCGTAAGCGCGTTGTGAGAAGCGTCAAGAATTTGTTTTAAATACGCGGTGTGCGAGAACAAGAGAGATAAGGAGAGAGATCGAACAAAGTATCTTGGGAGAGATACTTTTTAATGTGAATTATAATGAAAGAGGAAGGTTTAGAATTATTCGATCGTTCGTCATGTCGAGCGGCGAACCTAAAGCGTATATAAATAACTCAATCGCGTCTATAATGCTCTTGCCTAATCACCCTGTCACCCCGAAATCTACAGCCTAGAATCATCAATCGCGGATCGAAGACCGCTTGTGCTCCGATCCTATTGCACGTGTTAACTTCACGATTTTTGATCATGCCAGCTGACCGTCCGTCTCTTCTTCCCCCATACACGAATCTTAATATCTACTTACATCAATTTTTTACAACGTCCTAAATGTAAAGCTGCGCGAAAGCTTCACACCAAAGAGGAACAAGCGAGGGACGAACCCCGCGACAATCGCGTGAGAACGACGAACGAGGCGACAGGTTTACAAGAACGATCCTATTCCAGCCAGTGGAAACGTTTCCGTTTGACCCCTGACCTGAAACGCCCTAGTCATTGGGTGTAGACCGAGCGCCTCTGAAACAAATACCTTTTCAGGCCCCTATTGCTAGTGTCGATTTTGGTTACGCAATTCTTCCACGCTTCCTCCCATTCGATGCTGTTAGGCGCTATACCGCTGAAGTGCAACAGAACCTCCCGGATTAAATGTATTTTGTTGCTGTCGAACTGCTGTTTTCCCATTTTGCCGTTGACGTTACAGAGGATCCTCTCTTCTGGCGTGAAAAGGATCTTCATGAGATCGCAAGCTAGGTGATCCATCGGTCGAGACGACGCCCAGGTCGAGATTATGTCCGGGCTCGGCAGGAGATCGGCGTAAGGTAGATGCTGATACGAGTAAAGCAGCGGCTTGACGTCCGAGAATCCACTTAGCCCGGACAAGCCAGATAAACCGGAAATGTCTTCAGCAGGCCAGCAGGACTGTTCCCAGACCCTGCCACACACATCAGCACAGCGCGCTTTAGACACGGGCTGCCCCGACACACACGTGAATTACGCGCACATAATAAAGAAAATGCGAGCGAGTGTAAAGACTATAATGAAGGACCGATCACGCATCTTCCATCTCACGTATGCACTGCTCACGCACATGCACCGTCAATATCGAGGCGTGACGCCGAAAAACTGACTTCGTTCCCATAAAGTTTGACGGAAATGAAAGAAGACGAGTCTGCCAGTTTTTGCACGAGTTACAGTTATTACAAATCAATCGCGTTTCAGGATAGCGACAACGATATACTATCGCGCGTATCAAATACTGTGAAATATTTTTGCTGCAATGCAATGAATCACGAAGACGTTTATCATTTATTATGCTAATTACGTCGCTCTCATTGTCTTTTCAATAAAGTATTCTTTACTCGTGCACGCAATCTTTGTCTCTACCTCTCTCACGATATAGCACAGCAAATAAAGGAAACGTGGCGCGCCAAAAGAAAACGAGCAAAACAGAATATATGTGACGAAAGCAAACTGAAGATTCGAAAAAGCTACGAGTTGCCGTATCAAAGAAAAAGCTTTGATACTATAGTAGCCGCCAAACATATGCAAAGATGATGAATTAGTGTACATGATTGTATATAGAAAGCTTATGTGAGAACATGAATTGTGTATGTGCTAATGAAAACAATAAATCATAAGAGCAATACATGTTAAATATATGTAACTCATATTCGAATCTCGAAAAAAACAAAATATTATTGACCTTGCATTAGATTGCAACTTATTACTTCAAATAAAAACTTTGTACATAGATTAATAACAATAACGTATATATTTATCAAATTTAACGTGACATTCAATTGCTGATGAAGATAATATACATAATAAATGCACACTACTAATAATCTACAAATTCGGCAAATTACTGAGAATAAGTCACATCCCTTTTTTCAATTGACAGAATGTTGAATGAATTTGATGAAGATATTCCAGGTGAGAAAAATCATCTTCAAACATCTTTAGAAAAATTGTAGAAAATATATGGTATATATTGTTAAAATATTCTACATGTATATTACATGCTTGTATATATAAAATATATCTTCAAATTGCTAATTTACTAGATTTGTATTTAATTATTATAAAGTGAAAAAACACATCAGCAATAATATGACAGTGAAAATGCAAAAAAGACTTAATGTTGCATTTAATATAATACACAATTTTCCAGCACGCAAACACACAAATTATAATCTATATATGATGATTAATTATACATGTGTGATAGCATAATATATACATAAATTACGGTATAAAAAATATCTGACAAATGTTTTATGACACTAACCTTGATTCCCATCTGCTTGTCCTGTATCTAGCCTTTCTGCTGGATCCTTCTCTAATGGAGACCGCTTTTGGATATCATCTACTGTCATTTCCAATGGTTCTATCTGAAATGCATTTGAATTAAATGTGTTGTATTATAATATCACAATAAATCGTCATTGCTATCACAGTTTTTTAAACTAACTTTCATCTCCAAACGATGATATACTGGATTTGGTAATGTTTCAGGCAACATGTACTCTCCATCCTTCCCGCTTTGATCACTGGTCGCGGATTCATTTGTGTTCTCTGATTGCGGTATTCTAGGTGTTAAAGCTTTCTCCAATATAGAATTATTCTGTTGTTTGCCAACTTTTTGCTTTTTTTTAGATGTCTCTTCTTTAGTCAGCGGTACATCTTCGGCTACAGCCTGTTCTAATTCAGCTAATCGTTTATAGGACTCCTTTGCAAAGATATCTCCACCAGACAAGCCCCGAATTTGCAATGTTTCTGCTGCTTTTAAGAGTGCTGGTAAATTCTTCTGCTCAATATTTACCTCTCCTTTATATATAAATATAAGTAATGCCTCCAATTCACTAAAATGTACATCCTGAAGAATTATAACAGGATGTTGACATGGGTTCGTCTAAAAAAACAAAAAAATGAAATTGTCGAAATATATATTCATATTATTAGTATTCAAAAATTAGATTACTATTCATATTATTAATTAATTATTATAATATTTATGTACAAATTGTTATTTATTCAGATTTTTTAATTACTGAATTTTTTCTTTTACTTATATTTTGATTATAAATTAATTGTTATATATATAATTATTCAAAAATAATTAATATTGTTTGTATATATAATAGCAAATTAATTCAGAAAATGCATGATAAAGCTCATAGCAGAACTGACGAAATTTATGTGAAAGAAAAAAGAAATATAAATAAAATTGATAAATATTAAAATTAATAGAAAAGATATTTATATTTTAAAACAAATTTAAATCGATTATTCTAAGTACAACTTATCTACATCACAAAACGCGATCTCTATCGCATTGTTTAGAGAAAAACTATAGAAACACATTGTCAATTGTCAACAAAAACCGAGATAAGCACGAAAATCGTCATGATTAAGAGCTTGGACTAAACCAACTATAATTGATAACCATGTCCTAGTCAATAATTGTACAGTTTATCTCGAAAATGATCGCGACAATCATCTCTAACCTCGATATGAGAGCGTCTTGAAGGCTACGTGACAGCTGTCAAACGCGTTGTTGTCGTATCGCTTTGTCGAGGCTCGACAACACGCGTTCGATGCAACTACGAAACGAGAGGACAGATTCCGGGATCCTCCGAGAAACCTCAAGAATAGCTCGCGCAAGTTCGTCGACGAGCAGCAAGCTCACCTGGAAGACCTTCTTGAAGAAGGGACTGCTGGCCGATAGTATCACCTTGTGCGCCGTGAGACACTGTCCGTCACTGGCGAGGGTCACGTCCACCAGACCCTCTTCCTCCCACAGGCTCTCGAAGCTGGTCGCGATATTGCTGAGGAAACTGTTCCACTTTAGACATATTTGACTTGACATATCGCGGCTGATGTCGGACGGCACGGTCGGTGGTGTGTCGCGGACGCTATCGCACCGTGGTGTCCGCGGGACCCTCTCACGCGATGACGGGGACGGCGAACGCGACAGTGGGACGGCAGTCGTGCCAGGCACGCACAAACATCGTGAGAATACCACCGAGCAGCATGGCCGTCCGCGCTATTGGTCCCCGTTCGCGCGCCAAATTCGAATGACGTGGCGCTTCAAACCTGTGTTCCGCCACAGGACTGTTACCTTTTGCACGTATAGCACAAGAGGATGGTGGGATATGATATTCTATATGGTCCCGCATTTATTTACGCACAACTTTGAAAACGTTGCCATAATACATTCGATGAAATAAGGGCTCTGGAGTAAATCCGTTTGTCTTTAGGGCAGAGTCTAGTTTTTTGCATATTTCTCTGTAGTGAATGTAAAACAGATATATAGACAAAACGGTTGAAATAACGCTCGAATAAACTATATATATTCACTAGAAATATTATATTAACTTTTTAATAATCATTATTATTAGTATCTGCAATTTATATAGCAATAAATCGTTATGCATTCAAATTTTGGAGCTTTAAGAGACAGGAAAGAAGCAAGAGAGACGATAGCTGAAAGAAATAATAAAACGCTAATAAAATTTTCAAAATTTGATTTAAGCCCCGTTTACATATTCTTAGTATCGATAAATTTTTTTTTTTATTAAAAGAATTTTCCAGAATTACCAAAATTCGGAAAGTTGTGAATAATTTTCAATTCATGAATATATATGCGCTATTATTGTTACACATTGATTTTGTACTCGTCTAGAAAACGTTATTTCGTAAGAAAATAGCGGCGGACAATGTTGGAGATCGAAAAGCAAAGTTGTTCCACGGCACGGTAGACTTACATTAAGGCGAAGCCGAGTGTGCATGCGTGCGTGCTCTTACGTGCGTGCTCGCGTGCGTACAATTCAACTGTGTACGACCACCGCCGATTCCCGCGTGCGTGGCCGCGTGCGTGCATGCGTGCGTGCGTTCTCGCTCGCGTGCATGCATGCTTGCGTGCGTTATAACAGAGTTCCATAATCGTTATGAGGTTCTACCAGGTTCTACGTTCTACCCTGCTTCACGTCCCAGCCGTGAAGCATGAAAATACAAGACAAAAACTTAGCAATATTTCGACGCGTTTGTTTTGTTTAATCGAAGAAATAATTAACTGTAATTTGTATCTTTACAATTTTTTTTTTTTTTTCAAACAGATCCAATAGGAAGGGAGAGAGTGTTGTCTAAATTTTACAATGATTGCAAATCGATCGCACAAGATTATAAGAACGAATAAAAAATAAAGCAGAGCTATAATTTACATTTTTGCTCTGCTTGTTAGCTTCAAGAGTTATTACAGATTCTCGACTCTTACAATTATCACACATTCTATTATGAAATATACGACGGTAAATAATAAATGTATATATGTGTGCGTGTGGGAGTGAACGAATATATTATTTTATTTTATATACACTCTCTCTTCCCTTGCAGATAAATTATAATTTCAAATAAATTTGAATCGCTAAGTTTGCTCAAATGTGAGTTTTATTATCGCGTGTTTGTAACTTATAATTGAGAATTATCATTGCTAAAGAATATATTTTTATTCTGTATTGTATATATTCTATATATATATATATATGGGATTTATCTCTATCTATCTCTTTGTAGAAATGATTGTTGCAAGGCAGAAAGTTGATGCTCCGAAAGATTGCCTCACTTGGCGATTTTTACAGAATAATGTTGCATGAGAAAAGATGGCCCGACAAAGTCACGCGATATCCTCCAATTTGATCACATTTAGGATTGTCGCTACTTCCTGCTACTGGTACAATTTCCGCAATATATTTTATCACAATGGATTATGGGAGAAACAATATATTATTTATTTTATATGTACAAATAATGATTGATCCTAAATTTATATGTGTGTGTATACGTTTTGAAATAATACAGCTATATATAGTTAATAATAAATGTATACTAATCAAAATCTATACATTTTTAGAGAGAGCTTTATTTATATGTAGTATTAATAAGAATGTTCTTTCGAATGATTGGTTCTAAAAATGATTATTTCAATGGCATTTATTTACATCCGTTAATACACGATGTCTCAAACGCATGCACTCTTGCGAGAAGCTTTGGTAGTCGACTAAAGTGCTTCGAAGTGCTTTACCTTCAGTCGATTTTATGAGTGGTCCTGCTTGATATGACATGGCAAATTATACAATCAACGGAGAACCACACTCTCCATGCTGTACAATTCCAAAATAACGCGATATTTTCATAAATATAAAATGTTTTTAATCGATTGAATATAGATATTGAAGAATAATGTATTAAAATAAATTTAAATACTCAAACATATTCAATTTAAATTTTCGAGTTTTCTTATATAATTGTTTCTATAATTCATACGCGTAAATAGAACTCCACATATTTATATATAACATATTTTCCTTCAAGAGTTCATAATAGCTTTGCGAATTCGAGGTACCCGAGATATATCAAATGCCTGAAGGTTTTTTCAAACCGAAAAGAGAGAGAGAGTTTAAAATAATCAAATTCTATTTTCTATTCTTTCTTAAAATATGACAAAAATTTTTTTAAGTGCCATTATGAAAAGCAATTATAAACAAATATTTGTAATATCATAAAACATGTTATTCGTTTATGGATGTGTGAGGAGAGAATTGCAAACTAGATGTCCTTCGTATATGAAAAAATTGTTGGCCCTGAAAAGGGCCGTTTATAATTGTTGCCGATTTGTAATTAAGCTTTCTTCTCAGTTTTCTTCGGCAGCAAGACCGCCTGAATGTTTGGCAGTACCCCACCCTGAGCGATAGTAACGCCAGAGAGCAATTTATTCAATTCCTCGTCATTACGTATGGCTAGCTGTAAATGCCTGGGGATGATCCTGGTCTTCTTGTTATCACGTGCAGCATTTCCTGCCAACTCCAGTACTTCAGCGGCGAGATATTCCATCATGGCGGCAAGATAGACCGGAGCACCAGCGCCAACGCGTTCAGCGTAATTTCCTTTACGCAGAAGTCGGTGAATACGTCCAACGGGGAACTGCAGTCCAGCACGAGTAGATCGCGACTTTGACTTTCCCTTAGCCTTTCCGCCTTTTCCACGGCCAGACATGATGAATAAATTTGCGGTTAACAAACAACAGCTCCTTTATCGATGCGAAACCAACGATGCTTGGATACGTTCTGTTGCTCGAGCCTGTTCCGCCGACTATTTATACCATTCTGCGTTACCTCGGGCGTCCAATGGCGTGCCAGATTGCTACGGTTGGACGCAGAACGTCATGTGATTGGTGCGCCGCTACTGTCGCTTTACTATATATAAGAGCTGCGTTAAAGATTATGTGGCTTTTGATATTCTGCTGCAATGATCAGCGTATGGCCCTAAAAAAGATGAATTTTGCCGTTCAAAACGATCGGCAAATAGTAAAAAAAAAAATCTTATAGATTCAGAAAAATATAAGTAAGAATAATAAGAAAAATAGGAAGAAAACTACATTATATACATAAAAAAATGTTTTCAAATTCGTTGTATTGTTTTAATTAACAGACTTACGTAAGGAAAATTTTTATATCTTCGAAGTTAACCACTCATATGATATCATTACAAATGTAGAACAGATTTATTAGAACATATATACATGTGAAATTAACATTACGATTAAAAACATACATAACTATTTTGACAAGATTATTTAACATATTTGCATCGATTTTAATAGGACTAAAAAATTTTTCATGAATGTTTTTACCTTATGAAATTTAAATATATCTTTTTATAATTTGATTTCATCGTCATATATATACATATATGTCGTTATGTGTACATATATGTATAATCAGATATACATTGTACGTACATATATTATATGAATTTCGATTAAAGTGAGAAGTGAGAAGCGCATGTCGAGAATTCGTAAAAGCTATCGCTATAGTATTTTAGCAACTGTCTCATTGTTAGTGTGTTATTGCTGCTGTTTTTATATTTTGACGAAAAAAATAATCATTTTAAATTATTAAATATTTTTTTAGAACATTATGTCTCTCTCCGGTAAGTTTTATATTTCAATTTCTGCATATATATGAAATAATACATATTTCCAAGAGAAAGCACGTGTGTCACTAACATTTATTTACTATTAGAGGTTATATCTCTCTTTCTGAAGTTCTTTTCATATCATATTGTATATAATATATATAGGAAGTATCTCTCTCTCTATAACATATAAAAAATATTAAATATTTCTTATCTGTTATTTTATTAATTTATTATGTCATTTTCAATTATTGTACTAATTTAACTTATTATATAAATGAGAGTGTGCACGTCCGTATATACGCATTGAGGTATTTAATTAAACGGATATGACATAACGTGTGTCATATTAATATATAATTTAGAATTAATACCAAATATATGTGATTTACATAAAACTGAATGTGTGCTAAAATAAATATCAATTTTTTTAAATGTTTTTTTTTTATATTCTTAAATAACCAATATACTTTTCTCTATATTTAAATCTTGCTTTGAATTGTCCGATCTATATGATTTTGCAATGTTATAGACAGGGTAATATCCGACAATGCTGATCATATTGTTTGGATTGATATGGAGGTAGCAAAATATTACAAATAATATTTAATTTTAGTAATTATGATGAAAAGCAACCAAAAATTAATGCAGAAATATTAAATTGATCAAATTATATTATTACAGATGACTGGACTGGATGTAGAAAAAGATCACATATTAGAAATTGCCTGTGTTGTAACAGATAAAACATTGAAAATTATTAGCGAAGAATTAAATATTATAATACATCAATCAAATATAATTTTAGATAATATGAATACATGGTGTAAAAGACAGCATAAAAAAGTAAGCCTTGATTTTACTTGAGTGATATGTTTTCTTGAACTTGGCATTTACAAATTGATAAATTTTGAATATTTTTATATATAATTTATTTTATTAATAACTAGTTTTTATATATAATTGGTATATATGTGAATTTTAGACTGGATTGACAGAAAATTCTCGTTCAAGTACAATCTCGTTGGAAGATGCTGAAAAGATGGTGCTTAACTTTTTACAAAAATATATTCCTAGAGGTGTATGTCCACTGGCTGGAAATACAGTCTACATGGATCGTTTCTTTCTATACAAATATATGCCGCTAGTTAACAATTTTTTGCACTACAGGATTATTGATGTTAGTGCAATCAAGGAAGTTGTCAGGTATAACAAATCTTTTCTATTTTGATACAAACAGTAATATTAATATTCTTTTCTTGTGCAATATAAATAAAATTAAGAGCAATCTACCATAGAATAGATATTTAAAGTGATAATATAAAACATGATTGATGACGAATAAATTTTTATAATTTTTAGAAGATGGAATCCAAGTGTATATGATTCTGTTCCAAAAAAAGAATTAAAACATAGGGCTTTAGATGATATAAAAGAAAGCATTAAGGAGCTAGCTTATTATCAAAAATATATATTTGGGTTTCAATAATAGTATAATTTTTTATATTTAAAAGAAACTATAATATACATTTTTATCAATATCTTTTTTAAAGCAGAAAATATCATATACTGAAAACCATCAAGTGCATCAATACAACTAAATTTGTAAATACTTATAAATTGTGACTAATGAATGTGTAAATATATATTTTCAATCAAGAATTACTTCTCATCAAGCATAATAAAAGCATAATAAAATATATGTAAATCTTATCTTTGTATTATGTGTATAGATTATGTATTTATGATTTTAATATAATAATCATGCTATCTTTTAACAATTATATACATGTGTGTATATTTGTGTATAAAATTGTGTTTTATATTTTTCTGTTTATTTTGTAGTTTATATGAAATATATTATTGGCAAAAATATGTATATCGAACTGTATTTTAAGAGATAGTCCCAATATGGCGTAGCCAATCAGATTTGCTATCTAGCTTTTCTCATTTGCCATTTATACGTTATCTTTTTTTTGCGTAACAGTTGGTAGTAATGGTTGTTGCTCTTGCATGTCACCTAGCGGTAATCGCGTAAAATACCTCAATTCAAATTTTCCAACGGATGCTGTGTCTAACTTCTGGCGTGTAACGTTTACAAACAGTAAATGAATACGGAATAAAACGTATCGTGAAAAGAAGTAAATTCGTATCAGCTGTGTTGTAACGAGAAATATTCGGAGCACAAAAAGTTATTCAAAATGAATGATACACGTAATGCGAAGAAGGATAAAAATCAACATATACAGGTTTTCGTGCGTGTTAGGTAAGCATAAAAATTATATTTGGAAAGCTAGTGTCCTGCTGTTTCAAAAGACTGAATCCTGTGTAGATATTGAAAAGTGTATTAGATTCTTTTTATAAAATTCCGATAGGGTCTCTATTTTTTCTTGTTTAATCTAAATTTTTTATTATTTATAAATATGAATTTAATAATTATATACATACAATATATATAAGAACTGGTTTTTTTTTATTTTTACACTGATATTAACACATTTTTATACTATTGAGCAAATATCTTTATGGAATGGTGTTATTTTTAATAGACCAATAAATAATACTGAGAAAATTGGAAAATCAATCTCAGTAGTGGAATTACCATCTAACAAAGAAGTAATAGTGCATGAAAGATCACAAGGCAGTCACTCGAAAAAGTTTACATTTGATAAAGTATTTGGACCTTCCTCAAAACAAGTAAAGAAATATTTTTTATTTTATAAACAATTAAAATTTTTATATTAAAGATTTTAAGAGCAGCGCTTATACTTTTGGAAGAAATATAATATTGTTTGAAATTTATAGGTAGATGTATATAATGCAGTTGTTAACCCATTGCTTGAGGAGGTATTGGCAGGATATAATTGTACAGTTTTTGCCTATGGTCAAACTGGAACTGGAAAAACATTTACTATGGAAGGTGTTAGCAATGATCCAACATTGCATTGGCAAAGTGTCAGTTATATTTTATATAAAATAATTTATATTATCATAGTAAATGTAACATGTATGAAATTTCAATATATATAATGACTTAATCACTTAATGTAATGTTTTTAATATAATTTAATATAAGAAGAATGATCAAGATTTCCTGATTATTGAATTATATGATCAAATTTGAAATGCAAGAGATTATAGAAAAATAACATTATATGTTTATAAAAACAAAAACTTTTTATTAGATTTAGCAATTTTTGTCACAATATATAAGTGTAATAATATCATATCAAACATATATATGCTTATATAAAATTAATTTATATATACATATAGGATACAACAGCTGGAATTATACCTCGTGCATTGAGTCATTTGTTTGATGAATTACGTATGTTGGAAGTACAAGAATATACAGTACGAGTTAGTTTCCTGGAATTATATAATGAAGAATTATTCGACTTACTCTCCCCTAACGATGATGCATCTAAAATAAGGTAATATCAAAATGGATTTTTATAATAATGAAATGTGAAATTATCATCATATTTGTAATCTTATATAGGCTTTATGAAGATGCTACAAGAAAAGGTTCAGTAATCATTCATGGATTAGAAGAAGTAACTGTACATAATAAAAATGAAGTTTACAAAATCCTAGAAAAAGGATCTGAGAAAAGGCAAACAGCTGCAACTTTCATGAATGCTCACTCGAGGTTGTTATTTTTATTTATATATGTTAGTCATTTATTTTTTAAAAGTGCTGTATTTTATGCTATATGCTTGTTATAACATTTTTAATACCATATTTTCAGCCGTTCTCATACAGTATTTTCGATTACTATTCACATAAAAGAAAATAATGTAGATGGGGAAGAACTTCTTAAGACTGGAAAATTAAACTTAGTAGATTTAGCTGGGAGTGAGAATATTGGAAGATCTGGTGCAGTTGATAGGAGAGCAAGAGAAGCAGGAAATATTAATCAATCATTATTGACTCTTGGTCGAGTTATAACAGCACTTGTTGAAAGAGCACCTCACATACCATATAGGTAATCGACAAAACTATATTGTATTAATAATATAATTTTATACGGACATACATATAAATAGAAAACCTAACATTTTTTTCTTCAAGTTTTGTAATTTAAAATTAACCGAAATTTATTATTTTTGTATCTTATATTAATTAGGGAATCAAAATTAACGAGACTTCTGCAAGAATCGTTAGGCGGACGTACGAAGACATCAATTATTGCTACAGTATCTCCAGCAAACATAAATTTAGAGGAAACATTGTCAACATTAGATTATGCTCACCGTGCCAAAAATATCACAAATCGTCCTGAAATCAATCAGAAATTGTCTAAAAAAGCATTACTTAAAGAGTATACAGAGGAAATTGAAAGACTTAGGAGAGATTTATTAGCAGCACGTGAACGAAATGGTGTATATTTGGCACAGGAAAATTATAACGAAATGCAATCATTGATTGAGAATCAGAGTAAAGAAATTGAAGAAAAAATAACTCACATTAAAGTGCTTAAAGAAACTATGGAAACTAAGGAGGTATAGATATATAACTATTAATAATACTTTATTATAGTAATTTATATTGTTATCTTATATTTTATTTTTGTTTATTGTTTAGCAAATATTCGATGATTTACAAGCAAAACATAATGAACAAACTAATCATCTACATGAAACTAAGGAACAATTAGAAACTACCACTCATGCTTTGAAATCTACTACTGCACTTTTAGAAATGACAGAACGTGAGAAAGAAGAACAAAGTCATTTAGTAAAAAAACATGTATCTACAGAAAAAGAACTTTTCTCACAGGCACAAATACTTTTAAACGTTGCTGATACAGTTACAACTGATGTAAATAAGCTTCAGGATAAAATTTCTCATAAAAGGTAATTACATCTCATTTTATTATTATTTTAATATAGGGTAAGGGATAGCACTGTAATGACTTTATAATATTGATGCTACTATTATAATTATTTTAAATTATATTTAATGTACTTCTCTATATACACACATATAGGCAATTGGAACAGGAAAACGAACATCTTAGTCACCAATTTCGATGTAACATTACAAAACAGTTTCAAGACATGGAAAATAATGTTACAGTTTATTCGCAAAATTTTCTACAGTTTTGTACTTCCATGAAAAATAAAATAGGTAAGTAAAAATTATTAATATGTGCATTTATGTGCATATATAAATGGATATCATAGAATATTGGGCTATTTTTGTAGATTCACAAGTAAAGTTATTCAAAAAGGATATAGATTCGTTAATCGATCATATGTCAAATGATATTGTTAATAAAGAACAGTCAGCAGTGGATGAATTTAGAAAAAATATAAATAATTCGGTGAGTTATTTGCACATACATAAAAAAAACAAGATCGATAATGTAATCAAAGAATATATATAGCACAAATTTTTCTATTTTAGTACACACATTATCAACAATGGTCGGATACAGAAAGAAAATGTTCATCTGACATGATTCAACGTGAACAGGAATTTTTAAATGACACATCCCTAAAACTGACATCAAAAATGAATGATTTGATACAAATTAATAGCTTGCAAATTGCAAACAATTTACGTCATTTAAATGATGACGTATCTCAGAAATTTGATAAGTTACTGGTATATACAAATGAATCAATAAGACAACTTTGTAATCACAAGATACAGGAATGTGACAATTTACGTAAAAATATAGATGATATAAAACAAAATGTACAAATTATTTATGAAAATGATGGTAAAATTATGGAGGAACAAGAAAAGTTTAAGAAGGTATGATCATAATTTGGTAATAATTTTAATATTATCTTATGATAATATTTTACTAATATTTCTTTTTTCAACAGTTTTAATAATTTTATTTACAAATATATATAAACCATAAAATATATACATATATATATTTTTTTTTGCAGTCATTTGAAAATTTATCGCAACAATTTAACAACTTGAATAAAAACGTGACCGAGAATTATTCTAATAAATGCACCACTTTAGCTCGTGTTAATGAAATTTGTGATAGTACCGATGCCATTATTCTCAATGACTATTACAAAACTGTTGGAGAAAATGAGTCTCTGGAACAGAAAATTCAGAACAATATTGATATACTTAAAAGCGATATTGATCATAACATGATAAAGGTATTATTTATATACTTTATATACTATATATTATTTATATATTTTTATTACACCTTACTTACAATTCTTTTTTAAATTATAAAAAAATCTGTGTAAGAAGTGAAAATAATATGTATGTTGATTCTTTCATTCTGTTAGAATCAGGCAATAGCAGAGCAGATTGCAGTAGAAGGCCATAATTTAACTGACGAATTTCAAACTAACATAAACAATCATTGCAATATATTAATGCAGGACAAATTACATGTGGAAAATGACAAGAAACAAATTGAACAAAAGTTCATGGAAGATAATTCTTCTTCTATTGGATTTATTGAAGTAAATTTTTATTACTCTTATATATCATTAAAATTATTATTTTATGGAACACATACACATATTTAACCATATTTTACAGAATATCCATCATATACTAATGGAAGGTTATGATAATCATGTAAAACTTGTAGAAGAAAAAGAAAAGAAAAACCTACAAATGTTTATAGAACTAGATGATGAAATTAAAAGGCAAAGTGAAATTTCGTCTGATTGGAATGACAAGACAACAACGGAATTGAATTCAATACAAGAAAGAATTGGGAAATTTCTTCTTGAAGATTTACGGCGCGATACACCAACAGGTAAGTTTACGACTTTTATGTAGTGCTAAATTTAATAGCTAGATTTATTTAATATCTTTCTTATAGGTTTAACACCTGCAAAAAAAGAATATCATTATCCACGACGCTTGGTCGTAACTTCGCCACACGAACGAATCATTCAAAGGTTCAGAAAAATAAGAAATTATCGTGAAAGCTCTGATGACGAAGTAAATATAAATATCGATTTATTTGGAAATATTAACATATTTCTACAAAATGTCTTATAGATTATTACATAAATAAATATAGTGAAATGTGTAAATGTTAAAATGTATTATATTTTTGTAGGAAGCAACGTTGGTAAATAATAATTCACCGAAGAAGCGATCGCAAATCCAAACGTAGATTAAACGCTTCAATTGGTAATTGATTACATTTTATACTTATGATAATAATTAATTATACATTAGATTTACTGTGAGGTAATAATATTTTGATACAATGACATGATGTAATAAATAATATTAAAGAATTTACAGAAAACTGTTTAACAGATCTAAGGTACATTTTGCTTGACACTATTTTCGCTTTAAAGCGCAAGATTCTTCTCCCTGATTGATACATCAAATGTTTGGGAGCGAAAATAACGTCAAACGGAATGCATCCCTAAATCTACATCCCAGATCTGGATTTGTTTTACAAATCTGCATTATTTGTATAGAAAAAATACCACACAATATAATTTAATATATAAACGAAATATATATATTAATGAAAAAATTCACTGCATAATCAACTCTTACGATGAGCGTCAGCTTTTACGCTAATCTCAGACACTCTAATTCCATTGAAAATTACGTGAAATGACCATATATTGTATTTTTCATTTATATTTGTTAACATACCACGGAGGTAAATAGAGAAAGAGAAAGGAGATTATAAAGCATAGCACAGCTTTCATTTTTTTAATTATCGATATTGTAATCAAACTAAAATTTTGCAAACTGATCTGATTGATGCATCTGTTACCTAATAATTTTTAATCTTACATTATTATCACATCTCATTATCTGGAAACACTAACATTACACATTCAGGAAAAACAATTTACTATACAGAAATGTATAATACAAAATTATTTTATATTTTGTATTTATATACATAATTACAAATGATAAAATTATAGACCATAGGAAATATTGTTTAGTTTATGGTGTAGGAGTAAATGAAAGATTCATAGGTGACAATTGACTCCCAGGTGTTGCATCTGTTTGCGTTCTTTGCTCAATCACAGGATCCGTTTCATTCATATCATCCACCTAGAATAGTTAAATGGAATTAATTTGCCGATTACTATTAAAAAATATTTTTACTTACCACCATAGAAGTTTCTCCTATTCTCTCTGCTCTTTTTTCAGCAATCGTTCTTAATAGCACTTTAGCTTCCTCCTTTGTTTCATCAAATTGAAGACATTTTTGTGCAAAATGATTTGCATGATCTAATTGTTCCCTCTTCAAGTGATACTGTGTAAGATATTTATATGCATGACTCAATTCCGTTCTATCAACGCTTCGGAATTCGTCCATCACAAAGTCTGTATAAGCTGCTGCTGCATGATCATGTTCTCCTAATTTCTCATACAACCTATAACAAAAATATTTAGTAAAAAATATATATACATATTTTTTTTTTTGCCCTGCAATATTATATACACACACATATTATTGAATACATACGTTGCTAACTTTAAGAGTGCCATTCCTTCTATGTCGCCCACGTTGCATGCCTTGTAATAACATTTAAGGGCATCTTGAATTTTATCCTGTTTCTCATATGCTTCACCCAAGGCTAGAACCATTCTACTGTCATGGGGTCTTAAGAGCTGAGCTTGTTTATAATAATAGAGTCCGTAAAATGGCATTTTTAAGATCTCATATGTTTGACCTAAGCCATACCATGCTCTATAATCTCGTCTATTTACCTCTGTGATAAGTTAACAAATTTATAAATGAAAAATATATTATATATTATTGATGCAAACAGAAAATATTCAAAGATTTTACCAATTGCCTGTCTATAACTGTGGATTGCGCCATTAGTATTTTTCATTTCCATAAATTCATGTCCTAGTAATGTCCAAGCTGACAAATATTGCGGATTCATTTTCAATGCTCTATGGAAATACATCACTGCCTTTTGATGATCTGCTCTTAAGCTGTAATAATTTCCTAAAGAGGTAATTTAATTTTCATCTTGAAATACACTCTTTAAATATAATATTGATGTGCTTTCTTACAAAGATTCAATTAATACTTACCTACTATACAACAAGTTTCCAATCTATATTTATCTATCTCAGTAGCTCTGTGTGCCAAATATGCTAATTCAACTTTCATTTCCTTCACATAAAGTAGATTGGAATACGTATCCATGTTATCAAGACAATAAGGATCTTCTTCTATTATCCTTTTAAAAGTTTCTATTGCATTATCAACATCTGGAATAAAAAATATTTTTATAATACTTTATTATGAAAAAAATATTTGAATTATAAAGGCATATAAGAGATATTTAATCAAATAATTCATTTTGAAATTAAGAAAATTAGTTTGAAATTTTTCAGTTGCAAATTTAATCGTACATTCTAGATAACAAATTTGTTAATTCACCTCTTCTATAATGCACTGCAATTGCAGTTTGAGCTAGTACATAACCATTTTTCTGAAAGCCCATTGATTGCAATTGGCAATATAATGCTAAACCTTCATCTATCAGCTGCAGTTCTAAATACATATGTGCCATAAAGAAGTATTTCATCCAATGTTTGGGTAAGGATAAACTCTCCAATTTCTCCCTGTCCGTGATTAATGCAGCCAATTCTAACCATGTACCCCAATGCATAGGTTCTTTATGTATAGACTCCACTAGAACATCTGTCGCTTCTTTAGCGAGTTGCAATTTCTTCAAAGTCACACCGAAAAGATATAAACCATAACCATCCAACTTCAAAGCCAAATGATCTTTTCTTAGATCAGCGCAAAGCAATTTCAAGTTATCATTTTTCATCGGGTCTGGTGGCACATCTGTCATATCGTCCACTTTTTTCTTCTCTCCTGACAGGTAACGTGAATACAAATGTAGGAATCTAACTTTTGGACTTGTACAGTCCTTTGTGAAATAAGCTGCTCTATCATATTCTTTCAAGTCAAAATATGTCTTGGCTAAAGTGTAGGTATCCTCCTCTTGAAACGTCTCCGATATATCCGCAGTCAAATCGTGCACATCCAATTTTACATTTTTCAAGGAGTAGTTTAATTCCGCTAACCTATAATACAAACACCATATATATAAACACGTATGTGAATGCGTAGAACAGTGATATATTTATTTCAGAAGAAACCATTTGGTGGTATGCAGCAAACCGCGTTGAGAACATTCGCTTATCGCGTGCAGAAGATCCGATTTAACTTCTTTAAGATTAAACTTCACGGATTCTTGCATTTTGCCTTCACTTTACTTTCCTATATCATATGTCATTCGCTAGAACAATAAGAATTTTACATAGTGCTGCATATATTCAGGAATAAAAGACAGAAATTTTTTGTTTAATTAATCTATATTTTTCGATACATTTTACTCATCGTACCGGCATCGTTCTTTGTTTACAATACATATATCATGTCATGTATCATGTACTGATGCAATAATGCCAGAAGAAAAAAAAATTCGGCGCTGATACTAAAAGCTAAAGGTTGCTGCACACAAAGCTATTTCCATTCATAAGGATAACATGAGCATATATAGCGATAAAATACTTAATATTTATTAAATATTTAAATAATATATATAATGAGATTATTTGTCAAAATATTATGTATCGGAGTCAAAATGCTCATGTTACCCTTGTTGAACCTAGACAATTTCATGTATACCAACCTTTTCAAGTAATATGCACGTGCATAATATGTAGAAGCGGAAAAATTCATAACCTCTTCTATGAATCACAAGAATGAAAATTTATCAAGAAGAGAAAATATCATCCGATGATGTCTACGTATCATCTGATTTCATGGGTAAGACAATCATATATAAAATATTCAGATTTGCCATTTTTTTTTTAAATTATTGTTTCCGTGTACATACAATAGTTAAATTGAACCAAGTACAATATGTGAACAAATATTAACAGTAAAGGGGGTAGATTAACTTGATAAAAATTAGATATATCCACACATTTTCTAAGTCTTATATATATTTTTTCACATTATCTAAATATTCATTTTTGCTCACATTTCGTTCTACGAAATGCAAGTTCCTGATTTTAGTCGTAGCATTCAATCTTAACCCAGAGATTTTATTTACTCTGGTTTTTAAAAATGGACAAAGATTTTGAAATTTATATTTTAGTTATGTTTTTGCTTTTAATTTTAACTCTGAGTTACTGTATGAAAATGTGAACAATATTCTAAAATAGTTTAAAAGTTTGATTTGAGAGAATTTGAAATTTTACATATCTTTTTCAAAATATCATGTGCATGTGAAACATGTATACTATCATGAAATCTAAAATAAACTTTATCTTTTCCAAAAATAAAGTCAAGAAATGAAAAGTCAAACTATAATTGATGTCGTATATTTTCCATTTCTATCCTTTACCAGTTCAACTTTTTAGATGATATAGTGAAATATTAAAAAATTTAGGATAGAGCATATATTTTTTCAAAATATATATCTTCAACAATTAATTAAAAATTCGATAAAATATGATGGACATATTTTACAGGGTGCAAATTCCCATGGTCAATTAGGACAAGGTATATTATCCGAACAATGTATTTTACCTCAAAATGTTGATTTATCCGGATGTTCCCTGAGACTAGAAAGCATAAGGAAGATTGTCGGTGGTGCTGGGCACACGCTGATTTTAGATACAGATGGTCGGGTACATTCTTGTGGATTGAACGACAAGGGACAAACTGGAAACGGCAATATCGAACAGAGAAACGTTTTAACGTTTCAGAAAATATGCGCTCTCGAACATGAAATGGTTGTTGATGTATGTTGCGGATGGGATTGTTCCGCGGCGTTAACGAGAGACGGCGAGTTATATGTATGGGGCTCCAATCGTTATGGACAATTGGGTTTGGATCATTCAATTTTTTCTACAATATCGCAGCCCCGCAAAATTACGATCGGCGAAAAAATCAGATGTGTTTCGATGGGTCTGCGACATACTGCCATCGTGACAGAAAGTCACAAACTCTATACTTGTGGAGCAAATAATAGAGGACAATTAGGATTAATTAATCCAAAAACTATGGAGCCTTATATTCTTCTAGATACATTCACTAAAGGTATGACAATTTTTTCGCATTGGATGTATTTTGCTTTATAAAATTGAACGATTTAAGGAATTCTAAAGGATTGATAGTATAAAGTATTGAACTTGCTTATGTGTCTATTTTTACTTTAAATCTCTGCATTTAATATATATCTAATTATATATTATATATTTTTTATATTAGTTTTTAGTTATAGCTCTTATTTATTTATTAATTTTACACTTGTTTATATCATTTATTGTTTTGAGTTACATACAACTCAAATAGTTGATAAATATTCTATTGTCCAATAAGAAAACGAAAATGTTTACATTTAATTAAAACACAGGTGAACACAGTTCTAGAATTGATAATGCGGGAAAATATAGAAAATGTTGCCTGTGGTCAGTATCATACTGTTGTCATAATAAAGAATCAAAAGGACATGTACAATATATACGTTTTTGGTGACAACAAACATGGACAATTGGGATTTTGTCCTAAAACATTTTCTGAGACGCGATTATGGCAACCTATATGTATTCCGCTTCCTGGCATACAACTCGATACGCCAATTCAGATTCATACAGGATGGAGTCACATAAATATCTTAAGCAGTAACTAACTTTGCTTCTTATTATATAATCAAATTATTTATATGTAATGAAAATTGTATGATTTTAGATGGTGTTGTTTTTTCATGGGGAAGAAATGATTACGGTCAATTGGGCCATTCATTATCACATCCAGAAAATAGAATTTCCATGCAAGAGAGGCTTCAACATATTGAACACATCCCCAGAATCATTCAACTTTCAGTTGGATCTGAGCATAATGTTGCTTTAACTGGTACTGATAAATTGCATGATAAATATATCCAAATGCATTTGAAATTAATTATGCTAAAATATAGATGGTAATATAGAATATATCAAATAATTATCATTTTTCAATTTAAATTGCATATTTTCGATTTCCAATTATCTTGTACTTTTTTCTAATTTTCTTTTATCAAAAAGGAGATGGATATAAATCTTGTGTTAAGCTTCAAAAGTATCTTAAAATATCAAATATGATTAAATATTGAAAGGAATATTTTTAGTATTATTTGTAATAATTTAATTTTACAGATGATGGCGCGATACTATGCTGGGGCTGGAATGAACATGGAAACTGTGGTAATGGAAACACTGAAAATGTTTTAAAACCAGAATTTCTTTCAGTTCTATCCAATTCTGTTGGTGTCCTTATTGGTGCTGGCACAGGCCATTCATTTGCTGTGATAAAAGATATTAGCTAGTCACAATATTAATATATCGCAAAAAAATTTATTTTTTTATATTTAGTTACAATTGTGTATATAAATAAAATATTTTTGCAAATATATTGCTTATAAACTTGTTATTCGATTGCGATGCAATATAAAGCAAAAACATAGTAAAAGTCAAGTATAATAATGTAAAACTATTTGTAATTACATATTCTCTGGGCTTTATAAAAAAATATAACTTAATTTTATTTTCCTCATATGTATGAAGATAAATAAATCGCGTGAAATTAATAGCAATACGTTTTTTATACCAATACTAAATTTTAAATCTTTAGTTATATAATATTTATAATATTAGTTATATAATATTTATAATATATACTAGCCCGGCATTTCATGCCTCCAAATCTTTGCGAGGGAAACACAAAATACGATTGCTTCGCAATTGAAATGGAGAACGTGGAGTTATGATAAAGAATTTAGATCAGACCTTGAATCATCCTGAACAGAAAATTTAAACGAATTTGTCAAAGATCTATAATCGACCCCCCTGCGTTGTTAGCCCGAAGGTAGTATAGAAAATGCGCGGCATGCAACTTCACCTGCGGCAATTCACCACCTGTCAGTAGGCAACTGTCATCGGTCGCGAATAGGAAGGGAAACGACCGAAATTGTGCTTTCCGCTTTACAAAAACTTTATCGTGGCAAAGAAACTCGTTGCACAGAAAAGTTTATCAGATATATTTTACAGAAAAAAAGAAATGCTTCGAGCACGGTCCCAAAGCAGCGTGTAGTAAGTTGAGCGAATATATCTGGTCTTTATTTCGTTTGACAGATCGTATATATAAGAGCGAATTATAAATAAATCTCTTTTGTTTATTAGTGAACAGGAAGCGAAGTTTGTGCAAGATCGTATAACGGGCGTGGAAAAACACTTTGCCGAGCTGTGCACGATATTTGCGGCGTTCACCAGAAAAGCGGCCAGGTGCTCCTCCGTGAAACTATATTGATTATTTTTCGTCGGCGATATGCGTAAACCTTTTATCCCCTATCACTTCGCGCTCCGTTTTGTCCGTTACTCATTAATCTTTTTTTCAGGTTGCGCGATAAAAGCGACGAACTAGCTAAAATAATTCAAACCTACGCCGATTCGGAGATTATAAATCGATCCCTGAGCGCCGGGCTCGCGAATTTTTCGGCAACATTATCGGTTATCGGCGATTATAGGTAAAACTCTGCTTCTCCATTTCGGATAATCATATTTTCTTCGCGATGTATAAAAAAAGGAGAAAAAACATGTTAATTTATTTGTTATTGCAAATTGTTACGTTTAATATGACACCATGAATAAGTGAAGAAATAAAAAAATCATGTTGATATATTTTTACTTGCATAATTAAAAATATTTATATTTTTTATGTATCTTCCTATATTAAATAATCATGATTTTTATTTCTCGATGAACGAAAAAAAATAAGAGATAAAAAGAAACGTGCTCTAGCTCTCTTTTTTTAAATTTATTTTCTTTCTCTTGTGTATATACTATTTTAATTATATATAATACTTTTAGCTTCAATGTTATTTTAATATTTGCGTTTTTAAAATTATTAATTTACTTTAGAGATGCAGAGGTACAAAGATTAGATGCCAAGATAATTGCACCTCTCTCGCAGTACGCGACAATTTGCAAACATGCTCGTGATGATGTTAAAAGCACCTTTGCAGCACGTGATAGAGAGCTCACAAGACGAAGACATTTGGACAAAGTCCGAGAAAGAAATCCCAGGAATCACCAAATGATAGTATCCTTGTAATTAAAGATTTATTTCAATAGCATTAAAATAATGAAATAAAAAATCAAACTATAATTAAAATTAATAAATATTGATAAAATTATTTCAAATATCTCTTATTATAAAATCTTTAACTGAAAAAAAATCTCAGTCGCAAGCCAAATCGGAGCTGATGAAAGCATCCGTCGAAGTATCCCGAGTAGTAAAAGGATTGGAAGAACAAATCGATTCGTTCGAACGAAGAAAATTGCACGATTTGAAATCCATACTTTTAGACTTTGTCACCATCGAAATGAGCTTTCATACAAAGGCCCTCGAGCTTTTGACTAAAGCTTATCAAGATATAGCGGCTATAGACGAGATGAAAGATCTTGAGGTAAGATGTAAGATTTAATTTGAATTTTTTCAGCGTGCGCTCCTGTGTAAAATTAAAAAAGAAAGAGAATTGTGAAATTACAAATTTATAACACATGGGGTAAATTTATAAAATACTATAATTGCATTATATTGATATCTGTACAAGTGTAGTCAATAGTTGTGTATCCTTTGACATGCAGGACTTTCAAACCGCGAGAGGAGAAATGAATGGGGTAAACTTACTTCAAATTGATATCTGTATTATTACGATTAAATACCTTACTTTACATTTCACAATAATAGCTTTATTATTACCAAATATTCAATATTATATAAAATTTATGGAATATATTACGAATATTATTATCATTGTTTAAATAAAGCATGCAATTATATCGTTATCCAGGAATTTAGAGAGACAATGCGCGTCCCCGATTCCGTTGCAAGACTAGACACAGTGAATAGAACTTCATTTCGACAGGCTTATTCATTAACGAATTTAGCCAGCCGATTTGCATCCTCTCCCATGACATCGCAGAAATCAAGTAATCGAGAAGCTGAATCTGTCGTAAGTGCAAAATTCGAACATGCGTTCCTCTTTATACTGTTCTATTATTAGATTTTAATATAAAAAATTACAGGATTCTGTACAAACTGGATTCACAAATTCTTCTGAATCGGTTCAAGTTGAGGAGTATGCGGACAGTACAGAAGAAACAGAATCAGAATCAATTCGAGAGAAGCCTGTGAGAACTAGGCATAAATCAATGTAATTTCAATTACATTTTTAACTTTGTCCTTCTATCTTTCTAGAGAACAGTATCAAGACACTCAGGATGTAAAATAAAGAAACGCTTCATTCTCAAACCTGTTCCACCAATTCCTACATGTCAGAAGTCCCTAATATCATCTATAATATACCGCATACCTTCTAAAATGAATAAGACAAAGTAAATCTTGTATTACATATTATTTATCTTTCAAAAATATTTGATTATTTATAATTTACATCATAATTTAAATGTCTATAGATACAAAAATTTTGACTAAGATAAGACTTGTATTAAATAATTGCTTTTATAGAAGAAAAGAATATTATATATACAATCGCTTTTATAAAGTAAGGAATGAAGAATTGATGTAAGTTACATGTTCCATTAAAATGATATAAAACCTAATGAAATTACATATACTTATGTCTTTGATATCTCGGTTAATTGTATGATAAAATTTGTTTGATATAATATCAAAATACATTTATAAAAAAGTGTAAGTTTATTTTTGTATTGTAACAAAAGGATGGATATCTCACAGTGTCTGTGTACATTCTTTTTCCACAATTATATATATATATATATATATATGGCTATCTCGGATGCTTTGGATGAGTGATTACTTATAGATTAGTGCACTTGAAAGAAGAATGAACTTATTTATCACCACCTTCGACTCCTGCTTGTGTCATTAGGTCCGCAATATTCTTTTCCAAGTCGTCTATTCTGTTGCCCATCTCATCTAGTGTTTCTTATTAAGGATTTCTTTATAGCAATGATATAAATTCAAATATATATATATGTGTGTATAATATTATTAAATTAATATTATTAGATTAATTAAATGAGAGTATAACATACATATAATGGATATAAAAAAAAACTAATACACATTAATACACAATTAGTTACACTAAATTCTATAGAATATACATGAGATATCTACAAATTGTTCCAAATGTTACTTCAATGTGAATCTAACATTTTTATATTTTTCTTTTAGGTTAAGTGCAGAAAAAGGATATTTCTTCCTATGATCTGGTCGGACATCGTTTGAAATTTGTCCTGCATATTCTGCAGCAGCGTTTGCACCTGCAAAGGAGTCAACGTAGCGTCAACGACCTGTCGCGACGCGTCTCCGGATGCTTTGTTATCATCATCATTCCGTGTATGCGGACTCACGTATTGCGTCAACTCCTGCATGTTCTTCGGATCGGCGCTATTATTCATCCCGTAATTGTCGACATCCTCGCTCTTGTGATCCTGCTTGATGTCGGCCATCCTCGATGTCTTGCCGGAACGGAGGTTGAACGGCTTGTCCGAGACGTCTACGTCGCGGGCGTAATGGATTCCACGATTCCCACGAACGGGCGCATGCGACGCGACGTCTCCATCTTTCACGGTGACTTCGTGACGGATAGTGCTAAGCACCGATGATTGATCCAACAATGTTTATAAACCTTAAGCAGGTTTTCGTGCGGAAAGAGAGAAAGACGAGATATCGACATGAAATGCAGGAATTGAATTTTTAGATATTTGTTTATTCGTTTTCTCTCATTATATATTTTTTTATTTAGTCATTATCATTATGTATTAATTTATTTTAATTTACATATAAAAATCACGTAATATATGAAATAGGAAATTAAAATTATAAATACAACACCAATGCATGTGGAATGACACGCGATAAAAACGAAATGTTCTTATTTATATATATATATATAAGTATAAAAAAGATCGACGTATATATTATTATCAAAAATGATACAGATACAGAAAGTCATACGGATTGAAAATACAAAACAAGACATATATATATTACAAAGCTTTTACTAGCGTAATTCGAAACATTCGAGACGTCAGAGATATCACGTGATATCACGTATCATACGATTGATAAATGAATATCATATTATTGTTTTTGCGCACAGGCTACTTATTTTTATCTTCGATAAAATTTTAACCAATTGAAATTTACGAAACCGAAAGCAAAATAAAAACGTCTATTTATATATATAGGCTTCAAGAAAGGAAAACTTTAAAAAATAAGAGTGCAATGTAAAAGAAAATCTATTAGGGCATACGATGAAATTTTCGTCAGTTTCATATATATGTTTCTCGACCCGTTGGATTAGTAACATGTTTTTGAAATATGCAAATACAGGATGATGTCAGGATGATAATCATCATTTTTCAAGTATAGGTTTATACCAATAAAATGGTGTTTTCTTCTAACACCTTTCATTTTTTATTCCGATTGGCTACCGTCAATACATGTTTTTGAAATATGCAAATATAGGATGATGCCAGAATGATGTAATCATAATTTTTCAAGTAGGTTTATGCCAATAAAACGGTGTTTTCTTCTAACGCCTTTCATTTCAAACTCCGATTGGCTACCGTCAATATTCCTCGTCTCGCATTTAACGCATGTGCGCGATATCAGCTGATTACAAGCGCCAATTGCGTATAAACAATAGCGTAAAGCTGTCAGATGAGTGCCATTTCGTTCTGAGGAGAAATACTCGAAAAATTATTGTTTTATTCGTGTTTGCTCCAGTTTAAATGCAATATTCCTTTAATCGAGTTCTTTAATATAGTATCGATACAATTCCGATTTAATATTTCTCTTTGGAATCTTAAGTACCAAATTATGTTCTTTTCAGGATATACATCTATTATATTGTATATACATTATATTATTGGAGAGAAATTATATCATTACATAAAACTAAAAAATAAAATTAATTTTTTCAAATTATGAAAGAGAGAAAGAAAAAAGAAATAAATAAGACAACATTTTTTATTTTCTTAAAAATGAGATAAAGAATAAAATAAAATAAAATTGAATATCTAAAGATGTAATAAACAATTGTTGAGATCGAGTTTTCAATTTTTACACGCATATAAAAAGCAACAAAAGTTTATTATTGCTATATATTTTCTAAAACGTTGTGACGTACGTATGTATTGTAATTCCTTATCCGATTCTCTTCTACGAACAGTGCGTTAGTGAATTATTAATTACACAAATCGCGAGTATAATCGGGAGGTGCATCTTCGTCGTAATAACAGAACCGATAATTAATATGGAAATGAAACTGGGTTAATATAATATCGTTTTCGAAGCAAGTCAAATGTTTGCCTCCCGATCCGTGTACCATCGTCAAACGTCGGAATGTTCTCAAAGATGCTATCTCGTCGACGTAGATAGACGTGTAACACGGTAGAATATTCGCCATCCCCATGTTGGTGAAGGAGATTCAATTAAATCCTTCTCTCAAGGAAATACAACCCAAGTCTGTTCAAAGTCTTAATTGATATATGAACACTTCTTATCTTATATATAAAATTTATTTCTTCTGTGATAATTTTAAAAATTTAATTCTTTTTTTTTAAATGATTCATATAATTTTTGCTTCCTCATAGAGGAAGCTTTGTTTTCGTGACAAAATTTTTTTTCGAGTTTTCTATGCCAATGTGTTTAGAATGTTCCAAAACGTCGAAAAATCATATTCCTAAAAAAATGTCTGTATGTATTATTGTGTGTGTGTGTGTGTGTGCATCGGTGAAAGAAATTATTTTAATTTTTATTTCGCTCACAAAGCTTCCTCTATGAGGAAGCAAAAATTGAAAAATCCGCATGCTTAAAGCAGCTTAAGCATTGTAAGATAAAATGATGAGGAAGCAATGTGCAAGTTTTTAATTTGCACAACTCTACTTGTTTTAATTTATAGGAGACGACTTAGGTACATATTTTCTTCGTGAAAGTATATTAAGAAATGAACAGATAACAAGTCCAAGCTTAGGATGGTTACTACCTTCAAAATTATTTTGGAAAGAAACAGAAATTTTGATACAATCGGATTTAAAGAATTACACATTGAATAATTTACAACAATATTTCATGTACGGTAGATTATTTATTTAGATAATCATTATATCTCTGTATGCTTCTCGTTAGTATAGAAATATTTTGAGATATATTTTTTCTTATAGAGACATAGGCATTCCTAACGCTTGGGAATTCAAAAAAGACAATGAGAAATATCAATTAGATTTTACAGCACCAGGTGTTGAAGTACATTGCTTATATGGCAGCAAAGTGCAAACTGTGGAAAAGTATGTCATTTTTACTATATAGAAAATTTAGATAATTAAAATAATTACTAGAGATATTAGAGATTTATAAGAGGTAAGAGCTTGTTTAAAATTTATATACATTTTTCTACAGGTTGTATTATAAACCAGGCACAGCTATAGATGGCTATCCTCAATTAATATTTGGAGATGGAGATGGAACTGTAAATATAAGGAGTTTGGAAGCATGTGCACATTGGCAGAAATCACAGAAACAAAAAATTTATTATCAAGATTTTCCTAAAGTAGATCATACTAACATCTTAAAAAATCCTGATATTTTAGCATACATTGCGACAGTTTTAAAAGTGTAACATGGTTATAATATTGATTTTTATTAGACACAAAAGGATGCAACAAATTAGGTAACATTAATATCTTAATATTTTTTTATTTGGTTTTGATATAAATTAACATCCAAATATAATAAAAAAGTGACACTAAATGTGAAAATATTGAGAAATTGATTAAAATTGTAAGAAATTTATTCGAATAATGTTTTTACTTAACCAACAAAATAATTTTCTGTAAAATTAAAGTTGAATGATTCATTTATTATGAGAAATAAGTCATTGTAATTGAAAATATATTTTTATTAACTACATTGTTCATTAAAATATATCATTACATAACGTGCCACCAATTCAATCAGAAATATTATAAAGTAGTGCAATTACAAAAAAACACTTTGTAAATATCAATACTTCCACTCATTAACTCTCTCACCTCATATCCTATAAATATAATACTATATTTCCTCTTTATACATATATATTTTTATACTCGGTACATATGTACACGTCTATCCATTTTTACGTTGTACTAATTGTATGATCTCACACGAAACAAAGATGTAATTAATATGACTAGTGATGTATAATAATTATATTCACGTCAAGTCTCTCCATATTATATACAATAGTGTATGTGTATATTTAATAGCTGATACATAGCACAGTTAGAATAACAATGAAATCCTAGTTCCACAGTTTACAAGTCACAAACCCATTTTATCATAAACATGTCAATGTTGTATTTACATCTTTATTTATAGTATGCAATAAACGCTTATGATGGTTTAGAATAGTATTTGAAAATCAAGAAACGTGTGTGTAAAGTATTATTGTAGGAAGTATATTAACAGATACATAAACTTTCTAAGATTTTTACTATAATTTCAAAATTTTCTCTTGGTATTTTATCCATATGTGCAATTTATATATTTCTCTTTCTCTCTCTCTTTGGTATAAATATCTTATTTTTGAACATGTAATAAACATTTATCAGAGTACATTAAAAATGTTTCTATGCAAAACTACATTTATGTACAAAATGATAAAAAGTAAATATTCTGCAATTTTCTAGGCATTGATATCATTTCATTATTTCTGATACCATCTCAGTATTGATTAAATTCATTCTGATGAATGTATAACACACATTAATTTCACACACACACGCACACATTTGTATGAAATGTTACTGTAATAATAATGTAAATTATTACAACAAACAAAAAACTCATATCATAAATGGTGATAATAAATAAATGTTGTTGAAAAATAAGATATTTATTGATTATAATATTATATTGTAATTTTTTTTTGCAATAATTAACTCAATATATAAAATTTTTTTATCACAGATTGTAATAATGTAATTACAATCTATATATACATATATATATATATATGAAACTTTCATATATATTTTGTTTAAAGTTTTCCTAAACATCTAAGCTGCGTTTCAAAATTTACTTCTTAGAATAAAATAGTGTTTGATTAACCATCACAACAAAGAAATTGTTTCTTTTGTCCTGACAGGTCAACCGAACGCAACTCTCTTCTAAGAAGTAAATTTTGAAATGCAACACTGATTTTACATGTTCGTACTTTTAATAATTTTAAATATTTGAAATAATGTGCTTTGTTTTTTTCCTCACTAAGTTTTTATGTATTTGTGATTCTTTTTTAACATATATACGTGAAAAGTTCAGGTCAACCTCCAAAGAACACAGCACAAAGGCAGCATAGGAATGCATAAAATTCTGATTCTTGTACTCTAAAACAGATTTGCTGAAACAATCAAACTTTTTGTAATTATTCTTCTAGCAATATATAATTTCTTGCTATTTCATTCCTTTATGGTAAAACTTATTTTTACTCAATCTTAATATCTTTTCTCAATCTAAATCATTATTTAGTAATATATTAAAGTAGTCTTTTTAAAAAATGTGTAAAAACTCTTGTTGTAAAAGTTTTTTTACAACAGATAATATCTTTTAATGTCAGTTAAGCCCTGTCGAAGATCTTATAAAGGCATATATTCCCAAAGCTAAAATAGTCACAACAGTGATAGTTTTATAACTTCTGATACGATAAGATATCCTTGGTGTTGACTGGACAATTTTTAAGTTTCGTTGTCTTTCTCTCTCTTGACGACCTGCTTCTGCCTTTGCTTTCCATTCTTGTTCTTTAATTTTTCTCTTATGATCATAATCTTTGACATCATTACTGATAGATTCAGGAGGATATTTTTGATATAAATCTTTTGCTTCGACTAAAAGTGTTTCAAATGGCAAGTCATCAGGTAACTGAAAATATAAATTTCTATAATTATATTATTTTTTTGATTGCCAAATTTTTTTTATTATACTTACCGTACATAATATCTTATGTGTGTGTCCCATGTCAGGTGTAGTATTGAAAATTTCGGTAGCTCTATGTGCAACAATTACTGTACTTAGATAGAGAGGCATGAGTGGAGGACTGCCCAGGAAATAATCAAATAATCTATGTAATAATATCCTGTTTTCTGCATATTTGTGTGCATACCATGTTGTGTATTCAGCCAAAGCAAAGTGTGGAAACAGTTCTACACTAAGGTAAAAAATAATTCTGCAATTAGTTATTATAATGTATAAAAAATCTAAAGTGTTATATTTCAATGTATAACTAACTTCTCTAAATGTTCCAGGAGCGTTGGATGCACTCGTTCCAATAATGCAAATATATAGAATAACTCTTGATTTACTTTTTCCATAGTTTTTTCCATAAATCTTTCCAGGAACTCTAATGATATACTTTCAAGCACATACAAGCCTGCTTGTAATCCCATCACAAGTAACACAGTTGCTGCTATATCATTGTATCCCTGGTAGTAACTAGGTACGCATTATTTTATTTTATATTACACAATAAGAGAGATAAGTTATATAATTCGTATTTAAAAAAAATAATATTTGTGCTCTTAAAAAAACTAACTTTAATTCGGAATGTCTATGAAGTACCCAGCACATAAGCTGCGTCAATTGTTCTTGGAAACTTTCTGTTTCCTTTTCTGTTGCATTCTGTGAAATATGGCTGCCGCTACGTGCTACATCCTTCAATATCTGTTGATAAACCTCATTCGGTATACAAGTATGTATGGTCTCCAATTCATTAACAGGTATAAACTCCTCTTGTACTAATCTCAAAAGTTTTGGCCACAGTATCCTTCGTATATCATCTATAGATCATCTTTGATTTTAAGATTTGGCTTACAAGAAATAAGATTATTCTCAAAAAGGAACCAATTTTAAATAACATTACAAGATACAGTTTAAATAATACTATCTATATTTATAAACTATATTGATAACCATAGATAGACTGTCAAAACTGTCAAAAATTTTCTCAAAATCTGTCAATAAAGCTTGGAATAAGATCATCGTATAGTTCCTTGTTGATCATAATGTATTGGTCACCTTGACAAAGTACCGTTAACGAAGCCTTCGCTACTGCAACCAAGTAGTCTTAGCTCTCCTAGAGTTAGATCCGGATTGGCGATGCTACCGTGAATAACGCTCATTTTCATCCTCTCGCGATTGATAAGAGGATCCATCGAAGCGCTGCCATTCAATTCGCGATCATCTTCGTGAGTCAGCACTACTCCGTTCTGTTGTTTACCCGACGTGGCCGTATCGGTGACATCGGGTATCCGCGGCGCGGTACCGTCGTACCACGCTTTCGTGGAGTCGGGCAGAATCACGAGGGGCACACGATCGCACAAATTGTCTTCCTTGATCGCGAAGCTCGCTAATTCAACCGGTACATTTCTCCTACGAATTTTATTGCTATTATGATTTTCGGTCGGCGTTGACGCATCTGTCGCGGATTGCACCTTTTTGTTCTCGGTATCCATACTTCACTCAGTTTTCACGCGACTCTTACACACCAGATATATATCAGGGGACGCGTGTCATAACACTGATAATTTTGTTAAAGAGTTTCCTTAGGAATCTGAAAACTCTAATGGGAAACCGCTACTAATCTGTCAAACATGACACACGATAGCAAAACGAGATGACACACACTGCCTGCCGATTGACGTTACACCAGAACCAGAGGCACCAACCACACGCGAGCGCGAGGCGACCTTGCCAAAGTTATCTTGCTAAAGTTAGTCATGAACTTTATCATGAATGATGATGAACGGTAAAAATACGAAATACAAAACTTTTATTTTCTATAGTAATATGACATATATATATGAAAGATTAGAGATAAAAGGAGCCTCGCGAGAGAGACTTCGGAACTCTTTGATGTTAGTCATCTCGCTTGCTCTTCATTCGTTCTCGCTCTCGCTTTCGACGACTCTCCAGCAACGAGGATCTTTCCTTATTTACAATACATAAACATAAAATAAAAACTAAAACTTTTATTTTGTATTTTATCGATTTGAAAATAATTATAATGGTTTGATAAGATTTATGCGATTAAAATATAGCATCAAACGCGACATAAATCGAATATATCGTACATTTAAATATATCATACGTTTAAATATTATACATTATTTTTTAATAATAAATAAATATTAATAAATACAAATAAATATTAAAAAAGGAAAATAAATCTTAGAAAATTTGGATTCAAAATTTAGTTTTCAAAGTGATAGAGTGATGAACACTTTCTCTTGGACTACTGCGTATTGTTAAAATTTATGTCAACGCTATCAGTATACTTATGTAACATATAACATTCTCGCATAAAACTTTATAAAGTCTTTGTTTCTAGATTAAATATATTATTTGTAAGTACTCGAGATGCTTTTGTTCAAGGATAATAGACAAGGTAAAAATATTTTCTATGCAAATGTTATTTTGTATTAGAAGAAAGAAATTTATTTTATTTATCGTACTCAACATTATAAAGATTACAAAACTATACACAATAATTTATTTTGTTTTACAAGGATTGTTTTATTCACTACAATTTTTACAATTCACAAGTTTTACTCTAAAATAAATTTAGTTTCTTAAAGTCTAAAGTAGCAGAGAGAAACCTGAGAGGGGCCACGCCGCCGTTTTTCCTGTAATGCTTTCTCTAGCCGGTACAGTGGCGCTAATTGGATCCATTTTAGAGCCGGCGGAACTACGTGGCCGGATCCACTTTTCGGTGCCATGGTAAAACGATCGATTGGTGCATGTCCGTGCTAGATCCATAATTGTGGATCTAGCACGGACATGCACCAATCGATCGTTTTACCATGGCACCGAAAAGTGGATCCGGCCACGTAGTTCCGCCGGCTCTAAAATGGATCCAGTTAGCGCCACTGTACCGGCTAGAGAAAGCGTTACAGGAAAAACGGCGGCGTGGCCCCTCTCAGGTTTCTCTCTGTCGATAGCAATGACGTCTCGCTGGACACGTTGTCCAACGTCGTCCAACGTCGTCATATCGCACGTCTGCACATCGTCTCTTTACGCATGCGTGTCGTTTGTTTCTGGCTGTCGCATCTCGATTCTCGCAGCGAACAGTTGTTTGGTTATTCGATCTTTTACCTGCCAATAAATTATTGAAAATGTCGGGAAAGTCTAAGGCATTTACGAAAGAAGAGGAGCTATTGTTACAGGATTTCTCCAGAAATGTCTCGACGAAATCCTCGGCGCTATTCTACGGCAATGCTTTCATCGTGTCGGCGATACCCATCTGTGAGCGCAGAGATTTATAAACTTATCTTTTAATCATTCTTTTTTGCGTGAACAGACTTATTGCAAAATTTTACATTGGTTTTATGTATGATTTATAATGATATCTGATTTAAAATACAGTTAACTGGAATTGGATTGGTTATGTCTTAGAAATGGATTACTATATAGTAGTTAAATTCTATGATTACATATATATTTTTAATATTATTTATTATTAATATTTACGATGTCATTTTAAATTATCCAATATACATATATATTTAAATCAGAGAATTTTCTTTTATTAATACATAATTTTTAAGCCTGATTTTATAATAACAAGTATATTATAATTTCTTATATTCCACTGTATCATTGTTCATTTATATTTGATTTTTTGGTTTTTATTGTCACAAATAAATATAAGATTTTTAGTTTTCATTACTATATATATATTAACTATATATATATTATGTGTTTAATATATATTATATATGTTTATAGGGTTGTTTTGGAGAATACACTTAATTGATCTATATTCCAATTTAATCTCTTTTGTATTGGTTACATTGGCAAGTACATATGCTCTTGCATTGGCATATAAAAATACAAAATTCATCCTCAAGCATAAGGTATATACATATATATTTATAATACATATTTAGAAATAATGATAAGAATGTATAATTATATAACAATAAAAATATAATAATTTTGTATATTTTACATATACAGATTGCTGTAAAAAGAGAAGATGCTGTAACGAAAGAAATAAGCCGCAAACTTGCAGAAGATAAAAAGATGAGCAAGAAAGAAAAAGATGAAAGGTATTATATTTTTTGTATTTTTCTTTATATTTTTCTGAAACATAAGTAACAAATGAATTAGTAATATTTTGAATTTAGTATCTTCTAAATAATTACTAGTATCAATTTGAACACAGATGATGTCATTCTAAGATTATTTTTCATAACTTCTGCATATTATATGTATTAATACATAATGTTTAAATATCTAGAATTTTGTGGAAGAAAAACGAAGTGGCGGATTACGAAGCAACAACATTTTCAATTTTCTACAATAATGCCCTTTTCTTGGCATTCGTTATTGTATCTTCGTTTTACATTCTGAAAACATTCACACCTGCAGTAAACTATATACTTTCCGTAGGAGTTACTAGCGCAGTCTTAGCATTATTATCAACAGGATCTCAATAATGTATGTTATTTAATTCATATATATTCTACTCAACTGATTTCATAAGATACCTCCATCAATTTGATTTATCTATTTTGATATGAATACAATCATATAAATAATATATAGATAATAAACATTTCCATTTATAATAAAAGATGATTTGCTATGAATTATGTGTTACTTCTATGCAAATTAGATAACATGCTTAAACCATAAAAATCACTGATTTTGTTAGTCATTGACCATCACATTCAAAAATTGTTTATATTAAAAATCATATATTGTATTATATTGATTTTACACTTTTTTTTTTTTTGGAAGAGATGGCATTCAACAGTTTCAGAAATAATTGGAGCCAGCATAATGAATTTAAGAATATTGTTGTTCTTTTCAGACAAAAATAGATTTATATTAAAAGTTTTCAAGAAATAAATAATTATTTTTTATACAGGGTGTTAAAAAATTAAACCGATAAACTTTGAAGGTAAATGAGGACTCGATAATAAACATTTTCTGTTAATGATATTTCTCTCTGTTTTGTTTTGTTCTTATATCATATTCAAACTCTCAATAGAGCAGAGATCTTTAGTCCATTCATTGATATAAACGAGAGAATGGTTCTTTTATTAGAAAATCGGATGGACAAAGACAACGTTCAGTGAGAACTCCGCGATTTGAAGAGCGAGTTTTGGCACAAATAGAAGAAAATATAGTAGTATTGAAACTAAACGTCGGAGAGAAAAATAGTATTAACAAAAAATATTTCTTTTCAAGTTCTCTTTACTTTCAAAGTTTGTTGGTCTAATTTTTTAACATCCTGTACATCGCGATTTTCAAGTTAGTTAATTTGTAATTGGATAAAAACATCTTTTATTCGTCATGTGTTACACTAAAATTTTATTTTTTGGCTGGCTCCAGAGAAAGGAACATTTAGGACAATCAACTAAGATTGAATAATGATAATTAACAATAAGTTTATTAATTTATTATAACTGTATGTTCAAATAGAATAGAATATTGTCCATTGCAACATTTCATAACGCGATATGTTATATTCGATACTACAAGATCAATCGCTGACTTTTAGTTTCGGCTTGTTCTTTTCACTTTATTCATCTATGTTACTCAACTATATTTATAAAAGAAGAATCGGCATGGAATTAATGCATTACAGATTGAGATTGTCAGATGTGAAAAGATAAATAATATTTAAACATCGTGTCGCGTTACTACTTTCATTATTAAATATAACGTGATAATTTTATTCATCAGACGAATATTTATGATTGATTTACATAGACATCACTATACCATAAACATCTATTTATTAAAGTATGATAAACATTTTACTCGAGACTTTAGACTGTCGCCAATAAACTTTGAGCCTGATTATCTCGGAAATGATTAATCTGTTCTAGAAAAAGATATATACTCGGGGAAGCTTGCCGTACTTACATAAAGTTTTATCGAAATCAGTAAATTACAATTTTGAGTTTACTTATTTTATTACTATACGTTTTCTAATCCTAAATAAAATTAGGTCTCTAATAAATTTAAGTCTATCTAGCTACGAAATATATTCAAATAACAATAATACGCGATAAGTAAATACGAATCTTCGGATATTGATGCACATGCTAGAAAATGTAGTATTCCTCTTACCATTTTTTCGTCTCCATAGTAGAATTAGTTTTGATTTTTATTAGGTCTTTCTTAATTAACATAGACAAATAATAGATTGTTTACCGTTGGCTGAAGATGATTTAAGTAAAGAATCTAGCCGGCACATTTCTACTGATTAATATCGATTTCACTGATTCAATCCGGTCTCTGATTCCGGTTTTTCGATTACGAATTGCTACGTAGGAATTCGATAATATATTCCCGCCGCATTAAACGTTCACATGTGGCGTAATCGACATAGGCAGACCAAGTTCTTTGACAAGTCAGTATTGCAAGAGCTTCCATACGGTTCGGAGTAATCCAATTCCTTATCCAGAACAGGTCGTACATGTGGAAACTGTTCATTTAATAAGTGATCGAGAAGTGAGAGCGACAGGGTAAGTATAACATAATGCACATGATATATCATCTCTAGAGATATATTTGAGTTGCAATAAAATAAAAATGAGAATAATTGAAAGGTTTATAAAAGAAGAGTAAAATGTGTGTGTGATAAAAAAATTGATTTTTATGCATGATATAGAGGCTTAGCTTTTTATAATATCGCACAGAATTGTTGCAATAAAGAGTTAAATTAGTTAATTCTTCTGTTAAGAAATTCTTCTTAAAAGAAAGGATATGTAACTTTTTATTTGATCTCACAACTTTGTTTAAAAAGTTAGAATATCTCATAGGTATGTCTTCGAAATAATCCTTTTATATTTTCTAGAAAAATATTGAACTTATTGCAAATTATGAAGATTGAAAATAGCGGAATAATTGTTTTCAAATAAACGATTTTCAAATATTTTAATATAACATTAATTTACAATTTACTCTTTAACATCGAAAATTATGAGTCCGTGAAAAAAATAACGAAGTAGCAGAAAGTAACAGTAGTAAAGGTTTTATCACGCGTGCGTTCTTTTTCAATTATTTGGGAAAATTTGAACTTTAACATTTTATTACACTATATATACGCAAGTGTACTATGAATTATGAACTTTGCGCTATATTAATTTTAACATATAAAACAAAGGCTTTATTAGTATTTTCCTGTCGAGTTTTCTCCGTATCAAATTAAAATAATCATTTTTTACACGTGTATGCGTTGCGTTTTTTTCTAGATTACTTCTACGCAACTAGATCTATTTGCATAGAATTTCTAGATCTAATAATACATCGCATATGGAAATAATAATAGATATACATTCTGCAATACATTATGCAAAATGAAGAAGTTAATAATCTATTTGTCAATAGCTTCCATCTATAAGATATAATACGATGAAATGGTTGTATTTTAATAGTTTTTTTGACATGATTCTGTATACATACTGTGGAAATGCTTGTATTCTTATCGAAGCGACGACGCATGCTTTTGCATTAATGTTTCATATTGCACTATAACCATTGCAAAATCCCATAGCCCATAGCAATTAACTTAAAGCTTTCAAGTAACATTGACCGGTTACGATCAATTTTCAGGTAACTAAACGACAATGTATTGACTACTAATATTGCCAACTCATGTATTATATTAATATTTTGAATATTTGCATATTCGAACATTTTAAATGTATTCAAATTTATGCGATTCTCTTTTGATTCCCTCTCTACAATTTTTGTCTATAATATTTTCTTATATAACGTATCTTTATGACATATTCGTTATTGTCGTATTAAACACCTCGCAAATGCCCTGTATTATATATTTTTTATAATATTAGATTTGTATTATATATTTTTTATAATATTAGAATACAAAAATATATATGTATCTATATGCGCGCACTATTTGTTCTTATGATTTATAATAGATTTTTCCGATATCAAAAAAATTATATTGATACAATTATATTTTCTTAATGGAACGATTAATCAAAATTTGCTACTGAAGTACGCAAGATTTGTAATAAATATTAGAATCTCATCTTTTTGCATAAATTTTTAAATAATTACACTTCGAGAAAGTTTATATTTTTGTAATATTATATATTACAGAGAGAAAAATACGCCTGCGTAAATACGATCATACTGCTATGTGTAAAATGTTAAATAAATTATTTTAATTACGTATTTTGAAAATTATAGAGTTGAAAGATTATTTCCTGAACAAGAAATTGATGATATTTGCAGGTCTTGTTAAAATTTTCATTTTCTCTATTATCTAACCAAATTTTTTGTTGAATATTTTTATCATAATATATTTATGATTTATTTCAAATTGTGATATCAATATCCCAAGGCTGAAAGAGAAAGAAATATATTATTTTTTCATATATCCGGCTCATAAATGAGTTTTAATATAAATGAAGATAAATTAAGGTAAATTAAGATAATAAACTTGATATCAGTTCAACAGTCACAACCTCATATTTTATGTGTAACATAAAGATTAATAATTATATCACGTATGTTTTAATATATATTTTCATCATATTAAATTCTAATTTAATCTGCAGATTAGAGCCTTTTTGGCTATAATCTTCGTTTATTACAATCTCATTATTTTATACTTGAAAATTTGTTTGTACATACATATACATACATACATCTACATATAATAAATGATTTACTCTTTATTATATGAATTGAAATTTATATTATCTGACTCATGATTATCTTAATTTATTGTATCATATTTCTAATGTATACTTACTAATGATTTTTTAAAGACAGAAAGAAAATTTACATATATTATTAGAGATTTACGATAGTATAATTATTTGTAATCTGAGGTATTTCGATCTGTTTTGACAAAAAAAAATTTTTAATATTTTTTTGTGTCACATACTTCTCGCTTCTAATATAATTTAATATGACTGTAATGACAGATCAAAAAATTAAAAAAATCTGCTATATATTAGGTTTTTACTTATGAAAAATGTATATAAATACGCAAAAATTTCTAAATACTTTATACTTTTATTATTTAAATATGTAATACTTTGCAAAAAAAGGTAGGAAGAGACTATTATCCTTTCTCTCTCTCCTTCTCTCATCCTAATTTTTTAACTCGCGATTAATTGTATATATTCTCTATTTGTTCAGTGTAATGAAATATATCTACAATAGTATATCAAGACCAATTTTTTTTTTTTTTTTTTTTTGTAAATCTCAATACATGGAATAATTCGGTATGTTGCATAATAGTTGAGAATCTTTATCTTTATATTGTATAAATAGGGTCATTTAATTAGTTGTATTAACTGTAATAAGAATTTATATTTTTTACCAAAATAATATTTACTGGCTCTATATTATATACTATAATTTCTTTATTATAGGCATAAGCCTCTGGTCAATCGATTATAACTTGATAATTTAAATTGTAAACATTATACATGTGTATATATATATTTGCAATTTTTTAAATATCATGAGATTTTACTTTAAAGTGAATATATTTTGAATAAATTTTTAATATGAATATTTTTTATGGCATGTATTGATAATTCACATATCTATATATGCAAATATATACTATATATATATATTTAAAAAATGTGTAGGATTGAATTCGTTTTTTAAAATAATATACATACATATGTTTTTCGACGACAACTGTTTATTAATTTTAATCTGCAGTTGCTACGATTCAAAGTTACAAGTCATTCAGGTATAATTAAATATTTTGCATTTCTTATACAATCATATGACAAATATGCAACGTGTACTTTTTGAATATCACGTAATGATAAGAAAACATTTATTATTGTGAATAAAACCTTGATATTGTTATTCGAAGAAAAATAGAACACACAAAAAATATATCGATGAGGAATTGATACTTCATGAAAAAACAAAGAAATATAGAACAAATTTTTTTTTAAATTAATTATTTGTTTTATTTTTTTAAATCAACGATTTATGTTTTATAAGGAGTGTCAGAGAAACTGGTTTGTGAATAATAAGCGATAAATTTAGATTTCTTGTTATGCATTGCATATATAAAAGCTTATTAATTAATTTTTTCATAATGTACACAAAATATTATGAAGAAATTAATAAGAGATTTAAAGAGAGACCTAATGAATCTTGATATAGATTTGTGAATAAATTAGTTTGCTATTCAAATGATTTTATTTTTTACGTTGGAAAATGCCATACTACGCTATATTGAATACGCGTTGTCCTTCGTTAGACGAAGAATATCGTTATTTGTAACAGACTTTAATCGTTTGTAATGAACACTGTGTAGTAAGAAGTAGATTTTTGCAAAAAGTTAATATTCATGATAGATATGTACATCTCATATTATTTCCTTTATCTATATCTTTTGTCGACCGATTAAAACTTCATAACTTAAGATTTAAGTAGATATATACATGACTTTTCAAATAACCGCATGAGATTTTATTGTTGCAAACGTATATTTTATTGAGAGCATAATCCAGAAATATGCACTTATATAATAAGTGCATATCTCTTAATAAATGCAACAGTTTTGTAATCGGATTGCAATTGTTCTATTTAACACAGTGCGACTGCACCTAAAAACGAAGCGCGTCTAAGGTTCAACGGTACCTGCGGTAAACGATTCGATATTTTTATATTAAAGTACAATGTTCAAGCTTTTATTTTAGCCCTGTCTGAACTCTTTTGCATATTGGGTTCGTTTGCTACGAATTTTCAAAAATGGTAAAAGACGCGTTTTTGGGGAATTTTAATCCCATTTTTCTCGAAAACCTGACGTGATAGGCCATTTTGCCTTGCGGATTTGGATTCAGCGCACAAAAAGCTATAGAAAACTACTTGTTTTTCTAGACTGCAAAGTCATGCAGACCTTTGATTTGACCTTTGATCGCTTCGTTTCTCGATATTCTAATAAAAATAGCAAATATTCTTAATTAAGATCAAGATTAAATTGTTATTATATATCTATATTGCTTTCTTATGTACATATTCTTTTATTTTAAAGCTTTCTGTAAAATGAAAAGTATTTATTATCAATTTATCTGAATAATTAGTATCTTGCTATATTTCTGATAAAGATATGTATGAAGTTTTTTTCTGGATATGTAGAATGTAATAATTATTTAACAATTGCTTGTAAAAAAGCATGTATTGTTTATAAATTAATGAGTTTTTTATTTGGTAAAAATTATATGAATTTCAAATTCAATTATAATTAGCATTGTAAATAGACGAACGGTTCGCAAACTTTGTATAGTGTTTATTATCCGTATTCGCAATTTAAGTGTTATGATTTTGCGCATGATAACTGCATTTTTTTCATGTGTCATGTGTAGATCTTATGTACAGTAAGAAAAAAAAATTGATCCCTCGTCTGAAGCAATATCACGATCGGGGCATTATTTACATGAGATTGTGTTTTTGCGGCATTATCTCTTGCGTCAGCCTGCCGATTAAACGGAATTTATGAGTTTACGTAATACTGCAATGGCTCCAATAAATGCTAATATCTTGCGGGTGCTCTTTGGCCATCTATCGCGTGACATATGTTTACGTTTGACGGAAATAAAGTTCATTGTAAATCGTAGTCGTCGCCGGTCATCGATCTGCATGTTTTACAAAATTTTAAATATCACTTATCCATATCGATATACAGTATAATTATACAAAAAATTATCGACAATGTTTGCAGTGTTTAACTTAAGCATTTTTTTGTTTTTAAACAACTCATAATATCGTGTTGTGCGTCGTCTTTAGAACATCATGTTTAATGACTTTCAATCACAGCTGTATGTTACTTCAGTACTTCAGTTATTCTTCGGAATCAGTTGCGTACGCACATATATTTGAGCACACATTAAAGTAGGTTTATTTTCTTACATAATTAAAATAAATTTCTTCGATTTCAGTGTTCTTTCCTGTAAGTATTGTATGAAAATCTGCAATATATATAATATTCTCTTCTATTTATACATATTGTAATGATTTTCTTTACATGAATAGACGACGTGAGATGCCGAAAACATTTCTGATATAATTGTATCGCTTTATGATTATAAAATATGACATATTTAGATATTTGCTTCAAAAATGCTTAGTTTTTCTCTCTCTGTATTAACTTTCAACTACACATATATACATCGATGATTAGAATATAGTTTCTTCTGTAATAAGCAATATTAATCTTTAATAAAAAAAATGTTATAGCTTATCATTTTAAAAGATGAAAGTTAAAACTAATAATAATCTAATAACTAATAATTGATAACTCTCTGAATGTGCAAAATTATAATACAAAATTTTATACATATCAATGCGTAATATGTTTTTAATTAATAGTTAAAACATCCTCGCTATGTATTTTAATATTTAGAGTCTTATTTGAATCAAAAGTAGAAAGCTTAATAGCGAAAAAAATTAGAAATCGAAATTTTTGTCGGTTTGATCATCCCGTGGATGTGCTAAATTTTATATATTAATGTCTATTTTTCTCATATTAATATGATTCTTCCTAAGCTTTCTTTAGAAAAATAATTGATGTGTACTATGCATTATATACTTATGTATTGTGCACTATAACTGTTTTTATAATGTCATATTATAACAACTCATTGAGTAATATTACCTCGTTAAATATATATTTTAAATCAAAATCTTTTTCTACATTTTCATAAATATATATATAATTTTTAAAATTATGAATATTTATAACAAAAATTGAATTTTAAAAATTATGAAATTTATAACAAAAATTTAAATATATATTTCTAGAAAAAAGTTATGTCACTTTAACGAGTATATAATATTTTTTGCAACATTATTTGTAATATTTAATATAAATCACATATATCATCAATATTTGCTGATCTTTAATCTAAACTCGTGTAACAAAATTACATTATTGGCAATTTTTCTCTTTTTATTGGTATCAATATAACGCGAGCATTTTTATTTTCTTTATATACTATCTATTTGCTTTACTCTTTTATTAACACTTACATTTCTACGTTATTCAAAGATGTATACATATTTTACGTATATGTATATGATAAATAATTTAAAAAAAAAAAATTATTCATTTAATATTACCGATTGATTTATTATTAAAATGTTTTTGAATCACAAGCTCGTGTGATAAAAAAAGATAATTGAAAGTAAAATATAATTTTCCTATTATTGTTAATAAAAAAAAGAAAAAACAAAATTTCGAAAATGAATAAATGTGAACAAAAATTCATCGTACATCATACGATTTTGCTAATGTCTTATCACTATTTATTGTTAATTTAGTTAAAATGTCAGCCATACAATTCCATAGAACTGCAAATGGATTTACAGGATACGATAAGGTATCACAACATATACATATTAAAAATGCACAATTGAATCGATCGCGTTATTTTAAATTAAATCGTCATTATTTAAGTTCCATAAACACTAGATATACCGGCTACTTTTAATTCTTTTTGAAATTTGAATCTTTACCATTTCACTACTTCTTTAAGTTTGGCTAAAGAGAGATATTTGTGTATATCCGACATTTCCACTATTTCAATTTGAGAATCTGTAATGTATTCACAAAAAATTTCAATCTTGTCACACCAATCAGTAATTTCGGAAAAAAGATTATGGTAGTTTTAATATCTCTTCTATCGCATGCGTTTATGTATTTATTTCATTATGCCAAAACTATGTAAATGATAATTCTACTGAGAAAGCAAATATAGTATCTCTGTATCCCCGGGGATACTGATTTTATTTTTTATAATATACATGAATCTAATATATCCTATACAGCGCAATTTTTCAATGTAACATTATAATGTTCTTGTTAACAGAAAGACTTTATTAAGAGAAAAGAAATTATCGAGCGAATCTTGAGCATATTTGAACATCTGGTTGACATATGGCATTGCTGAAGTTTTAATGACGAAAAGCGTTCTTTCTTATTCTTCCTTGCTTTTTTCCTGGAAATCTAAGATTTCTAGATTAATCAAAATTTATAGTTATTTATTAATCTAGGATTCAAAAAGACAGTATATTAGATATATCCTATTAATCTACATTTTATTAAATACAATAATATATTACATCTGATAGTATAGATACATAAATATTGGTAAAACATACTACTTTTGCGGCCATATATTTAAGTTATATTCATATTTCGGAAGAAAAAAAAATACACATTTTTCTCGCTTTATAATTCACCATTATTACGACAGACTAGAAGTCTCTTCAATTTATTTAAAATATTAATATTATATTATCTTTATATTTAGAATATATATGTAACATTTATTGAATATTTATAGGAAATGAATCAATCGGTCAGATATGCAACGGCTAGTGAGACTGGACTTGATGGTAATACTATTATATATCAAAATTATTTATATGTGCATCTTATTGACTTTCGTAATTATAATTCGTGATTAAAGTCGCACAATAGCACAATAGTTTTTATTTATTCATGCTTTAGATGAGTAATATCATTTATGAAATTTTCCTGCAATAAAATATGTACATCCTCCTCTTTTCCTCTTGTACGATGATTTTTTATGAATCCATGTCCTTGCAACCGCATTACATAAGATATTGTTTGATTATTTTCAGGGCCTGATCAAGTATTAGCTACGGACGTGGATACTACATGTGAATCTAATGGTAAAGTTCGAATAAAATTAGACAAGAACGAATATAATTCATGTATACCTGTATCAATTCCTGGAGCTTTCACCAAAACAGTAAATCTCTATCCCGATCATATTGCGTTGGTTTCTAGTCTTGGTGACGATGGCAAGAGGACCATGTATACTTACCGGTATATATATAAAAGAAATTTTGTTAATATTTAGATAATAATTATCTTATTATCTAAATTATTAAGTAATAAAATTAATATAAAATTCTTTTGTTTTTTAATTTCTTTAATTCTAATTTTACGAGATATAAACTGATTATATAAATTCGTTTCATCACTCTCTCTTGTTCTTATCTCGAATTAATTTATAGATAAAAGTTCGACAAGTTCGAAAATTACATTTAATATGATAAACAATACAATGATCAACAATGCGTCAATCTTTATTACAGAGAATACGAACAGACTGTAAAAACCGTCGCTAAAGCGTTTTTGGAACTAGGTTTGGAGCGACATTATGCTGTCTGTTTATTAGGATTCAATAGTCCGGAATGGTTCATTGCCGATCTCGCAGCTATATATGCTGGGTAAAAGATTCTGATCATTCTATATCTAAATAATGCACTTTCTACACATACGATTTACGTTATTATTTTTATAGCGATACGACAGTAAAAAGCGATAATAATGTTTTTAACAGCGTGCATTTTTACCATTTTTATTAATTTTTGAAATAAATGATTTATTATTCTGTTTTAGCGGACTTGCTGCAGGAATTTATACCACAAATTCTCCGGAGGCATGCCAATATTGCGCTGAACATAGTAAAGCAAATATAATAGTCGTTGAAGACAAGAAACAATTGGGGAAAATCTTACAAATAAAAAAAGATCTGCCTGACTTGAAAGCGATCATTCAATACAGTGGCATACCTACTGAAAAAGATGTTTTAAGCGTGCGTATATGACTATCCAAAAGATATTTTTTTCTTTTTTCATTTAGAATATATGATTTATTATTGTATTTGTGTTTTTCAGTGGAACGATTTATTAGAGATAGGTAAAAGGGCATCGGACAGTAAATTACTGTCTGTGTTGAAGACGATTGGAGCAAACGAGTGTTGTACTTTAGTTTACACGGTACTTTAAATTCGTCACATCAATCAAATAGATATCCAATCATTAATATATATATTTAATTTGTAATTTACAATTATTCCTATAGTCAGGAACTGTTGGAAAACCGAAAGCTGTGATGTTGAGTCATGATAATCTCTTACATGGTGCACGATCGCTGTTTACCACGATGGAGTTGAAAACAAAGACGGAGACTGTAGTTAGTTATTTGCCATTATCTCATATTGCAGCACAGGTGAGATTTTTCGAAATTATATATAATTCAAATGAAATTATTAATCTGGATATAATAATTAGCACAATAGTAATATTTACCGCGATGAGGAGAAAAATAAAAATAATAATGTATTGTTCTATTAATTTCAGGTATGTGACATTATAGCAAGTGTACTTGCAGCAAGTACAGTATACTTTGCGGATAAAAACGCGCTCAGAGGTTCGTTAGTAGAAACGTTGCTTGTGGCGCAACCAACTGTTTTGTTAGCGGTACCGAGAGTATGGGAAAAGATATATGAAAAAATGCAAGAAAAGGCGCACAGTAACGGTGCAATAAAGACTTGGATTGCTAGATGGGCAAAATCGCAAGGGCTTTATTATCACATGAATAAAATGAATGGCGTGGATTATAAAAACTGGAGCTATATTTTTGCGAAATGGCTTATTTTTGACAAAATAAAGGCAGCATTAGGTCTACAAAGATGCCGATTATTTATTACCGCAGCAGCACCTTTAAATATAAATATTAAAAAATATTTTCTGAGTTTAGACATACCTATAATAGAGGCATATGGAATGTCGGAATGTGGTGGTGCTCATACCATAGGCGATTATAAAGAATATAGGTAAATCATATTTGCTTTCATTCTTTATATTGCATTTACGATAAAAGTATTCGCTCTTAAAAATTATTATTCATATATCTTCAAAAATTGATAAACATATTCAAAAATTCTTTTTATTAGATTATACGGTGTTGGAATTCCTTTATCTGGAGTATATACAAAATTGGACAATATAGATGAACATGGTGAAGGGGAGGTTTGCATGGGCGGACGACATGTATTTATGGGTTATTTAAATGCACCAGAGAAAACTGCAGAAGCTACAGATAAAAATGGCTGGTTACATAGTGGTGATCTTGGCAAAATAGATTCAAACGGAATTTTATCCATTACCGGTAAAAACATTGTTTTTGTCAATGAATACAATTAACGATCATCATCATGTAATAATATACCTGTTAAAAATAATCAAATATATATAAAGCTATGTAAGCAAACAATAGTAATATGTATACTTTTATATATATTTGCAGGTAGAATAAAAGAACTTATAATCACAAGTGGAGGCGAGAATGTAGCGCCATTAAATATAGAGCATGCAATATTGTCAGAATTACCAGCGTTAAGTAATACTATGTTAATTGGAGATAAAAGGAAATATTTGACTGTTCTTGTCACACTCAAGGTATAAATATAGAAGTATATAAATGCAAACTTTCTTATAAATTATTAGATATTTATATCATATTTTTTCAGAGCAATGTGAACAGCGAAACTGGTGAACCTTTAGATACGCTGAATCCCGATGTATTAAAATGGGCAAAGTCTATTGGTAGTAATGCCGAGACAGTCACAGATGTCATAAGTTCTCGTGATCCGTTCGTAAGTTAGATATTTAAAAAAATCTCATAACTATTATGATATTATTGTACATGTGTTAACCGATTAAAACAACATTTATATCTCGCATATCATACAGAAAATAATATAAATTATAAAACATATTCTTTCAGATATATGAGGAAATCGACAAAGCGATCAAAAGAGCAAACGCACATGCTATAAGTAATGCTCAAAAAGTACAGAAATTCGAGATTCTTCCGCATGACTTTTCAATTCCAACTGGTGAATTAGGGCCCACATTAAAACTTAGAAGGAATATAGTTACAAACATGTATGCTGATTTAATAGAGAAAATGTATCAATGAAATCTGCTGTATTCTAATACTAATATCACAATATTTTTTATAATAAGAATGAATAATATGAACAGATAAAGGAACTATAAGCGCCAAAATAAGTCGTAAAATATATAGTTATATATTTTATACAAATGCCTTAATATATATAAAATATAATATTTTATATAAATAATACATATTTTAAATACAGGTGTAATCAAAATAAAGTCTAGAAAAAATAATTTTTAGTTAATGTAAGTTTTTGTTATATTTATATATGTATAGATATATTTATAGATGGGATTATGTACATATATATATTTTAGACTTAGACTATCTATAAGACATAGTAAAATATCATACTAATGAATCACATGTTTATATTTACATTATACGTAATCTATATGTTCCTTACCATAATCATAAATATTTTTCGATTATTAATACGATTTTATATTTATTTTAAGTAAAATTATTTTTTAACGCAATTTATTGATCAAATATTATATAGATTGTGCATCTTGTTTAATTAATATGTTTATTTTTAGTAATTATATCAATGAAATCGCACGTATGCAATATTACTAAGAATGAAATTATATATTTTCATGCTATACCTGGATATAATCTTTTTTAAATAATAAGTACAAAAACTATATTTTTTTCTGAAAACTTTTTAATTGTATAATGTGTTTTATCTAAATAAAAATAACCAAGTACTAAGACAATGCTCAAAGTAAATACATTAATATATTTATGCTAATGTTGAAATATTCGAAATAAAAAATTTTGACATAATAAACTTTATAATATTTTTTGTGCCATAATAAATCAGCTATAATTACTAAATCAATCAATATAATGGTAAGGTAAGAATAAATAATAAAGAAAGATTTTTTTTAGTTGCAATATATTATACTAAATATGGTTTATATATATATAATAAGCAAAATTGTAGTTACATTTAAAATTTTTATATTCATTTTACAGATTTTCATAGTAAATATACGCGAAATATTTCATAAGAAAATAGTCTTACTAAGCACATCACAGCAGCTTTGAAAATGCAGATCTGTGTGTATCTTTTTACCCTCAATTTTATCATGCACAAGTGGATTATAAGTTATCATAATTATGTCATCAGGACAAGTTCTTGTATTGTTAGTAAATATTAATTCTTATTACATTCATTTACTTTCTCATATTTTCAATATAAATTTTTACACATGCATGCATCTAAGATGCATATTTATTGCTGACTAACAATATAATCTGAATACATTTATAAATTTTTTATCTTTGGTTTTTTACTGTATATTGAATAAATACTCGAAATAAGGATATCTGAGAATAATTAATAAAAATGTACTAATGTGAAAAGCTCGCAAATTTTCGAACTAAGGGAGAGAAATAATAACTTATTTACTTGCATATATTATAAAATTTAGATACCATTGTGGCACATATATAAAGAATATCTTTTTTATTGTAATATTACAGATGCTCTTTTAAGAATAAGTAGCTAGGAAATAATTGATTCACTAAAAACACAAGAATTTTATGATATTATATAAAATAATTAAAGAAATATTTTTAAAAAAATTTTAAACATGAGATTGTATTTAAATCTCCAATTATTTATAAGGAACCATATTACTCCAGCATCCAAATATATAAGACTACTTAACAAAATATAGATTAAAAAATGACAATCTTATCTTATGAAGATGTTGTTGATGTATTAAATTTTTGTTGTATGATAGATGTTTTTCGTTGTGGTACTGTCTCTGGTGTTGGTATAGCATCCCCTGTTGGCAGAACACCAGTTGGCTTTGGCTTAGCTGTAGATTTCTGTCTCGCCATTTGATAATCCCCAGAATCAAAATATTTTTGCTAAAAGCAATGTAATCATCAATCTTAACAAAGCAGAGTATTTTGAAGAAACATAAATATCTCTATAATATTATAATAACGAAACTCTAGATAATGTTAACAAGTTGATATTTACTCCTTTTGCTAGCCTTTTTTGCAGAAACGCAGAATGACCACCAAATGGTCGACCAGCTGCATTTGGGAATTTTGCTTTTAACTTTGCTTCTTCCAATTTTTCTATATCACTCGATGACAACTACAATAAAATTCAATAAAAATTTGTTCATTGCATAAACATAATAATTGTATGAACACAAAATATTCTATACAAGCAAAATTTTTATCAACAACTTTCTATTTATGGATTGTAGTTTGTATTAAAAATTATATTAATATACAGTACTATATTTATGATTTATTTTTTTGCTGTCACACATATGTTATATTTATATCTAGAAATTATTACATATAAATAATTTAAATTACTGTTTATTTCTACCTAAATATGTTATGTATTTGTACATAATAATGCAAGAAAAATGTTTAGTATATTCGATCGATGAACAATGAAAAGTGACTCTCAAACAATAAAATAAAAAGAATCGTGTGTCAGCTTCTTAATAATTTCCCAATATAAAAAAAATATATATAATTTCTTAATAATTTTGCGATACATCATATTATGATCATTTTAGTTTCTTTTAACCCATTTCTTAAAATCAATTATCATCCGATTGATAAATCGAATTCTTACCTCTGCAGTCGGACTCTGCTCGTTTGTCTGATCGTCGCTCATCGTTATAAATTTTAAGACACTTCTCGTCAGTGACCGCTTCTTTTGGAGGGATAACCAATTATCTTCCGAATACTAATTTCGACACTAACGTATATAACATACATAAGCTAAGTGAAAGCGACGTAATAAGGCTGATGCTATCAAACACACAGTTTCTTTCAATTAAATTTTCTATCCCCGAAACGTTACGCTTTTTTAGCCGACGAGGTATACGCACACACCCCGAGGAAACAAGCGACTGCAAACTGCTGCAAACGACTGTCACAATGAGGAAAGCGCTTTCCTATACGCACTCAAAAACAGCAACGGCGTCAGGCGTCACATGCAGGGTCATGTCATGTGTTCCTGATGGCCGTTACTTCGACTCGTGGCGAGTTTCTATTATCATACAATTCAATTCAGTTTTCATGGCCACACTTGAAAACTGACAAGTTGAAAAGTAAATTTTGAATATAAAATAAAAAATTCTAAATGCGTAGCAGACAGTTACATGCGTACCAAATACATTTCTAATTAAACGCTACATTCATGAAAATTGGTATTGATTCCTTTTTGTCACGCGCGAGTTTGATCACGGTTCTTCTGTGAGCTATTATTTTTCTACCATTGAAAATATAAAAACAATTTATTATTATTTTCGATTTAGATGGGTTTGGATCAAACTAAACTAATTAAATTAAATCCAATTTGTCATAAATTCAAATGTTCGATATATAATGAGTTTGGATTTGACATGAATGGGTCAGGTTTTGATAGAATGCAATTATTAGATGCTATTGCGTTACAAATATTTCGTCGTTTTACTGACCAATCAGGAAAAAAGGAGCAAAGTTTTCTTTATTCCGATTGGTCAACTCATAACAATTCGAATAAAATGTAGCCAGAGTTTCTCATCTCTTTAGTGATACATGATATTTCCACGATAGTGACACCGGTGATAATGGTACCAGCTGATCTTTGGCTCTAGCTGCTATGTTCAAAGTGAAGGGTGGTGTATGATGGTCGTGATTTGTTGCGAAACGATATAACGATTTCAAGAAATTCGACTGGAGAAAATATAAGACGCCATGAATAGCCTAATTCATACGAAGACGATGATAACCGGCCATCCCAGGGGAGTTATACGACGTGCGTGTCAATATGTATTACTTCATGTCCTGTTATAGATTAAAGACACATACTTTTGTAATGCTTTTAATATTTGTCTTATAATGCGTCATAGATAATGCAATTCCATTATATATACATATATTTAGAATATATCCGTTGTTGTAAATCTGCATATCGTTTAAATCGGTTAGATGTTTTCTCAAATTTCGATATTCTATTATAATTCAATCGCTATTACATAGTAAAAAAAAATATAATCACAGGTTATGTCACATTGCCACATGTTTCATACTATTTATATATGATAGTTTGTACTTACCGCAAAACATTTAATGCCTCTTCTATCGTTGTTTTACAATTTTTTTACAATTAGATTTTAAGTTGCATTGGAATAAATGATCTAAATACTTTTGCTATTATAATATTTCACAATTATAAAGTGATTTAGAGACACAATTACAAAGTGAAAACATTTGATTGTTTTAGGATACTCCCCATTTAAATTATGGTACAATACCAATCATACAATGGGTGGTGTAGCTCTAATTTATACAGGTTTGAAGGATCCAAAAAGATTATTGCTGGAACACAGCAGCACAGTGTCACCAACATATATTAATAATATAACACATCTACATATTCGTACGTTTTATATAACTCCTTATTGGAAGGGACAAGAATCTTCATCTAAGGTTGAGAAGACAGTGAAGAATATTAAGGAAGAAAAAGAGCTTAAAGATAAAATGGCAGAAAATGCCATAAAAATAAACAGCGAACAGCCGAAAAAAGTTGTTGCTAAGGTCACAATATGGCAAAAAGTTAAGGGAGAAATATTGCATTATTATCACGGATTTCGGTTATTAGGACTTGACATGAAAATTTCAGCAAAGTTAATATGGAGAATTTTACATGGAAAAGAGCTCAGTAGAAGGGAACATCGTTTGGTATGTTATGGCACAATAATTATTACATAAATCTTATGTCACAATAATATTAAAATTGATTAAACAATTATTTCTTCCAACAGCTGATAAAAACAACTGGAGATATGTTCAGATTGATTCCTTTCTCCGTTTTTATTATTGTTCCATTTATGGAATTTTTACTGCCAGTAGCAATTAAATTGTTCCCTGGTATGCTACCTTCTACTTTTCAAACAGCAACTGAAAAGGAAGACAAACTTAAACAGGCTTTAAAGGTATGAAAGTACTAAATTTAATTTTATAATGAAAATGAGTGTTATAGAATACATATTTAATATAAAAAGAATAATGTGTATAATTGTAATATAATAATTATAATGTAATAATTATGTGAATTTTTATGTGTATAAAATCAGATTTATTGCATGTAAAAAAATATTTGTATATTATATAAATTACTATATGTATAAATAGCATGTTTCAATAAAAATTTAATAAAAATTATTATAATAAATATTTTTTATAAACAGGTCAAAATAGAAATGGCAAAATTTTTACAAAAAACATTGGATGAAATGGCAGTGCAATCATCAGATCACAGATCTGAAAAGGCTAAGGAATTTGCAGAATTCTTCTACAAAGTGCGAACAACTGGTACTGTTGCCAGTAACGAAGAAATTATGAAGTTTAGTAAACTTTTCGAGGATGAAATTACACTGGATTCTCTGTCACGACCGCAATTAATTGCTTTATGTCGTGTATTAGATGTGCAAACACTTGGAACTACTAATTTCTTACGATTCTTACTCAGGATGAGATTAAGAAGTCTTACTGCAGATGATAAAGTATATATTTACAACCTTCTTGTGATTATTTTAGACTAATACAGCTAAAAATATTTAAAACACTTTTTTTGACAGCTGATTGAAAAAGAAGGAGTTGATACTCTAACTAGAGCCGAATTGCAACAAGCATGCAGAGCACGTGGTATGCGTGCTTATGGAATGCCAGAAAACAGGTTAAGGGATCAATTATCAATGTGGTTAGATTTGAGTTTAAATAAAAAGGTTTCACCCTCTTTACTATTATTATCACGAGCGCTTATGATACCAGAAACAATGCCTATGTCAGACAAGTTAAAAGCAACTATCTCGGCCTTACCTGATGCAGTTGTGGCTCGTACAAAGGGTGCTATTGGAGAGAAAGAGGGTAAAATGGATCCTAGGACAAATATTGAAATTATAAAAATGGAAGAACGCAAGATCGAAGAGGAGAGAAATGAAAAGAAAGAAACAGAACCACAACCAACCATCTTGGCATCTAATGTAAAAGAAGATGAAATTACTACTACAGATGTCAAAGTTTTGGAACAAGCTCTGGATTCAATTGGCAAGGTTAGTAAAGATACATTTTTATATAAGTATATGTGACAGATAATTTTCTCTCTAATATTTATAAAATTTTCAAAGAGTATTATATAATTTTGTATATTTTTAGGACAATAAAAATATGGCTGTAGAAAAAGAGGAGATCAAAGAACTTAAAGAAGAAATGGCAGAGTATCAAGAAGACATTAAAGAATTGTATCAAATTAAGGCAGAGGCGAAAGGTCAAGAAGATATAGAGAATATTAAAGTATCCAAAGGTGCTAAACGGCTATTTAATAAAGTAAACAAAATGATCTCGAAAATGGATGCCGTTTTGTCGGAGCTTGAACAATCTGAGAAAAAAGTTAAACAGAGATTGGAGTCATTAGGTCCCGACGAAAAACAGGATGCCAAAGATGTCGAAGAATTAGTTAAAATAGACGAATTGGTTGCAACCATTAAGCAAATTCAAAATGTACCTGATGAATATCGATTAAAACGCATAGCAGAAATTTTGGAAAAAATTGATGATGATCAAGATGGTGCAATCAAAATAGAAGATGTCTTGAAGGTATAAGATAAATCATAAACTTTCATTAACTACAACAATAATGTATGCATGCATGCATACATGCATAAACACAACTATATATTCTAATATAATTTATTATAACAATATACTTTTTATATTAATTATAAAACATAATTTTTTATAGGTTATAGAATTAATAGGAAAGGAAGATATTAACTTAAGTAAAAAGCAAGTGGATGAATTGATAGAGCTAATGGATAAAGAAGAAGTATTAGAAGTAGAGGAACAAATACAAAAATCATTAGAAAAAGATCTTAAGGCATCGCAGGGGGAGGATAACATAAAAGCTACACATAAATCTACAGTTCCAGCTACACCAGTAACAATTGAACCAGGATTTGGAAAGGAGGAATTAGTAGATGATGCTGGTAGGGAAACCAGCAAATCCTATACAGGTCCGTCTATTGAGGAAGGCAAATCGGCTGCTGTTTTAAAAAGTAATACTAAATCTGACGAGATAAAAAATCCTCCACTTACATCAGGTCCACCAGCAGCAAAAAAGGCAGAAGGTTCAAAACACCTGTGATTAGCGCACAATGAAGAATAAATTAGTATGTATAATTATATTAAAGCAATATTTTTATTGATGTAAAGATCGATATGGATTTTCGTCTGTATGTATCCCGCACATATTTTCATCTTTGTGTATGAAAAGATTTCCGACATGATTTTCAACAAATAGAATGTATAATGAAAGAGAAACGTTTTATACTTATACAAGAAAAAGATTATTTCATCAATATAATTAATCGTTACTATTTTATTGGTATAATGTACATAAAATACATATGTGGATATACGTTACATATTTGCTGTACGAAATAGTTGATTTATATTTAATTAATCTTAATTTCATACTTCATTATAAGCAGTCATAAAAACCTGAAATTCTTCATTGCGGACTATGGTGCATTTAACATCATTTATATTGTTCCCCTTCATCTGCGGTGATAAATTTATATTGATAATAAATACATCATAAAATGTTTATTCTGAAATTCATTGTCAATGTTACTTGTTTTAATCATATATTATATATAATATATCATTATTCTTAACATTGACAATAAATTATGGAATAGAGAAGCGAGAGAGAAATATTCGATTTCTATTGCAGTGCAGTTTAATTTCAGTATAGACCAAGGTAATAATCATTCCATCTGTCTTAATATTGTTGGTATATCATTTGTGATATACCATTTTGAACATATATCATAATTAAGAATAGCAACTTTACATTGCACATGGATTATCTTGCAATCTCAATATTGAGCTGTGTAAAACAAGATAAATATGTGTGTAAATTTATAATTTATTTTATCATTTATAAAACACAGGAAAACAAAATTCTACTTATTCTATTGTTACAGAAAGGGGCAATGTAAAAATAGCTTGTACACAATTATACATAGAGAAATTAAATTTGCAGAATTTTGTCAAAAAAACATTTCTATGTGACAAAATGTTACATCGATTTTGGGACGCTATATGTATATAAGAAAATAGAAAATATTGATTGTACATTTGCATTATATTGCATCTATAATATATGTTAACTGGATGGATACCGTATCTAAGATGTATTATAGATATGAATTTCAACAAGGACATTTAGAATGACCTATCTCTTTACCTCTGCGCATGAAAGTCCAAATGTATATGTAATAAGAAAAAACGTGTATTATTTTTTTAAATTTTTATAGGATACTATTTCAAAACAAAAATAAAATTGTAAATTCAAGTGTCCTAAAAAGCAAAGAATTTTTATAAAATTGTTGCATGCTTCTATTTTATTTGTTCTGTTTCTTCACTTTATTGCTTCTTTGCATTTGATGCAAAGATAGTTTGAAAAAAATTATTTTTAATTTTTCGATATTCAAATAAATAATTTTATATAGTTATTTATCTTGCATAAAATTTTTTAACAATGTCAAGAATTAATAAATGTGGGATTTGCTAATCACTAAATTGTTTGGATATAAATGAAGAGATAAATGGCATGGTTAAATAATCAATTAAAATACGTTGAGATGACATAAAATGGCTTTTAATTTATGACAAAATAGCATATTAAACATATAGAATTGCAAAGGTATATATAGTAATGTGAATACTGGTGTAATATATCTGCATCTAAATGTTCATAAAACTCTTCTCTAAATAATCTTAAAATTTGATTGACCTCTCATTACTTTAACAGTGAACACTTAAAAGGCACAATCAATATCAACAGTACAAAAGTATCAAAATTAAATACACAGATATTTTGCTGTCCTTTGATAAAAAACCTATTATAGTACATGTATTTTGTGAACATTAATAATCACTCCATAACAGCTGTCAATTCATTTTTTAAAAAGCTGTATTAAAATTTGGTTTTTATTCTATATTTGCAGAATTGAGTTTGAAATTTTTTTTTTTTTTTTTTTTTTTGATAAGCGACTTATAATTATACAATCAGTCTCTAATCACCAGTCTACCATGTTAAACATAAACATTTATTTTATTATATTGTAGTTTAATATTTCAAGTGTGCGAATGAAAAGTGCCAAATATTATCATAAAATAAGTCACTGCAATATTTTACTACAAAAATTTGAAATTATAATCAAGTTTTCTTATTAAATTTTATTCCGGATTTATGTTTAAAACCTAAAATTATTTATATATATTTATATATAACATTGTATAAAAGATAGAAAAATTATTATTAATGCGCGTTATAACTTGAGTTATAAAATTCGCATTCACACATTTGAGATATCAAACTGTTATACTATAAAAGACTGTAACAAAAATAACTATAAAATAAAATATAGTCATATTAAAACTATATAAAACACACACAGTATATATATACATATATATGTATAAACAAATATTACTTATTTAATTTACAACAGTTTTCGTTGCTTTACAGTGTTATGACTGCTTTATATATTGCAACTTTATTCTATATTAATGAGTAAGTCGAAATATCCAGAATATTTAATCTCATTCACACAATTTCATAATTTTTATTTAACGATTTTTAAACATAATAAAGAGTGCTGAACTCATTGAAGGTTATATATAAATAAGTAATGCAAAGAGGTCAACTTAAGAATGCAATTATTTTATTTCAACATGAATGTAATTACATTATTTGCACAAATAATATATATAGAAAAAGCAAAACAAATAATATTCATTTAAAAAATATATAAATATTATTTACATTTTCAATGTTCTCAAATATATTAACATTATTTATGTTTCAGCACTCTAAGTAATTTTGCAAGTAATCTTGCATGCAATTTTGTGCTATTATAAATCTCACGAAAATTTCGTCTTGTAACTCAAATTATATATCATAGGAATGTATTATATATAGTAATATAATAAGACAAAAGAAATAATAAAAATGTATTGCTATTGAAATNNNTTTTTTTTTTTTTTTAATAATTTCATAAAAAAAGTATAATATTCCTTGAATATTTTGAATAGGAAAACATTTTCGTGAATATATAATATGTATGTATATATATTTATAAATATATTAGAATAAATTGTATATGTGTGTGTGTCTTAAGAGAATTCGAATATATTCTGTATGTGATACAGTGAACAGTAAAGATTAAGAGTGTCAACTCACTGTAAAGTGTCAGAAAACTCTCATTTTTGTATAAATACAATTCTCTTATGCTTAGCTTTCAATTATAGGAGCTGAACTTTTCGTAACACAAGCTACACACTGTTTTAGGTTTGTTATAGCAAGATGCAGCAGTTTGTTTTCTTCTTACGTTCACTCCCATCTCCTTGGTTTTCCTGTGCCTTGCGAGCAGCTATTGCTCGCATTAGATCAAAGAAAACCTGTAACGTTATGCAGTAAATATGTTTTAATTTACTTCTTTGTTTATACTGATGTGCTGAAACTTGCACATTGACGATTACAAACTGAAAGATATAATAGAAAAACTGACTTACATGATAAAACATCATAACGTCATTTGAAAAAAAAGAAAAAAGCACACATGCTTTGCATAAGCTGTGACAAGTTTTACAAGTAAATGTGTGTGTGTGTATATATATATCATTTCACATTCATTTTATATACGAATACTTGTAAATAATTTATTAAATTAATATGGGATTTAAATATCTTAAATATCAATATCAAATTTAAAACAGAGTAAAAATGGAGATATGCAATAAAATATATATATATATTTTGCGGAAATAACTATATCTATTAATATCTTTTAAAAATTGATAATATAATAGTTTAATAATAATTTTCATTGCATATCTTTAATAGCTATACAAAATCAGAAAAATTGCATTGGATTAAACTTAACACACACATTCTGTATACATTTTACATAGATACATCAATTAAAGTTGCCAAAATAAAAAAATGCCATAGTTCTACATATTGTCTCGTAAAAATATAAAATAAAAAATATGGTGCAAGAAAAACCGGCAAACCTATAGAATAATGCACTTCTTTTTCTTCCTCTTGGCACGGTCTTTACCTCGACCATTGCTTGCTGACTTATCTTCAATTTTACGTGACCTTATTTCACGCATCAAGTCGAAAAATACCTGCAAATGTGCAATGGATGCTGTCTCAAAGCTTTAAGGCATATAAAATGTGCAATGTAAAATAAATATTATGTCGTTTATATTTGTAAAAAAAGGAAACAAGAATTGTGTGCACATAAGCAATAGCACAACACATAGTGACATAACAACATGTATACATAGATTGCAGAATTAAGCTTATATAAAAATGCATATTTCGTGCAACTGATTCATACGCCATACATTACATTACATGACATTGGGAGTAAATTGAAAGTAAAAGCAACAAAAAAGAGTGAATGCATCTACCAATTTCAACAATTTAGCTACACATATATTTAAGTATATATATATGTCTTATGTATAATATTTTGTAGTTAAATATATCTAATTTCACATATTGTATTGATATAAAATCTAATTAAAAGAAAAAAACAGTTGATTCCGTATAAAGTTCTCATTTTAATAAAGACAAAACTATATTGGTATATGGGGAGAACAACATCATTATAAACAATTTTAAAAACAATCAAAATTAAAGGGAAATATTAGTTGTTATTTATGAATGTTAATAATTAAGAAATATATATATATCTTATATTATTATATAATATTTATAAACAGTAACATTAGTCTGTGTGTCTTACATACATGATATTATATTAGTCTATAATATTATATAAAAATTATATGTTATACACAGACATACAGTATTTTACCTTGTCCACATTTTCTTTTGTCTTAGCACTTGTTTCCACATAAGGAACACCCCATTGTTGAGATCTTGCTTGAGCTTCAGCTAGACTAACCTTCCTTTTTTCTTGTAAATCACTTTTATTTCCCACTAATAAAAATGGAATGTTCTCGTCATTTTTTACCCTGAGAATTTGTTCTCTATGGAAAAGAAAACAATTTTCTTTTGTTCACATGGAATAAACTAATAAGAAATTATGGAACATGCCACATACTAAAATTTTTTCTAGTAACTAAATATCTAAATATTAAAAGCTAATAAACAATTTTATTAAACTTTATTCATTTACCTAAATTCTTGTGTAGCTTGGAAACTATCATCTTCTGTTATCGAGAATACACAGAGAAACCCTTCTCCACTACGGAAGTAATTGTCTCGAATTGCCGCATAGTCTTCTTGTCCTGCAGTATCTAAGATATCTATTTGTACTTCCTCTCCGTCTAATACAACTTTTTTTCTGTAGGAATCTGCTTTTGTAGGTTCATAATCTTCAACAAACTAATTTTAACATCAGGATTAAAATTTAAAAAAAAAAATTTTTTTTTTATATGAAATGGCTAAAAATATATCTTTTTCTAAAATGTAATATTTATAAATAATACGAACTTAAAAATATAAATAATATAATATAAATTGCATGTTTGTTAAATTAATAATATAAACAAGTATTATATTTATTATAAAAGTACATATGTTTTTACCTCATCGTACATGAACTGTAAAGTAAGAGCAGATTTTCCAACACCTCCACTCCCAACCATTATAACTTTATGCATTGCTTGGGTAGCTCCTGGTTTCTTCGACATTTTTGTGATAATTACCTTCAATTAAGATAAAGTAGCCATTAAATTCCACCATATTTTAAAAGTATATAGTAATAAAATCTTATATTTGCAATAGTCAACAATTCTGATACATGAATGCAATTGTTATAAATAATATGTTTAAATTTATCTACTAATCATAATTATTTTTATATTTTTTTTCTAACAGAGAGTATGCATGTATATATATTCCTATCAACAATAATTGAATAAAATTATAAGTAATTGTATAACAGATACATATCTCTTGCATTTCTTAAAAATATAGAGCGTTTTTTTACGATAATTATCTTAATTAAAGCAGGGCAGGGTTAACAATGGCAGGATATGAGAATTATGTTGTCAGTATGAGAAATCTAAGAGAAGGGTCAAGTATATATAATTTTATGTGAGTATCCATAACGTATCTTATATACTACATAAAAAAATATACACATTGTATATCTTTTCTACACTTAAATTTGTGTGTATATGTGTGTGTGTGTGTGTGTGTTGCAACTAATCTCCAAATACACTAGTCAAATATTAGAAGTGATGTCATCACACATTGTCATGTTATGGAAACCATAAAAAAAAGAACGTAAAATTTACTAATCGAATTAAATTGCACACATTGCAGTTTGTATTACTATCTAAGATTCACTTTGACTTTCGCCCATATAAAAGAGAATCAACGACAAAATAAAAAAAACACAAAGGAAACAAAAAATGCGAAGAACATTTCGCAGAGATTGCTCGTACTGTAACTGTGCTTTAATTCACTTCCTTTTTTCTCAATATTTCTCACTTACGAGGATAATCCGTTATAAGTGATTGTTATAAATAATTGTTATGCGACACGTAAGAACTCGCGTAATGAATCGCTGCGCGATACCCGTCACAACTGTCGAACGATACTAATCGAAATAAAATAAATTAGAAACTTTGTTGCCGAGTCACTTAACGTGAGTAACGAAACAAGGCGGTGCCGTCAGTGCCGTGTTTCCGGACGGATTCCACGAAAAAGCCGGACGCTATTCTTCACCGATATTAGAAATTATCGAACGCTTCGCGTCGACGTCCCGGAAGAGTCTCTCAAACGCGCGATAACGAAGGCGCTGTCTTTCTCGGTAAATACCTTTAAAAATCGTGCAAACGGAATGCCCTGAACGATCCGTACGAATCTTTCTCGCAGTCGTCACACACATTGGTTTACTTTCACGAAACTGGTAGCACTGGCAGGTGTCGCCTCGATCGCTGAATCATCCCATTATTTGTAGCAAATTGTATTCATCGGTGTTTGTAGATACGTAAAATTCGTATAATTTTACGATGATATTTTTTATAAATTAACGTCTTGTAAATGAAATTCAATAAACTCGGGCATCTTTTACAATCTTCCGCTACACTTATTTTGTTTCAATCTGTATTGATCCAAAGACAGATCAAAAATAATTTATGAAGTAATTAACCTTCACTTGCTAGAATTGTGCAAGCGATATTTGATGATTTATTAATATGTATATTTATTCCAGTTGTATAATTCGAATCTTTTTTCATCTAAATATTGATATAATATGATTGCGTCATCAAATACTGATGCTGAAAAAGAAATTGAAGATCCTGTCGAGCGGATGTTAAAAAAGACCGGTTGCGTGGAATTGCATTATCAAGTTCAAGTGTGTTCATTTATAAATGATTGTATCAATATTAATTAACCTTAATTAAAGTCTCAACAATTTTTTTTTTTCTAGAAAATTTTTTGTTCCTAGAAATCAACTGACTGTTATAAATTAAATTTTATTCTTAATTATTAAATTGAATTTTCTAATTATATATTAGAAACGTTTCTATTTCCAAATTCTTTTCAGGAATGTATAGCCGAGCACAGAGATTGGAGGAAATGTCAAAATGAAGTAAAAAAGTTTAAGGAATGTATGGCTGAACATACAAAGCAGCAACAATCAGAACATTAATAATAGGTACCTGAATTTAAAGATGTGGTTGATAAATAGATCTATTAAATCTTTATTTGCTCCTGTTTGGAATGGACAGAATTGTAAAATGGTAATAGTAGTTCGGTCAGATATACCTATGGGAAAAGGTAAAATCGGTGCTCAGTGTGCTCATGCTGCATTAGAATGTTGTCGCCAGACTTTAAACAATGAAAAGAAACAACAAATGTTTCAATCTTGGTTACAAATTGGACAGCCAAAAATTGTTGTCAAAATACCAAATGAAGAGGAGTTATTGATTTTGGCAGATAAAGCTCAACGTGCTGGTTTAATTACTGCCATAATAAAAGATGCTGGTAGGACTCAATTAAAGCCTGGCACAGTCACAGTTGTCGGCATAGGACCAGGATCTAATGAAGTTATTGATAGTCTTACATCGAGATTAAGATTATTATAAATGTATCTTGTAAATAAAAGAAGATATTGTTAAGGAAGAATATTAATAATAATTTTCATAATCTTGAGATACTAAAATACTAAAATAGTTTATATATATAAAATTTCAAACTAGTAAAAAAACCTCCTAATAAAAATTATAGCCCAAAGCTTTGCTATATATATATATATAACAGCTCCACAAAACAATTCTATTTTTCTAATACTTGAAAAAAAGCTGTAATTAAGACATTTCCTATATAAACCAAACAAAAATCATCCTCTACTCACAAAGTATCACTAAATAAGCTCTCTGTCTTTCTTAGTACATTTTTTATATAATTTTGGAAATTATATAATACACAATTATTTAATGTTCACCTGTCACCAAAATAAGGTTATAATTAATGATTTGACTTTAAAAAGACCATTTTGTTTCAAAAAAGGGCATTCATAATGTAAATGAGTTAACTTTTAAGAGTAACAGACTTTAGGGGGATACCGACACTTCTTACTCTGTACATATACATACATATAATCGTATCTATAACTTATATTTTATCTGAGCCTTCTAAAAAAGTACTTAAAATTTTAATCATAACTTTGCCAAATAATATATTTTATAATATATTATCACACACACATACACATGCATACATTAAAGAAGACAACTAAAGAAGTCAAGAATATAGTTTATACTAAAATTGCTTTCATTTAGTGTGGATATCAGAAATATAAATATCACACATAAGGATTTTACCGATCGCATAATCCCATATACATATATATATGCTGAGCATTAAAATATTCTCAAAAGAGTGTACATATACCTAAGTTACAAGATTGAGCACAATAATGGTAAAGAGAATCAACGACAAAATAAAAAAAACACAAAGGAAACAAAAAATGCGAAGAACATTTCGCAGAGATTGCTCGTACTGTAACTGTGCTTTAATTCACTTCCTTTTTTCTCAATATTTCTCACTTACGAGGATAATCCGTTATAAGTGATTGTTATAAATAATTGTTATGCGACACGTAAGAACTCGCGTAATGAATCGCTGCGCGATACCCGTCACAACTGTCGAACGATACTAATCGAAATAAAATAAATTAGAAACTTTGTTGCCGAGTCACTTAACGTGAGTAACGAAACAAGGCGGTGCCGTCAGTGCCGTGTTTCCGGACGGATTCCACGAAAAAGCCGGACGCTATTCTTCACCGATATTAGAAATTATCGAACGCTTCGCGTCGACGTCCCGGAAGAGTCTTTCAAACGCGCGATAACGAAGGCGCTGTCTTTCTCGGTAAATACCTTTAAAAATCGTGCAAACGGAATGCCCTGAACGATCCGTACGAATCTTTCTCGCAGTCGTCACACACATTGGTTTACTTTCACGAAACTGGTAGCACTGGCAGGTGTCGCCTCGATCGCTGAATCATCCCATTATTTGTAGCAAATTGTATTCATCGGTGTTTGTAGATACGTAAAATTCGTATAATTTTACGATGATATTTTTTATAAATTAACGTCTTGTAAATGAAATTCAATAAACTCGGGCATCTTTTACAATCTTCCGCTACACTTATTTTGTTTCAATCTGTATTGATCCAAAGACAGATCAAAAATAATTTATGAAGTAATTAACCTTCACTTGCTAGAATTGTGCAAGCGATATTTGATGATTTATTAATATGTATATTTATTCCAGTTGTATAATTCGAATCTTTTTTCATCTAAATATTGATATAATATGATTGCGTCATCAAATACTGATGCTGAAAAAGAAATTGAAGATCCTGTCGAGCGGATGTTAAAAAAGACCGGTTGCGTGGAATTGCATTATCAAGTTCAAGTGTGTTCATTTATAAATGATTGTATCAATATTAATTAACCTTAATTAAAGTCTCAACAATTTTTTTTTTTCTAGAAAATTTTTTGTTCCTAGAAATCAACTCTGACTGTTATAAATTAAATTTTATTCTTAATTATTAAATTGAATTTTCTAATTATATATTAGAAACGTTTCTATTTCCAAATTCTTTTCAGGAATGTATAGCCGAGCACAGAGATTGGAGGAAATGTCAAAATGAAGTAAAAAAGTTTAAGGAATGTATGGCTGAACATACAAAGCAGCAACAATCAGAACATTAATAATAGGTACCTGAATTTAAAGATGTGGTTGATAAATAGATCTATTAAATCTTTATTTGCTCCTGTTTGGAATGGACAGAATTGTAAAATGGTAATAGTAGTTCGGTCAGATATACCTATGGGAAAAGGTAAAATCGGTGCTCAGTGTGCTCATGCTGCATTAGAATGTTGTCGCCAGACTTTAAACAATGAAAAGAAACAACAAATGTTTCAATCTTGGTTACAAATTGGACAGCCAAAAATTGTTGTCAAAATACCAAATGAAGAGGAGTTATTGATTTTGGCAGATAAAGCTCAACGTGCTGGTTTAATTACTGCCATAATAAAAGATGCTGGTAGGACTCAATTAAAGCCTGGCACAGTCACAGTTGTCGGCATAGGACCAGGATCTAATGAAGTTATTGATAGTCTTACATCGAGATTAAGATTATTATAAATGTATCTTGTAAATAAAAGAAGATATTGTTAAGGAAGAATATTAATAATAATTTTCATAATCTTGAGATACTAAAATACTAAAATAGTTTATATATATAAAATTTCAAACTAGTAAAAAAACCTCCTAATAAAAATTATAGCCCAAAGCTTTGCTATATATATATATATAACAGCTCCACAAAACAATTCTATTTTTCTAATACTTGAAAAAAAGCTGTAATTAAGACATTTCCTATATAAACCAAACAAAAATCATCCTCTACTCACAAAGTATCACTAAATAAGCTCTCTGTCTTTCTTAGTACATTTTTTATATAATTTTGGAAATTATATAATACACAATTATTTAATGTTCACCTGTCACCAAAATAAGGTTATAATTAATGATTTGACTTTAAAAAGACCATTTTGTTTCAAAAAAGGGCATTCATAATGTAAATGAGTTAACTTTTAAGAGTAACAGACTTTAGGGGGATACCGACACTTCTTACTCTGTACATATACATACATATAATCGTATCTATAACTTATATTTTATCTGAGCCTTCTAAAAAAGTACTTAAAATTTTAATCATAACTTTGCCAAATAATATATTTTATAATATATTATCACACACACATACACATGCATACATTAAAGAAGACAACTAAAGAAGTCAAGAATATAGTTTATACTAAAATTGCTTTCATTTAGTGTGGATATCAGAAATATAAATATCACACATAAGGATTTTACCGATCGCATAATCCCATATACATATATATATGCTGAGCATTAAAATATTCTCAAAAGAGTGTACATATACCTAAGTTACAAGATTGAGCACAATAATGGTATGACAGAAAAACGTGTTTGTAACTAGCATAAATTTATATATCCGATCTTTTCAAACAAATACAATAATTAATATTCTCTCTCGACTAATGCAACATTGAATTACTTGAATAAAATCAGAAATAATTTATATATAAATACTTTTGTATTTTGATATATAATATTATTATATTTGAAAAGTATGCAACTAATAACTGCATTGACAATGAAATTTTGAAAAAAAGATAAAAACTAAACACTCTCTATAAAATTACATTGAATAAGAGTGGATATATAAAAATTTTGGTATACAAAAATGTTCTAATAATATCAGTTTTTAACTATAGTTTCTTTGGTCAATTTACAAAAGATTTTTCCTCAATTGAAACGTCGACAGAAGTCATCATTTGTTTTATCTTCCCAATTTTTAATATTTTAAGTTATTTTTATCTAAATTTCAAATTCTACTATAGTCCTGAAGAAAATAATTTCATTATCTGTCCAATTTCAATCATTAATTATTCAAATTGGTAACATGCATTGGCCAAAAAGTCTATACTTAAAAGAACATGATAATTTTAGAATATCTTGTACAGATTGCACTCTACTAATAATACATAAATCAATATAACTTTTTATACATATACATTATAATTATGTGTTCAACTTTTAAACCACTTAACTACAATCAAAATGTTATGAAAATTATATAAGTTTTATTTACCATCATTCTTGTTCAAGCACACATTGTAATATTGTTCGTATAGAGTAGACATGGAATAATTACAAGATAATGACAAGTAATGAAGAATTAAACAATGATATAAAAATGTATATACCTTACTATAAAATTCAATTTTCAATAATTTTTTATATATACAATATAATGTATTGTAGGATTCTTTATATAACCGAAATTATATAGAAAGGCTGGAAAATGAATTATGTATAAAGTTCAAGATTTTGAATATGATATGAGTAAGTAAAATTGCTATTTGGAGAAAACACTCGCACGATAAGTTTCGAAGACAATGTATTATTATATATAATAAATTTTACATTCTATGTAATTATATATATATATATATATAAATCAGTTTGTTATCTGCTTGTAAATGTCAGCAACATAATGTAAGAATATACATCAATATTATCAAGATTAGATGCATATTAATATATCATTCTTCAAATGAGTAAATATTTAATATTTAATTTTTTTTTCTTTATACATATATACAAAATTGCTAAGAATAAAATTCATGCTTTACTTGGTTTCCCATATATAAAATTGAAAATTGTGATAGTCACATATACTCATATCATACTCATCAGTTACTCACCAGCTGTATTATTTATTAACTTCATATCACATAGCCGAATTTGAGGATCGCTATACTTCTAATTATAAGATGTGTATAATATCTCACAGTTCAATAGCACATATTAGAATATTATCCATTCTATTAAACTGACCATTTGGCAAATGTACATCACATCATTCGTAATTAGAAACTTCGTGTTTATCATTGTTTAATATTATACCTTCAATGGACGAGTATTAAGTGATTATTTTACTGAGTTCTGGCGGTTCTACATAATTATTTAATACATGCGGCGCTTCGTTAAATTCATCCAGTTCATCACCGTTGTCCGCACCTTGCGCAAGTAGAAAGTACTGTTCACTTCTGGTGGGCCATAATAAATGAGCCATTACACAATAAGCAAAACAGTCTGCTGAGTATGTTATGCCTATAAAGAACAATGTGTAAAAAATATGAAAAAGGATATTATTAAAAATAAATTTTGATATAGATAAATTTTATAAATTTTATTTACCTAATAATAGTTTAAACCTCCACAGCGCGCTCACTTGAAGCGCTATAAGTGCTATAATGGGTAAATATATGAACCAAACTAATGATGATGCACCAAAATGAAGGAGAAAATTCAATTTTTGAGTATTATGCTCGTATGTCATGGTGTTTCTAAGTTCATACAGAAACCATACCATTATGGCACTTCGGAATAACAATATGAACCATCCTGGCCAGGTTTGATATTCGTCTATGTCTTCAATAATGTCAACTTCCGTCTGAAAATAAAATTTTGTATGTTAACAAAATAAAATTTACATATTTATTGCAAATGCGCGATATACATATAAATAATAAAGTATGTGATAGTTACCATATTCCATACATATAACAAGATGTGAACAACCCCATAACAAAACCATATCGCAAACACCAATGGTTTCCATGTTAATTCCATTCTCGTTACTGCCCATCCTTTGGCAAGTAAGAGCAATAATAACATAAATGACGTCTAAAAATATAAAAATAATTTAGTATTAAGGTTGAATGTACACATATTGCTATCCTTCCAAAAATTGCTATATAGTTTTTAAGTTTTTTAAACAAAAATATTTACACCAATTGTTCATATAAATCAATCATCAAATCATTTTATTATGCAACATTTAATTATATTATTAAGAATAAATTATAAACTACTATTAAGGTCTTTTAACAAACTTGTGAAGAATTAATTATATTAAAGGATGCATCAATATTACATAGAATATATTAGATTGTTTGATTTTATATGTACAACATTATACAATTTACATTATACATATATAGAGAGCGTATAATCTTCACAATAAAATATTTTCCTTACCCGTGATAGGATATCAAAAATATCACCTGCAACTTCTAATTGCTCATAGCCCACTCCATCTAGTGCAAATTTCAATACGTGTATCAAGATTAAACATATTGCCACAAATTCTAATAATAAACTAGCAGTGAACAATCTTGTTACAGGATGCTTTTGCAATCTTACTGCATACAACTGCAGTGGCACTAATATGATGTAACACAGAAAAAACAATAAGTATAGCTCCATAGTATCCTGTCTGTCATAGGAGAACTGATAAGTCAAACTGTTTAGGCCACTGATGTTCGGATTGCCATTTACTAGCCAGATATCATATTTTAACTCATCATCTTTGCTATAATGCTCCCACTGACAGGTTGTTCTGTTTCTGTAGCATGCAACCAGGCTCATATACCAAAATCGTGGTTGCCAGAAATCCTGTATGACATATGTGAATTGATGTCCCTTTACAATATTCCATACAGAGTCTTCGTCCGGACACAATTTATCTCGAGGACACGGGACTCGCCTTCAAGAATGCAAAGTTATTATACTATGTACATCGTGCAAACTAAAAAATGCAAGTGACAAATGAGATTTCATATCTCACATTATACTACATACCTCAGGAAATCTTGACCTTCCTCGTTGCAGTGCGGATCGTAGGAACTCTTTTTCAACGTATTGAACATGTAGGTGCACGCGGTGCTCTTGTCCATCAGCGTGCGATTACCGTAATACTCGAGGAAATGACCGCGATCCAATATCGCCAGGGTGATCGGTACGTCGAAGTCCGATGTCGCGGTCACATTGCCGAATATATAACCGTACGAGTCTTTTTGCCGATGACGGTCGGTCTTCTGGAAGCCGAACTTTATGAGGAAACGGAAGAACTCTGTCGCCTTGAATGTACCGGTGATGTGCGTGGAGTGCGCGTAGTCCGGCTGCAGTGACAGACAGAGCAGCCACATGCACAGGACGTGCACCAACCGCCGATGGGCGGTCATTTTTCAGCGCGGACACGGCACTCGGACCTGTTCCCCTCGTCCCTCGTTCGTCGTCAAGAATCGACGACGAACACCCTCAACATTTTACCGCACGATATCGCGCACCACAGCTGTTACCGTACGTCATGTGACCGAATACTTGACCGGCCAGTCCACGAATACTTCCCTCATCGAAACGCGACGAGACCTTCGCGACACTTCCGCCGTTGCGACATTCTCGTCTTGTTGTCGTCGTTTTATTACCGCCGACTATCCGCGGAAACGTCACTGTTAGCACGCGGAGAGAACGTTAATGACCCGTCGTGATGTGTACTCTCCCTCGCGTTTTGAACTCGCCTTTTCCTATCGATTTTCCCCACCCAAACAGACGGTCCGCTCGGAGGAGAAATTGTTCGTCTGACATCGCCTGGTGGATTCTCCTTGCGGGGACACGGTGCACGTTCCCGAACTGCCGTACGTTAAGAAATCACGGGGAGAGAGAAGGGAGAGAGAAAGAAGAGAGAGGGAGGGCGAAAAGAGAGAGAAGTTTTAAATACATCAGCAAACACGACTGACTGACGATCAAGTTAACTGTGATGCGCGAATTCGCTGCGAGTTTTTTTCCATCACCAGAACGAGTCTTGCCAGTTGTCAAAAATATATTTTTATTATATAATACGAGGCGATGAAGAGCACGATGATATTGAATATGTGTGTATTACGATGTGATTTAATCCGGCGATTAATTGTGAAAATTTCTTGATATAATAACCGATTATTATTGAATATATTTCTTATTCCGTTTGCGATAATAATAATAAATTATTAAGATTTTTTTTTTCATTTGCATAGATAAGAGACAACGTTTCAAAAACATCATAAATATCCATATGTAGGAACGCAAGTAGATTTGTTTTCAGAATAAGAATGATTCAAATTTTCAAGGAATTGATCATTTACATATAAATGCTATCGGATTTGTTTAATTTAAGATTAACTGATCGTATCTTCTTGTGTGATGAGATTATAATTATCATAAAGCATACTTAAGCGGTTTTAGCGCGCTTCTATGATACAACTTGGCAAGCTTAATCATCTCTCATTTTATGTAAATTTTTCTTCGAAAAACAGGAAAATGATTAGCTATTTTATCGTTTGTTACATGCAAGTTTATGAAGATGCTACACACACGCAGCAACACATTAAAATACTCGAGTTACTCAATCCGTATCATAAAAGCGCGCTAAAACTATATGTCATTTATAAAAGTGCGTCAACCAGCGCAAACGTCATTCTTGCCTTTCATCATATATTCTATATACTATAAAAATCATAATGCGTTTTTACATTTGGTAAAATCCTATCTATTGTATTGTATGATTTCTATTGATACATCAGAAATAAATATTCTGATATTCATAAATTTGCATAATGGACTAAAAAAAAAAACATGATTTATATTGAAAATAGAATGTTGTAAAAGAAAATGTAAATTAATTTTTATTTACAATATGAATTGTAGATATTAGTATTAATTTAAAACCATTTTTTGCAAATAATAAATCAAATATATACCAAAGGTTGATATATGAAAGCGTAAGATTGATGTTCCTCCGTAAGAGAATTTTTGGCCCTGAAAAGGGCCGATTTTTTAAGAAAATGGATTCAAGCACGCTCTCCACGAATTCGGCGAGCTAACTGAATATCCTTGGGCATGATGGTAACTCTTTTGGCGTGAATAGCACAGAGATTGGTGTCTTCAAACAGTCCGACGAGGTAAGCCTCGCTCGCTTCTTGCAAGGCCATAACGGCCGAGCTTTGAAAACGAAGATCGGTCTTGAAATCCTGTGCGATCTCACGAACCAATCGCTGGAACGGGAGTTTGCGAATCAGCAATTCCGTACTCTTCTGATAACGGCGGATTTCACGAAGAGCAACAGTTCCAGGACGATAACGATGCGGCTTCTTCACGCCTCCAGTTGCGGGCGCACTCTTACGCGCCGCTTTTGTTGCCAACTGTTTACGCGGGGCTTTGCCACCGGTCGACTTGCGAGCAGTTTGCTTAGTTCTTGCCATGTTGAGCAGATCCGAACACAACAGCGAGCTATAGCGGTATAGCGGTCCGTGCGAGATGCCTCGCTTATATATTGTAGCCGTCCCGTTTGCAAACTGCTGATTGGCTGGCGGAACAGTGGTGGGGATGCATAAACTGCGCATAAGTTCTACATTACGATCCTAGATGGCGGTTGATGTTACAATATGTGTCACTCGGTGTCACTTCGTCAATTGACGCTGGCCAACGCGCATCTCTCTCTCTTCTATTGAATGCTGGTAATTTAAAAATTGTAATGGCACTCGCGCGAGTTTTATGGCACGCGTGTCGAGCCAACGCATCGCAGTCAGCTGATTTCGCTTCATTTCGAATTACACACATCCGTATATTCTGATTTTCATGCATTCGAATGAGTTATAATAATCATAACGGTCTGCGTTTCTCATTACATTAATTACTCTTATTATTACAGTGATGTTGGTCATTGACTATTGATACGACGGCATGCAATTGTTTCCATCTCCGTAGTAACTTGATAAAAAAAAAAAGAATCGTTACATTCTCTTGGATATAGGATGTAATGCAAAGTATCTGCCATAAATTGATTAATCCTGGCAAGAGAGAAAAAAGATTAGAAAGAGGAAAAGCTAAAGCCCGTATCAGACTACACATTGAAGATTGAAATTTGACCGATCAGCGCAAAGAAATTTTAGTTCCTTTTGTTCTGACTGGTCAAATTCCAATCTTTACTCTTCAATTTTCAATACGTGTGATACGGACTTTACGGGCATTTTTACATGATGACAAGCGCGGCTCACTTGATGCTCCAAATGCTCCAAATACGTCCAGGAAGCGCGGTGTAAAAACGCCTATAAAATCGCACAAAATCCAACGTGGAAGAATTTATAATGCCAACTGAATATTTTTTTTTTAATCTAAAGTATAAAATTATCAAATCACTCATCTTTATTTAATGAACATGAACATTGCCAACTTGATAAATTTACTTGACTTGACTTAAATAATAACGAAAAGAGGCAAAATATACATTTTACAATGAGCTGCTTCTTTTAAAACTTAAAGAATATCTCTCGTATATATTTTCAGAACAATTATTATAATAGTTTACGATAAGAAACTAATCTGTTGCAAGTATTTATTTTAATAGGAAGAAAAGAGCGAATAAATCCAACTCGCAAAAATTCTCTACAATCTATTTTTAAACATAATTTTTATTAAATAGATTAATAGTAATTAAAGAGAATCAACGACAAAATAAAAAAAACACAAAGGAAACAAAAAATGCGAAGAACATTTCGCAGAGATTGCTCGTACTGTAACTGTGCTTTAATTCACTTCCTTTTTTCTCAATATTTCTCACTTACGAGGATAATCCGTTATAAGTGATTGTTATAAATAATTGTTATGCGACACGTAAGAACTCGCGTAATGAATCGCTGCGCGATACCCGTCACAACTGTCGAACGATACTAATCGAAATAAAATAAATTAGAAACTTTGTTGCCGAGTCACTTAACGTGAGTAACGAAACAAGGCGGTGCCGTCAGTGCCGTGTTTCCGGACGGATTCCACGAAAAAGCCGGACGCTATTCTTCACCGATATTAGAAATTATCGAACGCTTCGCGTCGACGTCCCGGAAGAGTCTTTCAAACGCGCGATAACGAAGGCGCTGTCTTTCTCGGTAAATACCTTTAAAAATCGTGCAAACGGAATGCCCTGAACGATCCGTACGAATCTTTCTCGCAGTCGTCACACACATTGGTTTACTTTCACGAAACTGGTAGCACTGGCAGGTGTCGCCTCGATCGCTGAATCATCCCATTATTTGTAGCAAATTGTATTCATCGGTGTTTGTAGATACGTAAAATTCGTATAATTTTACGATGATATTTTTTATAAATTAACGTCTTGTAAATGAAATTCAATAAACTCGGGCATCTTTTACAATCTTCCGCTACACTTATTTTGTTTCAATCTGTATTGATCCAAAGACAGATCAAAAATAATTTATGAAGTAATTAACCTTCACTTGCTAGAATTGTGCAAGCGATATTTGATGATTTATTAATATGTATATTTATTCCAGTTGTATAATTCGAATCTTTTTTCATCTAAATATTGATATAATATGATTGCGTCATCAAATACTGATGCTGAAAAAGAAATTGAAGATCCTGTCGAGCGGATGTTAAAAAAGACCGGTTGCGTGGAATTGCATTATCAAGTTCAAGTGTGTTCATTTATAAATGATTGTATCAATATTAATTAACCTTAATTAAAGTCTCAACAATTTTTTTTTTTCTAGAAAATTTTTTGTTCCTAGAAATCAACTCTGACTGTTATAAATTAAATTTTATTCTTAATTATTAAATTGAATTTTCTAATTATATATTAGAAACGTTTCTATTTCCAAATTCTTTTCAGGAATGTATAGCCGAGCACAGAGATTGGAGGAAATGTCAAAATGAAGTAAAAAAGTTTAAGGAATGTATGGCTGAACATACAAAGCAGCAACAATCAGAACATTAATAATAGGTACCTGAATTTAAAGATGTGGTTGATAAATAGATCTATTAAATCTTTATTTGCTCCTGTTTGGAATGGACAGAATTGTAAAATGGTAATAGTAGTTCGGTCAGATATACCTATGGGAAAAGGTAAAATCGGTGCTCAGTGTGCTCATGCTGCATTAGAATGTTGTCGCCAGACTTTAAACAATGAAAAGAAACAACAAATGTTTCAATCTTGGTTACAAATTGGACAGCCAAAAATTGTTGTCAAAATACCAAATGAAGAGGAGTTATTGATTTTGGCAGATAAAGCTCAACGTGCTGGTTTAATTACTGCCATAATAAAAGATGCTGGTAGGACTCAATTAAAGCCTGGCACAGTCACAGTTGTCGGCATAGGACCAGGATCTAATGAAGTTATTGATAGTCTTACATCGAGATTAAGATTATTATAAATGTATCTTGTAAATAAAAGAAGATATTGTTAAGGAAGAATATTAATAATAATTTTCATAATCTTGAGATACTAAAATACTAAAATAGTTTATATATATAAAATTTCAAACTAGTAAAAAAACCTCCTAATAAAAATTATAGCCCAAAGCTTTGCTATATATATATATATAACAGCTCCACAAAACAATTCTATTTTTCTAATACTTGAAAAAAAGCTGTAATTAAGACATTTCCTATATAAACCAAACAAAAATCATCCTCTACTCACAAAGTATCACTAAATAAGCTCTCTGTCTTTCTTAGTACATTTTTTATATAATTTTGGAAATTATATAATACACAATTATTTAATGTTCACCTGTCACCAAAATAAGGTTATAATTAATGATTTGACTTTAAAAAGACCATTTTGTTTCAAAAAAGGGCATTCATAATGTAAATGAGTTAACTTTTAAGAGTAACAGACTTTAGGGGGATACCGACACTTCTTACTCTGTACATATACATACATATAATCGTATCTATAACTTATATTTTATCTGAGCCTTCTAAAAAAGTACTTAAAATTTTAATCATAACTTTGCCAAATAATATATTTTATAATATATTATCACACACACATACACATGCATACATTAAAGAAGACAACTAAAGAAGTCAAGAATATAGTTTATACTAAAATTGCTTTCATTTAGTGTGGATATCAGAAATATAAATATCACACATAAGGATTTTACCGATCGCATAATCCCATATACATATATATATGCTGAGCATTAAAATATTCTCAAAAGAGTGTACATATACCTAAGTTACAAGATTGAGCACAATAATGGTATGACAGAAAAACGTGTTTGTAACTAGCATAAATTTATATATCCGATCTTTTCAAACAAATACAATAATTAATATTCTCTCTCGAGACTAATGCAACATTGAATTACTTGAATAAAATCAGAAATAATTTATATATAAATACTTTTGTATTTTGATATATAATATTATTATATTTGAAAAGTATGCAACTAATAACTGCATTGACAATGAAATTTTGAAAAAAAGATAAAAACTAAACACTCTCTATAAAATTACATTGAATAAGAGTGGATATATAAAAATTTTGGTATACAAAAATGTTCTAATAATATCAGTTTTTAACTATAGTTTCTTTGGTCAATTTACAAAAGATTTTTCCTCAATTGAAACGTCGACAGAAGTCATCATTTGTTTTATCTTCCCAATTTTTAATATTTTAAGTTATTTTTATCTAAATTTCAAATTCTACTATAGTCCTGAAGAAAATAATTTCATTATCTGTCCAATTTCAATCATTAATTATTCAAATTGGTAACATGCATTGGCCAAAAAGTCTATACTTAAAAGAACATGATAATTTTAGAATATCTTGTACAGATTGCACTCTACTAATAATACATAAATCAATATAACTTTTTATACATATACATTATAATTATGTGTTCAACTTTTAAACCACTTAACTACAATCAAAATGTTATGAAAATTATATAAGTTTTATTTACCATCATTCTTGTTCAAGCACACATTGTAATATTGTTCGTATAGAGTAGACATGGAATAATTACAAGATAATGACAAGTAATGAAGAATTAAACAATGATATAAAAATGTATATACCTTACTATAAAATTCAATTTTCAATAATTTTTTATATATACAATATAATGTATTGTAGGATTCTTTATATAACCGAAATTATATAGAAAGGCTGGAAAATGAATTATGTTTAAAGTTCAAGATTTTGAATATGATATGAGTAAGTAAAATTGCTATTTGGAGAAAACACTCGCACGATAAGTTTCGAAGACAATGTATTATTATATATAATAAATTTTACATTCTATGTAATTATATATATATATATAAATCAGTTTGTTATCTGCTTGTAAATGTCAGCAACATAATGTAAGAATATACATCAATATTATCAAGATTAGATGCATATTAATATATCATTCTTCAAATGAGTAAATATTTAATATTTAATTTTTTTTTCTTTATACATATATACAAAATTGCTAAGAATAAAATTCATGCTTTACTTGGTTTCCCATATATAAAATTGAAAATTGTGATAGTAACATATACTCATATCATACTCATCAGTTACTCACCAGCTGTATTATTTATTAACTTCATATCACATAGCCGAATTTGAGGATCGCTATACTTCTAATTATAAGATGTGTACAATATCTCACAGTTCAATAGCACATATTAGAATATTATCCATTCTATTAAACTGACCATTTGGCAAATGTACATCACATCATTCGTAATTAGAAACTTCGTGTTTATCATTGTTTAATATTATACCTTCAATGGACGAGTATTAAGTGATTATTTTACTGAGTTCTGGCGGTTCTACATAATTATTTAATACATGCGGCGCTTCGTTAAATTCATCCAGTTCATCACCGTTGTCCGCACCTTGCGCAAGTAGAAAGTACTGTTCACTTCTGGTGGGCCATAATAAATGAGCCATTACACAATAAGCAAAACAGTCTGCTGAGTATGTTATGCCTATAAAGAACAATGTGTAAAAAATATGAAAAAGGATATTATTAAAAATAAATTTTGATATAGATAAATTTTATAAATTTTATTTACCTAATAATAGTTTAAACCTCCACAGCGCGCTCACTTGAAGCGCTATAAGTGCTATAATGGGTAAATATATGAACCAAACTAATGATGATGCACCAAAATGAAGGAGAAAATTCAATTTTTGAGTATTATGCTCGTATGTCATGGTGTTTCTAAGTTCATACAGAAACCATACCATTATGGCACTTCGGAATAACAATATGAACCATCCTGGCCAGGTTTGATATTCGTCTATGTCTTCAATAATGTCAACTTCCGTCTGAAAATAAAATTTTGTATGTTAACAAAATAAAATTTACATATTTATTGCAAATGCGCGATATACATATAAATAATAAAGTATGTGATAGTTACCATATTCCATACATATAACAAGATGTGAACAACCCCATAACAAAACCATATCGCAAACACCAATGGTTTCCATGTTAATTCCATTCTCGTTACTGCCCATCCTTTGGCAAGTAAGAGCAATAATAACATAAATGACGTCTAAAAATATAAAAATAATTTAGTATTAAGGTTGAATGTACACATATTGCTATCCTTCCAAAAATTGCTATATAGTTTTTAAGTTTTTTAAACAAAAATATTTACACCAATTGTTCATATAAATCAATCATCAAATCATTTTATTATGCAACATTTAATTATATTATTAAGAATAAATTATAAACTACTATTAAGGTCTTTTAACAAACTTGTGAAGAATTAATTATATTAAAGGATGCATCAATATTACATAGAATATATTAGATTGTTTGATTTTATATGTACAACATTATACAATTTACATTATACATATATAGAGAGCGTATAATCTTCACAATAAAATATTTTCCTTACCCGTGATAGGATATCAAAAATATCACCTGCAACTTCTAATTGCTCATAGCCCACTCCATCTAGTGCAAATTTCAATACGTGTATCAAGATTAAACATATTGCCACAAATTCTAATAATAAACTAGCAGTGAACAATCTTGTTACAGGATGCTTTTGCAATCTTACTGCATACAACTGCAGTGGCACTAATATGATGTAACACAGAAAAAACAATAAGTATAGCTCCATAGTATCCTGTCTGTCATAGGAGAACTGATAAGTCAAACTGTTTAGGCCACTGATGTTCGGATTGCCATTTACTAGCCAGATATCATATTTTAACTCATCATCTTTGCTATAATGCTCCCACTGACAGGTTGTTCTGTTTCTGTAGCATGCAACCAGGCTCATATACCAAAATCGTGGTTGCCAGAAATCCTGTATGACATATGTGAATTGATGTCCCTTTACAATATTCCATACAGAGTCTTCGTCCGGACACAATTTATCTCGAGGACACGGGACTCGCCTTCAAGAATGCAAAGTTATTATACTATGTACATCGTGCAAACTAAAAAATGCAAGTGACAAATGAGATTTCATATCTCACATTATACTACATACCTCAGGAAATCTTGACCTTCCTCGTTGCAGTGCGGATCGTAGGAACTCTTTTTCAACGTATTGAACATGTAGGTGCACGCGGTGCTCTTGTCCATCAGCGTGCGATTACCGTAATACTCGAGGAAATGACCGCGATCCAATATCGCCAGGGTGATCGGTACGTCGAAGTCCGATGTCGCGGTCACATTGCCGAATATATAACCGTACGAGTCTTTTTGCCGATGACGGTCGGTCTTCTGGAAGCCGAACTTTATGAGGAAACGGAAGAACTCTGTCGCCTTGAATGTACCGGTGATGTGCGTGGAGTGCGCGTAGTCCGGCTGCAGTGACAGACAGAGCAGCCACATGCACAGGACGTGCACCAACCGCCGATGGGCGGTCATTTTTCAGCGCGGACACGGCACTCGGACCTGTTCCCCTCGTCCCTCGTTCGTCGTCAAGAATCGACGACGAACACCCTCAACATTTTACCGCACGATATCGCGCACCACAGCTGTTACCGTACGTCATGTGACCGAATACTTGACCGGCCAGTCCACGAATACTTCCCTCATCGAAACGCGACGAGACCTTCGCGACACTTCCGCCGTTGCGACATTCTCGTCTTGTTGTCGTCGTTTTATTACCGCCGACTATCCGCGGAAACGTCACTGTTAGCACGCGGAGAGAACGTTAATGACCCGTCGTGATGTGTACTCTCCCTCGCGTTTTGAACTCGCCTTTTCCTATCGATTTTCCCCACCCAAACAGACGGTCCGCTCGGAGGAGAAATTGTTCGTCTGACATCGCCTGGTGGATTCTCCTTGCGGGGACACGGTGCACGTTCCCGAACTGCCGTACGTTAAGAAATCACGGGGAGAGAGAAGGGAGAGAGAAAGAAGAGAGAGGGAGGGCGAAAAGAGAGAGAAGTTTTAAATACATCAGCAAACACGACTGACTGACGATCAAGTTAACTGTGATGCGCGAATTCGCTGCGAGTTTTTTTCCATCACCAGAACGAGTCTTGCCAGTTGTCAAAAATATATTTTTATTATATAATACGAGGCGATGAAGAGCACGATGATATTGAATATGTGTGTATTACGATGTGATTTAATCCGGCGATTAATTGTGAAAATTTCTTGATATAATAACCGATTATTATTGAATATATTTCTTATTCCGTTTGCGATAATAATAATAAATTATTAAGATTTTTTTTTTCATTTGCATAGATAAGAGACAACGTTTCAAAAACATCATAAATATCCATATGTAGGAACGCAAGTAGATTTGTTTTCAGAATAAGAATGATTCAAATTTTCAAGGAATTGATCATTTACATATAAATGCTATCGGATTTGTTTAATTTAAGATTAACTGATCGTATCTTCTTGTGTGATGAGATTATAATTATCATAAAGCATACTTAAGCGGTTTTAGCGCGCTTCTATGATACAACTTGGCAAGCTTAATCATCTCTCATTTTATGTAAATTTTTCTTCGAAAAACAGGAAAATGATTAGCTATTTTATCGTTTGTTACATGCAAGTTTATGAAGATGCTACACACACGCAGCAACACATTAAAATACTCGAGTTACTCAATCCGTATCATAAAAGCGCGCTAAAACTATATGTCATTTATAAAAGTGCGTCAACCAGCGCAAACGTCATTCTTGCCTTTCATCATATATTCTATATACTATAAAAATCATAATGCGTTTTTACATTTGGTAAAATCCTATCTATTGTATTGTATGATTTCTATTGATACATCAGAAATAAATATTCTGATATTCATAAATTTGCATAATGGACTAAAAAAAAAAACATGATTTATATTGAAAATAGAATGTTGTAAAAGAAAATGTAAATTAATTTTTATTTACAATATGAATTGTAGATATTAGTATTAATTTAAAACCATTTTTTGCAAATAATAAATCAAATATATACCAAAGGTTGATATATGAAAGCGTAAGATTGATGTTCCTCCGTAAGAGAATTTTTGGCCCTGAAAAGGGCCGATTTTTTAAGAAAATGGATTCAAGCACGCTCTCCACGAATTCGGCGAGCTAACTGAATATCCTTGGGCATGATGGTAACTCTTTTGGCGTGAATAGCACAGAGATTGGTGTCTTCAAACAGTCCGACGAGGTAAGCCTCGCTCGCTTCTTGCAAGGCCATAACGGCCGAGCTTTGAAAACGAAGATCGGTCTTGAAATCCTGTGCGATCTCACGAACCAATCGCTGGAACGGGAGTTTGCGAATCAGCAATTCCGTACTCTTCTGATAACGGCGGATTTCACGAAGAGCAACAGTTCCAGGACGATAACGATGCGGCTTCTTCACGCCTCCAGTTGCGGGCGCACTCTTACGCGCCGCTTTTGTTGCCAACTGTTTACGCGGGGCTTTGCCACCGGTCGACTTGCGAGCAGTTTGCTTAGTTCTTGCCATGTTGAGCAGATCCGAACACAACAGCGAGCTATAGCGGTATAGCGGTCCGTGCGAGATGCCTCGCTTATATATTGTAGCCGTCCCGTTTGCAAACTGCTGATTGGCTGGCGGAACAGTGGTGGGGATGCATAAACTGCGCATAAGTTCTACATTACGATCCTAGATGGCGGTTGATGTTACAATATGTGTCACTCGGTGTCACTTCGTCAATTGACGCTGGCCAACGCGCATCTCTCTCTCTTCTATTGAATGCTGGTAATTTAAAAATTGTAATGGCACTCGCGCGAGTTTTATGGCACGCGTGTCGAGCCAACGCATCGCAGTCAGCTGATTTCGCTTCATTTCGAATTACACACATCCGTATATTCTGATTTTCATGCATTCGAATGAGTTATAATAATCATAACGGTCTGCGTTTCTCATTACATTAATTACTCTTATTATTACAGTGATGTTGGTCATTGACTATTGATACGACGGCATGCAATTGTTTCCATCTCCGTAGTAACTTGATAAAAAAAAAAAGAATCGTTACATTCTCTTGGATATAGGATGTAATGCAAAGTATCTGCCATAAATTGATTAATCCTGGCAAGAGAGAAAAAAGATTAGAAAGAGGAAAAGCTAAAGCCCGTATCAGACTACACATTGAAGATTGAAATTTGACCGATCAGCGCAAAGAAATTTTAGTTCCTTTTGTTCTGACTGGTCAAATTCCAATCTTTACTCTTCAATTTTCAATACGTGTGATACGGACTTTACGGGCATTTTTACATGATGACAAGCGCGGCTCACTTGATGCTCCAAATGCTCCAAATACGTCCAGGAAGCGCGGTGTAAAAACGCCTATAAAATCGCACAAAATCCAACGTGGAAGAATTTATAATGCCAACTGAATATTTTTTTTTTAATCTAAAGTATAAAATTATCAAATCACTCATCTTTATTTAATGAACATGAACATTGCCAACTTGATAAATTTACTTGACTTGACTTAAATAATAACGAAAAGAGGCAAAATATACATTTTACAATGAGCTGCTTCTTTTAAAACTTAAAGAATATCTCTCGTATATATTTTCAGAACAATTATTATAATAGTTTACGATAAGAAACTAATCTGTTGCAAGTATTTATTTTAATAGGAAGAAAAGAGCGAATAAATCCAACTCGCAAAAATTCTCTACAATCTATTTTTAAACATAATTTTTATTAAATAGATTAATAGTAATTATAACGTAGAAAAAACGGATTGGATAAGTTCCATAGGTTTCCTTCAAGTATACGAAATTTAACAACTGCTACAACATTCGTCAAAGATTATCACAATAATTATATGTCTAATTATAAGACAGATCAATTTAATTTTTAAAATATTATCTTTACTAAAACTCTTTTTTTACTTTCTGTTATGTTGCGTTACCACATTTTCTAAGATATTATTCAAAAGGTATGTATCTTGATGACCTGTTTCTCTGTATGAATTTATTTATACTATTTATTCATCGTCATCATAACATTACGTGGTATCGTTTCGTATTGTGAATGTGTGAAAGAGGTTAGTATGCAATTCAGTATTGGAAGAGCTCGGCTTCTAACGAGTCAAGTTGCGTGAGATTATTGCAACTGTCATCGACGTTATTTATCAATCTATAGATCGACATCAGTGTGTGCCGGGTTTCCATTAAAATTTCTTGTCTGTAGTTTGCTCTATCTTCAAACAAAATATATGCCAACTATGTATACGTCTGTTTTACGTGGCATGCAACAATGCGCATATGCAGTGCGCAAATTACATTTGCACGCATCACGTCTTCGTCATTACATAGGTCCTTTGACATACTTTACAGACGATGAACTTATGACGAAGGAAATGGTTGCTAAATTGGCTAAAGAAGAAATCGCTCCGCTCGTACGAAAGATGGAAAAGGAAGGAAGAATAGACGACGGTGTCTTTCGGAAACTCTTTGAAAATGGTCTGATGGGTATCGAAATTCCGACGGAGTACGGTGGGGCGGGAAGCAACTTTATGAATATAATACTAACTATTGAAGAAATTAGTAAAGTCGATGCAACAGTATCCATTCCTGTTTCTATCCAAAACAATTTGATAAATTCAATGATACGTAAAGTTGGATCGGAAGAGCAAAAGCGGAAGTATTTATCCAAATTGGCTCAGAATTCTGTAGGTAGTTTCTGTCTGTCGGAATCTAACTCAGGATCGGACGCTTTTTCTCTAAAAACCGAAGCGAAAAAGGATGGTGCCGAGTACGTGATCAATGGTACAAAAATGTGGATTTCGAATTCTGACGTGGCGCAAGTTTTTCTGCTTTTCGCTAACGCGAATCCTTCCGCTGGCTACCGTGGCATTACGACTTTTCTCGTGGACCGCGATACACCTGGTCTCACGGTAGCTAAACCAGAGGATAAACTAGGTATGAAGGCGTCGTACACCGCTATGGTCCATTTCGACAACGTCAGAATACCCGAGAACAATTTATTAGGAGAGTTTGGATATGGATATAAGTATGCGGCTGGATTTCTGAACGAGGGTAGAATCGGTGTCGGGGCACAGATGATTGGTATAGCACAGGGCTGCCTAGACGCGACTATACCATATACATTGGAAAGAAAGCAATTTGGAAAGGAAATTTTCTCCTTCCAAGCTCTGCAATATCAAATAGCTCAAGCGGTAACGGAACTGGAATGCGCTAGATTACTTGTTTACAACGCGGCGAGACTAGTAGAAGCTAAAAAAGATGTCACGAAAGAAGCGGCTATGGCGAAGCTTGTCGCGTCCGAAAGTGCATGCCGTATCACTGCAAAATGCATAGACTTTGTGGGAGGTGTTGGTTTTACAACTGATTTTCCTCAAGAAAAATATTTTAGGGACTCTAAAATTGGTACCATTTATGAGGGTACGAGTAATATGCAGTTATCAGCAATTGCAAAATATATTCGCAAGCAATATTCATAGATAGTAGCGATCATAATTTTAATTATATATATTACATTAATTTTTAATGTTTTCTAAGGCATGATTAAATGTATAGTTTATAGGTAATTCAAAATCTCTATTTTTTACACTTTTCTTAATCAAATAGATTAGAAACAAACATTTATATCCATATGTGATGGGATAATATCAGCAGTCAATATTGACGCATGTTTGGCATATTTTCTAAAATATTAATATATGTAATTGAAGAATTTATATGAATGTATAATCTGCTTTTATTTATAATTAAGTTATAATTGATATCATATATTTGATTATTTATATATTTTATGGATAAATTTCATTATAAGTTATGCAAACTAATACATATATCTGAAAACAAATGTTGTATTTTTTTGCATTAGCGTATAAATATAAATATAAAATATTAGATTTATTGACATGTAATATTTAGGTCTTATTATTTGAAAAATTTTAAGAAATACTATGATATATATATATGGCATAGTCATATCGATATCAAGTCACGAATTGCAAAACAATACTCTAGCACAAAAATCATAGAAAAATCTAGTCGAAATTTTAATAAATTACAAAATGTACATGAATACACATAATAGGGAAATATAAACATAGGAAACGGCTTTTTATATATAAACGGAAAAACATTCTTTTTAAGAATATCATTAAATAGATAAATGCATATAATAATTCCGAAAAATGCATTCATTATCTTATTTGTTTAGTATTTCGCAAATATAAACAATTATATAACAAATTACCATATCGTTCTGTCGATATAACGTGCGTCATATATGTACACAACAGTAACATTTTTGGTTTAGCGAATATGATGATCAAATGTATCGTGTGAAAATAATTTAATAATAATTCTATTATAATTTCTATTAACTTTTATACACATTCTTCTTTCGCAATTAAGGGATATAAAATAAATAAACTTTACACATTTATCTGATTATATTAATCTATATGATTCCAAAAATATGATAAAAGTCGTTTCGGAGAATTTAGAGTTATTGTTGCTTTAAAAGCCCATAAATCAAATTTTTATTTTTGTTTTATTAATAACAATTATTATTAATTTAAAAGAGTCAGATTAACGAATTATACATTATTGGGTCGATTTATTATATTCTTCTCATATACATAGGATAGGTATATAGCTGTATGAAAAACTGCGCAGTATTCGCTCCTCGTCACGTCAAAAAAAAAACATCTCAGAATTAATTATCTACATAATTTATTTGTAGCGTTCGTCGTGAATTTTATAATAAATGGTGATTAAATTTCGATCGAGGAATTCATCGATTTGCATTATATACCATTAAGCTACGAAGCAACAAGGCCATTTGCCTCGTGCATCTTACGAGCGCGCGTATCCCGAGAAGCTGCGATTTAAGCTTCTTATTCTCGGAATATAAGCCGATATCAGTCGGAAACAATTAATCGGGAGCACGGGGCTGTTCCGTCGGAATATCTTCCCAGAGAGGTAACATGAAAAATATTTAGAGAAAAGCTTGGTTTTCATGTTTTTCCATGACCTATGCTATCAGCGCGAAAAGACGCGAACGACAAAATTTCACAGTGGATAAAAAGCGACGATTGTAGAGACGTTTAATACGATTTGAGATGAAACCCCATACACTTGGCTATCGATTAATCCAGTTTGCGATATTCGAGCGGTCCCAATATTAGAGAAATAACGTCGTAAAATCAAAGTATATTTACCGCTCCATCATTTTCTGTGAAACTAACGGGCCGATATATTGGGTAGGTCTCTCTCCATGGTCCGCGCTCCCGGTACTAGAGCGCGTCGCCAGCGGCCCGCCAAGCAAACTGACTATTCTGCACTTTGTAGAATCGAGAAGCATAGACGATCGTTTTGTACGCAAAACTCATTCGCTGAAAATATGGAGGACAAAGTTAACACTGGAAACTCTGCTGTCGAGACTGCCGAGAGCAATCCTGCTCCGGCTAAGAAGACTAACAAGAGCAAGGCTAAGTCGCAGGAAAAGAAGGCATCGCGGCCAGCGACTTCCGAGATGGTAACAGCGGCCATTAAAGAGCTAAAGGATCACAAGGGCTCGTCTCTACAAGCGATTAAGAAATACATTGTGGCGACTTACAAAGTAGACGGTGAGAAAGTCGCGCCGTTTATCAGAAGATATTTGAAAGCTGCTGTCTCATCGGGTGCCGTCGTGCAAACCAAGGGGAAAGGCGCTTCCGGATCTTTTAAATTATCGACGGACAATTCTAAGCCCAAGACTAAAGTGCAAGCGAAGCGTCCTTCCAAGCCTGCATCTAAGAAAGACAAAATCGAGAAGACTACGACGGTACGAAAACCAGTTGCCACGAAGAAAACAGTCACTCCTAAAAAAGCGGCTGAGAGTCCAAAGAAACAGCCCGCTCAGAAGAAAGCTGCTGCTGCTGCTGCTAAATCTGTCGCAAAGAAGAAGGGCGGTAAGGCTGCCATAGAGACAAAAGCACCATCAAAAGCTAAGAAAGCTGTAAAGGCACCTGCAGCGAAGACTAAGACGCCGAAACCGAAAAAAGCAGCAGCAAAAGCCGTAGCAATTTCTGCAAAAAAATAATTATTCTGCTCGCTATATACAATTTCAAATGGCCCTTTTCAGGGCCCAAATTATCTAAAACGAGGAACAATTTCGAAAAATTGCAATTGATACATATCTCATTTTACCTCTCCCACAAAAATCCATTTTATTATTAGACATTTTAATTAACATATATTTTCTGTTATGGACATAGATCTTTTGATAAGTTTGATATCTGTGTGAAAATAATTATTCCATAAATATTATATATATATGCATATCACACACACACGAAATAAGATCATGTTACATAACGCAGTAGAAAAACTTGACATATTTAAAAAATATTGCTATTTACTTATTAATATATGATCAAAGAGAAATATCGTTTTCCGTTAATAAATTTCTAATTTTAAATATATAGTAATAATGCGAACTACTTAAAATACAGAAAAATTACATATATTTTTAAATATCTTATTATAATATATAATGAATAACTTATCTCTCATCTTCGCTAGTAACTCACCAAATACATAAATACGAAAAACATTAAAATTCTGATATATAAAACTTTCTTATATTGATGTGTGCAATTTGGTTAACATATTTAATGCGATAATATTAAAATATATAATATATCGCAGTTTAAAAACAGAATTAAAACAAAAAGAAATTAAAAGGTATTGTTAAATGTTATATAATTTTGTGCACTTAAAATTATAAAGATGCTGAATTAAGAATAACAAGATATATATATTATATCTCAATAATTTTGAATTTATATTTCACGTACAAATATGCTTGCAAATCTATTAATATTATATTTAATTATAATTGAATGTAAATTTAATTTACTCATTTCAAAAATTATTTCAAGTTTATGTATGTGTATGATAGATAACAAACTTTAAACTTATATTTTTTCATACATTAGTATCAAAATTATTTAAAGCTATTCTTTATATAATTAATGAAAAAACGTACTTTTAAATAGTTTGTGCGTCTATCAAAATCTTGTTTTGTATAACGCAATTATTTAACAAATATACATATATAAAATTAAATTTAGACAATATAATACATGCTTTCTAAGATAATTCCGACGTATAATAAATTGTTGGCCCTGAAAAGGGCCGTTTTGATTCTGACGAATATTGGATCGCATTAACCACCAAAACCATATAAGGTTCTTCCTTGCCGTTTGAGAGCATAGACCACGTCCATAGCAGTTACAGTCTTCCTTTTAGCATGCTCGGTGTAAGTTACAGCATCGCGAATAACGTTTTCTAGGAAGACTTTCAAGACGCCTCTCGTCTCTTCGTATATCAAGCCAGAAATACGCTTCACACCACCACGTCTTGCCAGACGACGGATAGCTGGTTTAGTGATACCCTGGATGTTATCACGCAGGACTTTCCTATGCCGCTTAGCTCCTCCCTTTCCCAATCCTTTTCCTCCCTTACCGCGACCAGTCATTTTGAAATCTACGATATGTATTCTACGACGCCTCGACGGAGAATGTGCTCGGAAATCCGATAGAAGCCCCTTATAAAGCCGCACCGGCAGTACTATCCCCACCACTACACTGTCAGCCAATCGCCAGACGGCCGTTGCAAGAAAGAGAAATGGAAGCGCAGGCTGTTAGCGCTGGAAACTAAAATATCGATTGATCTGAGTTCTTTGATTGCAAAAATTATTTTTATCTCATTTTAAATATTTAATATTAATCTATCTATCTATATATATATATATATATATCTTATAAAAATGCACACATAGCTTGTTACATTTCTTGAATAAAAATAATATAAAGAATAATATATACTTTGTTTTAATATTTGTTAAAATAATATTTCACACTTTCCTGATATTTGTGTGATATAAATATTATTATTTGCGTTTATAGAGGAGTTTTATAATTATAATGTTCGGTATGTTTTATGTATGTATATAATAGCCTGCTCTAACATCTATGCAAATTAAATGCACACATAATGTACTAATTCTTCGACATTAATAATCATTTGCTTATTATTATGCATGTGTTCGTATGGTAATTAAATATAAAAAATTTATATTATATCTATTAAACAATATTATATTTTTATAGTGTATTTTTTTATTGCGTTTGGTTTCTATATTATAATAAATAGAAATCAGTTAAAAAATTATTAAATCTTCAAATATCTATTAATAAATTCTAAATTATATAAATTTTATAAATAACGATTGCTCGCAAGAAAGATACGTAGATACAATGATCGTGTTTCGGTTAAAAAGCACGAATTTAAATTCTTGGCTTGATTCGAGTGTATTATCGCGGAAATAAATATTTGAATATTTGTATAAAAGGAAAGCATTACAAAATTTTTCGAAATTTACCTTTGATTTATCACGAATTTAACGTTTTTATTAAACATTATAAATAAAAACAATAATCTGCAATAGTTGCAAGTAATGATAGAGATAAACATCATAATAAATATTCCTTATCCCTACCAACGTCTGTCCATGGCTCAGTGCGACGAATAGTAAAAGCGCGATAAGAAGTATATGATGTTTATAAATAAGAACTCTTATCTACTATCACTTACTTAATTAGCAATCCTTGCAGTGCGTATTACAATCCGCCGAAGACTTCGCAGAAAGCAAGACATGGACAACATACAGAATAAGACTGTAATGATCACCGGAGGAGCTGCCGGACTGGGCTACAAATACGCCGAAATATTGCTTCGCAATGGTGCGAAAAGTGTTGCGATAATCGATCTGCCAACATCAAACGGTGAAAATGCAGCGACCACGTTGAAGAACGAGTTTGGCAAGGATCGCGCTATCTTCGTCGCGTGCGACGTGACAAAGACCGAAGATCTGAAAGAGACGTTCAAGAAAGTCATCGCCGCGTTCGAGACTCTCGACATTCTTATCAACAACGCTGGCATATTCGACGATAAAGACAAATGGGAACAGACGATCAACATCAATGTCACGGCGCTGATTCGCAGCTCGTATCTGGCTCTGGACCATATGGGAAAGTACAAAGGTGGAAAAGGAGGCCTGATCGTGAATATCTCGTCTATCCTTGGATTAGCCGTACATCCCCCGGCGCCGGTGTACACGGCTACGAAACACGCCGTTCTCGGATTCAGCCAGTCCCTGGCGGGTCTGTACGAGAAGACCGGAGTGCGAGTTCTCATCATGTGTCCAGGTGTTACGAAAACGGCGTTACTCGACGACTTATTTCATAAGGCTGTCCATTTCGCCGACGCTAAATATGCTAGTAAGTTTCCCGGTTTCGATCAGTTTCAATCAGCTGATAATGTGGCTCTCACGATGGTAGATCTTATACAAAAAGGAAAAAACGGAGAAGCTTGGGTCAGCGAGCACGATAAACCGCCCTACGCCGTGAACTTTCCCCATTATTCGACTCGAGCTTTACCTGTGTAAAGTTTACATTTAATAACTTTAAATATATTCCATAACTCGTCTTATTTTGTTCAATTGAATGGTTTATTAATAAATATAAACGTTGTATCAATTATATATATATATGTAAAATTATATTACATATGTAAAATTATATGAAATATAAATGATATATGCATATAATGTTAAAACGCAACACCTTCATTTCCAAATCCAAAGATCTATTTGAAAATCGTACGCGTAATTTTACATAATATTATTGGTAAAAGTCATATAAAGTACTAAGAAGACTTTATCTATTCAAAATGTATTGTGTCTGACTAACAATAAGTACTAGGCACTGCATAATTTTACGAGCTACGCGCAATAGTACATTCTTCTATCAACTTTTGTAATATAAGGAGAGATTAAGAACATGAAATATTAAAAATAAAATTTATTATATCTCTGTTATTGTAAAATCAAATTAAAAAAATTTTTATATTTTATCTAGCTCTCTTGTTATTGAAATTGGCAAATAAGATCAGCGTTGATATAAAAATAAAAACTTACATATTTTTATATTTTTTAATCGATGATAGCGTTCAACATAACTAACGATAAGTTTGTGCAGCGGTATCTTACTATTCGTAAATATATACATCTATATATAGTGTAATATTTTTTTTTATAAACTGTACACACTCTGTATCGCTTCTAAAGATTTTATCTGTTATTTTCTAATATTTTTTTTACATGGTTATGCTTTTTAAAATGAGTGCCTTCAGTGTTATCTTTTATATTAGATACCGAGTTAGTAGCATTATTGCTTATCATATTTATGTTTTTGCGCACACAAAAAGTAGATCTACCAATTCGGTAGTTCAGTGATGAATTATGCATTATATATTATGCATTATGAATTCGGATAAATCTAGCCGAGCAGTCATCAGTGTTAAGAAATAATAAAAAAAAATTTGTTTGGAGAAATAATAATTTCCTAGTTATTATCCGTCCTCGAATTAATCACATATCCCCCAACGCTAGTTGTACACATCAGCTACGAAACATGCCGTTCTCGGATTCAGTCAGTCTCATCGTAATTCATCGTAATTACAAATAAAATAGATAATAATAATTTTTTCTAAGAGCTATATCTCTCTTCGACAAGTACAATTTTTGGTTTCATATGTTATTTTAAATATACAGCGTGCTCCCGGGTTAAATGGCCAAACTTGAAATATTATAGGATCTCAAAATAAAAATAATTTTCCTCTGGAAGTATGCTCGCAAACGCTTCGTTCAAGAAATATTGACTTCTTAAGTTACAGAACTATTTAGATTATATTTCCAAATTACATCGGAATTTTAAAATTTGACACATGTTTTCTGCAATCAAATTTTAAATTAAAATTAATAATCAGAAAGGAAGGCTCACTAAAACCCGCGTAGAATCTGTACAGATTAGTGGACGAAGTCCAAACGCCATCACATATATCCGTCAGTGGTTTACATCAATATAACGATGATCAACGTTGATCGATCGATACATTCACAAAAACAACGGTCATAATAAAAAAAAGAACAATAGAACAATTACTTAATAAAAAAAATGGTCGTAAAGGTCAAAGAAACAACGGTTATAAATAAGTTGGTCATGAACAAAGGTAAAGAAAAACAAACCGTGAGAGAAAGGCTAGGTTTAGTTAATCTTTCAATTCAATTCAAATCTTGAAATCAAATTCAAATTTAAGTTTCCCAATCAATTAATTTTTAAATTTTCGACAAGTTCTCTATTAGAGGAAAAACGTACAGATCACAAAAACAAGTCATAAAATTAAAAATGATGGGAAAAAAGCAAATGCGACAAGTTTAACTAATTTTTAAAATATAATCCAAATTTTTAAATTTAAAATCAAACTCATATTTCTAAATCTTTATATATTTATATCCATGCTAAATATGAACCAAAAAACAGTCGTACGTTAACGAAACGTACATTATCTAATGCACATTGGTTAATAAAATTTAATAATAATAAGTTCGCGCCTCGGATCTTATCTGCTCGTTTTCCCACTTAATTGTTAGTACTTTAAGTCTATTGCTGTTATTATCCAATTAATATTTCGATTTTAACCTGTCCGCTTTAGTACATACTTGTGGAATGTTGGAGTATAGTCCCTTTAATATTAAAGAAACTCTAATTGTAAGGATTAAGAATCATTCAATAGCGCCCAAGTACATTGTGCGGTCATTTTGGGAACTATCTGAATATACTTTTTATCGTTCTAGAATTATGTGCGTGTACCGTTGCGCGTTTTTATTTAAATATCTTTATTATTTTTTAAATAATTTGGCAATAAAATAGTAGTAAAAGAGTTAATATGATTTTAAACAGAGAAATGAAAAAATATTTTAAAGAGTAGAACATAAATAAAATGTTTATGCATAAAAATTTCATATAAAAGAATTGCAAATGAGATGTCCTTCGTATATGAAGAAATTGGTGGCCCTAAAAAGGGCCGTTTGTAATTGCTGGGATCTGTAGTTAAGCCTTCTTCTCAGTTTTCTTTGGCAGCAAGACCGCTTGAATGTTTGGCAGTACACCACCCTGAGCGATAGTAACGCCAGAAAGTAATTTGTTCAATTCCTCGTCATTACGTATGGCTAGTTGTAAATGCCTGGGAATGATTCTGGTCTTTTTGTTATCGCGTGCAGCATTTCCTGCCAACTCCAATACTTCGGCGGCGAGATATTCCATCACCGCGGCAAGATAGACCGGAGCACCAGCGCCAACGCGTTCAGCATAATTTCCTTTACGCAGAAGTCTATGGATACGTCCAACGGGGAACTGTAATCCGGCACGATTAGATCGCGACTTTGCCTTTCCCTTAGCCTTTCCACCCTTTCCACGGCCAGACATGATGAATGGAAGATTGCGGTTTAGCAAACGAAAATTTCTCTATCGATGTGAAACGAGTAACGCTTCAATCAGTTGTGTCGTTCGTGACTGCTTCGCCAACTATTTATACCACTCTGCGTTACGTCGTGCGTCCAATGGCGTGCCAGATACGCATGACTGACCGCGGCGCGCGATGTGATTGGTGCGCCACCACTATCCCTCTACTGTATATAAGGACCGCATCTTCGACTTCTGCTCACTTTTCGAAGCTTCGTCTCTGCGACTGTTTATACGGTGCTTTACGAAAAACTTAAACTATGCCACCCAAAGCGAGCGGCAAAGCTGTGAAGAAAGCCGGAAAGGCTCAGAAGAACATTAGCAAAACTGACAAGAAAAAGAAGAGGAAGAGGAAGGAGAGCTATGCTATCTACATCTATAAAGTACTAAAGCAAGTACATCCGGACACTGGAATCTCCAGCAAAGCCATGAGCATCATGAACAGCTTTGTCAACGACGTTTTCGAACGTATCGCTGCAGAGGCATCCCGTTTGGCGCATTATAACAAACGCTCGACGATTACCTCTCGGGAAATTCAAACTGCTGTGAGACTTCTGCTACCTGGAGAATTGGCCAAGCACGCTGTGAGTGAAGGCACCAAAGCTGTCACCAAGTATACCAGCTCCAAGTGAACAATTACTCTCAAGATCACAACGGCCCTTATTAGGGCCCCAATTTCTTTTATACGTTGGATATCTTCACGCTTTGAATATGCCTTTGAAATAGCAATGCACAATATTTTATGTTTCACAAAGAACCATAGTCAATTTATTTATTTTATAAACTGCAAAATTTATACAATTTAAAAAGTGCAGACACTTTAGAAAATCGTAGGGAACGTACATTCATCATTTAGCTATTTAGGAAAGAAAAATTATTTAAACATAATTTTAAACATGCGGTTTTGCATGAGAGTTTAATTAAAGTCCTAAATCCTGTCAGAATTTATTGTGAAAAATATAAAACAAAAATTATTCTTTTAAATATACATTAACAAATAAATGTGTTATAAAGTTGTAAAATAAAATTAAAAAGCTTGGTTTTATTTAATATATTAATTTATATATGTAATAATATATAAAATATATTGCGTACAAACCAAAATCGTAAATTAATTTCATACCGAGCTTGAAATGTACTAAACATTTTTTTTTTTTTTTAATTTGTGTTATGTGGCGCCATCTTTCTGTACAAAACGATTTCTACTGTAATTTTGCTTTATCGTTTATCGTTCTTTCATATCATGTTTTATGCTTGTTATGTGCGATGTGTCAAAATGTACATATGTATATCTATATATCGAAAATGTAGTAAGTATCACGTTTTTAATTAATTGATTTGTATACGTTGTGATGAATATGGTGATAAATACTAATGTTAAATATATAAATGTCGAATACACATCTTAGATATGAACTCTTTGTAAGCACAGTGAATTAACATTTCTTATAGATTAATGATGAATGTGTATGTGTTGTTAAATAATTTATAAAGATTTGTTTATATAAGTATTATAAAAATGTTGAGACGACGACATGTCAAAGTTAAGACAGTCAAGGAACTGGATGCATTTCCTAAAGTTCCTGAGTTATATGTTGACAAAACTGCAGTGGGGGGAACATGTAAGTTAGCAGATACTGGCAGTATATATTTATATTAGACATATATTTATTTATTTTGAGAAGTGTATTGTCCTTATCGACCCCAATTAATATTCAATTTCTTATTTCAGTTTCTATCTTTACAATACTCATCATCGCATATTTGATAATAGCAGAAACAAGTTATTTTCTTGATAGCAGATTACAATTCAAATTCGAACCAGATACTGAAATTGATGCAAAGCTGCAAATTAATATTGACATAACAGTAGCTATGCCATGTGGTCGTATTGGTGCTGATGTTTTAGATTCTACAAATCAAAATATGATAAGTTATGATTCTTTGGAAGAGGACGATACGTGGTGGGAATTAACGTCGGAACAAAGGGCACATTTTGAAGCTTTAAAGCACATGAATTCATATTTAAGAGAAGAGTATCATGCTATTCATGAACTTCTTTGGAAATCCAATCAAATTACTCTTTACAGTGAGATGCCAGTGCGGTATGTAAAGCAGACTTGTAATTGCCCCTTATAATTCTGCAATATTAATTGTTAAAAATTCCTGATATTTATACGAGTACTATTTTATATCATTTAGGTCATATAAACCGGATTATGCACCAAATGCTTGTCGTATTCATGGTAGCTTGAATGTGAATAAAGTTGCAGGAAATTTTCATATAACTGCTGGAAAATCATTATCTTTGCCACGTGGTCATATACATATTTCTGCATTTATGACGGAGCAAGATTATAACTTCACTCACAGAATCAATAGATTTTCTTTCGGTGGACCTAGTCCAGGTATCGTGCATCCTCTTGAAGGTGACGAAAAGATTGCAAATAATAGTAAGTTTATGATTGCAAGTTATCAGAAACAATAGTATGACTGTTTCCATATGGGTAATGGGTGATTTCTCTTCTAGACATGATGCTGTATCAATATTTTGTTGAAGTTGTCCCTACAGATATTAGAACATTACTAAGTACATCTAAGACATACCAATACAGTGTTAAAGATCATCAAAGACCAATTAATCATCATAAAGGATCTCATGGAATACCAGGAATTTTCTTCAAATATGATATGAATGCACTTAAGATAAAAATAACTCAGGAACGTGATACAATTTTTCAATTTTTAGTGAAATTATGTGCTACTGTGGGTGGTATTTTTGTCACAAGTGGTAAATACAATGCAAACGCAATGAATCTTCTAATAAGTAATGATATGCAATTTTTATTATTTATAATCTAAATTTTTGCAGGATTAATTAAAAATATTGTACAAAGTTTTTGGTATATTGTGTGCTGCAAGTTTTTAAATTCTGAAAAGAAAGCAGATCATCATGAACCATCGATTCCATCACATTCCACGAATTATAGGGCTCCTGATACCATAAATTTACTTGATGTCACGGCCCCACAAAATATTGATATCATGTTGAAGCCTCAATAAAAACTCGTGAGTTAATATTTTCAATGTGAGTGTGAAAAATATATAATTAGAAATAATTATGTATTGATATATATCCCAAGATATATGTGTGTATGTATGTGGTATTATGAAAGAGTGATTAAATATTTTAAACCTTGAATGTAGACTAATGATATTTTTAAATAAGAAATTTTTAACTAATTTATTTAAATGTGTGTGAAGAAATTACGGAAGGTTAATAATTTAAAGGAGTGTTCACATATTAGATATCCTATTGTGATTCCATGAGTGTTCACGTTACATTTGTGCTGTGATTGGCTTTCTAGATCCACCAATCAAATCCATTTACCAAAAGCCGATCATTTAATTGTGGTTTTCTGAACGCAGCTGACAAGTTCTTCAGTCAATCCACTTGTCATTACACAAATATACGCAAATGTATTCGGATGTATTTGCATAAGATAATTATTTTCTAATATAAATAGCGATTTACATAAATTTTATTTTATACAGTTGAAAGATGTTAGCTCATTTTACGCAGTGATAAAACGATCAGTTTCGTTTTGATATATCGTTAAGTCTCATAGCAGAAACATAACCTCCAAGCGAGCCGTCAGGATGGCAGACGTACGCGATATTCTGGACATCGAGGTGCCTACGACTACGGAACTTACGAAGGAATCGATACTAGGTAGCGACAAGAAGAATCGTAAACGGTATGACTACAACAAAGTGCCAAAACGTCCTGAGGGTATGCATCGCGAGGTGTTTGCGCTCCTCTGCAAGGACAATAATGACATGCCGCCGTTGTTCCCGACCGATACGGCGAAAGGATACAAGCAGGTACGAGCCAAGCTTGGTATGAAAAAAGTGAGGCCATGGAAATGGACACCATTTACCAATCCGGCACGTACGGACGGTGCTGTCTTTCATCACTGGCGGCGTGTTGCCGATGCCACGAAGGAATATCCCTTCGCAAAGTTCAACAAGAAAGTTCCTATCCCTACGTACACAAATGCTGAATACGTCCAACATTTAGTGACCAATGGTTGGTCACGAGCAGAGACGGATCATTTGTTTGACTTGTGCAGGAGATTTGACCTTAGATTTATTATCATTAAGGATAGGTGGGACCGCACTAAATTTGTCGCAAGATCTGTAGAAGATTTAAAAGAGAGGCAAGGATAATGCATGTATATTTTATCTAATTTAGAGGTTTTGAATGTTAGGTATATATGTGTATATATATATACATAAATTAATTATACTTTTGCTCTGTAAATATTATTTCACTATCAGCGTGCCAATGATATTCATACCAAAAGTTATCGAGCATGCGACTCCTATTACGGTGTATTATATATGATGATTCTCATCTTGTATTAAAAAAAATAAACGACTTAATCGTGCGAATTTACGACATTATACACATCTTGTTAACATAATAGTCTGTAGCATGCAAGGTAAAAGAATAAAATTGAAAACACGTAGCGATGGTAATTACTTATATATCTGTGTATTTTTTATATTGTCGACAAAAAGTAACAATGTACGGTCAAACCGTATAATTTATCTACAACAATCTACAATAGATTACAATATGTTGTTTTGTTTTTTTTGAGGGTACAGGGGATGTGACTGGGTGTAGAGAGGGAATATAAGATCGGGGAAAGGATGGGTGGGAAGAGGGGTGTTGACGGTAAGAGTGTGAAGAGTGTTGAATGGTCGTCGATGCAGGCCTTTCTTCGTTCGTGCTCGCGTTACAGTCGACTCTTTAATCCTATAATAAAGTACTCGGTAGCTCTCTAGCCGTACTTGGTACGGAATAATGCATGTATATCTGCGATAATAATCGATAAACCAGCGGTGTATCCCGCCTGTTTCCCGGCTGCTGCGTGTCGCGAGGATTCACCCGATCAAAGTTAAGCGTAAGACAAAACGGTGCAATCAGGCGGAATATCGTTGATATCGTGACGGATTGTTCGTAGATACAGGGCGTGTCCACTCGTCTTGACACTTTGATCGCTGTCGTCCTAGCGGCACAATCAGCTGTCTTATGTTCGACGGTCGCATACCGGTCTATTCTCGTCGAAGGAGATTTATCTTTCTCGAAGCAGCTGCTAACTGTCAAATAGTATCGCGCATCCGAATCATCCTATAATCGCGGACTAACAACAATGCGTTATGTTTTGAAACCTTATAAAAATTTACATCTCGGTATGACACGCGTTTTTTTTTTCTACGACGCTCTCTAGCTTATCTACTA